CTGATTACCAATTAGTCTCAAACAGGATAAAATTGGCCGATTTAATCAGCTCATTGATAAATCGGTCGGGCCCTAATCTAAATATTTCGTTGCATGTCTGTGCAGATTGTGCACTATAGAAATGCATGCACAGTAAAGTATTTGTATGAAAATACGGCTTAATAATAATGCTGAACTGCACAGCGACAGTGGAGCATAAACTAAGTTCTCCACCATGAACGGTGACAAGACAAAGCATCATAAAGGTGGATGGTGTTCTGCCCGTTTTTGCTCTCCATACAGACCGTTCGCCCTACATACAACAAAGCCTGCAAGTACCTCAGCTGCTAATGTCCTATGGACTGCAAATTCAAAACCAGAGCTCTTACAACAGCCCGGTTCAACAGGCTATAAATATTTCCAGTCAATGCACTATGAATAGAGATTACCAAATAGCATGAAACCTTTAGAGAGACGGCTCTACCTTCAGGTTTTAGGGGTTAAGAGCTGGAGCAGCACTGGCACTCTCATTTTAAAATCAGAACTGTCAGGAACCACAAGGTTATATTCATGGTTCTGGTACAGTGACATGTGCAATGGGTACCATTGATTGACAGACTGCTTGACACTTCTTTACATTCGGCAGTCAGTCACCATAGGCAGCAGCCAGCGGGCGTCACAGCCTGCTGCAGAGTGGATTCAGCTTTGACGGGCGCCCTGCAGTGTTTCGAGATGCCTTAACGAGTGGGTTGAACCGTAAAAAATTTATTTACCGCTGGCCTGAGTGCAAGTTGAGAGAGAATATATACGACAAAGGAAAAAGCCTTTTGATATAGCAGGTGGGTTTTTTTTCTGCTGGTGTTGGTTTGAAAAGTACAAATAAAGAGACTAACAAGAAGGAGCACAAAATCCAAGAGAGAGAAGGTGGTTCAGGAAGAGCGGAGATTTTCAGCATGCTGATAATAAAAAGGAGAAAAGCAGGACTAAAATAAAGCCTTTACAACAATGAGGTCCTCGGCCCACGATAACAAGCTCCTCTGCACAGCCAGTCATGACTTCAGTTTGCAAGGACCATCTGCAAAGAGCAATACTGACAAAGGATGCTGCAAAAAAACACAGGAAGTTCATGGTGGAAAGATGCCCGACAGTGCTTCATTTGTAAATCATAAGGTGCCGGAATGCAAAACACATATGACAGCTCGGGGATAACACAGGTCCCGGAACAAATGTATAGAAAATGTGCTGAAAACAACATGCAAAGTCCCACTTGCCACACTGTGGGACTTACAAGCCTCAATTTCAAATAATATCCGTGGTATAAATGTTATGAGGCTAATATCCAATTATTTCGGACTATACTCCGTACAGCACAGACAAATGCCCATATCACCACAGGGGGGACTTATAGTCAGCAATTAATTTCTCAACAGGTCTAATGTTCAAAAAAGGGAAAAAATAGCTTGTAATAAATCACACAAATCCTCCATTATTATCATTGGCACGGCGGCCTGTTAATAGACAGTGTACTCACCCCACATCACGAGCATGTCCGGATTCTCCTCCTCCCCTTCTTTTTTCGGGTTTTACTGCGTGTGTCTGTGGCAGTTCTGTGTCCTTTGGCCACCCACGACCTCACGTCCCACAGTCCTCTCCTTCTGAATCTTCCGACTGTAGGCCAGCTGATGTCGCGGTACCCGCCTGTTGCTCCGGCTGTCGGGGGTCCACCTGGCTGACTGCTAGCGCTGTGGCTCTCCTGCTCAGGCTGACGGTGAACCTGATCAGCTGCTGCCGCGGTGACAGCCTCCTGCCCCGGCTTGGCTAGCTGACGGTGAACCCGGCTAGCTGGTGCGGCGCTAGCCTCCTGCTTCAGCCGGTTTTGACCGTTAACATGACCGATGTAGCTGCCCTCGTCGTCGCTTGTGGAGGCTTTTACTGACTTATTTTGGAGTCATGAACGCGAAGAACATTCTTGTGGCCTTGGGAGAATATTCTTGCAACTTGTTCTTGGGAGAAGGTTCTTGTATATGTATGTAGGTTCTTCTATACTATGGACAACTTGTATCCGCCTTCCGCCATTTTACGAATTTGAAGCCGAATTGCTCTTGGTATTTCTCCACTTCCTGGTACCACCACTGGCGCTGTAGCATGGTACGCATTCGGCGGGAGAGTCCCTGTAATGTCTGTATACAGGCTATGGCAGTGCAACTCTTCCTTATTTTCTTTTTTGACGTTTGCGTTGAAATGGTAACCGCTTTTCCTCTCTGCTTCCCCCTCAGATGTGGCGAATTTCAAATATATATTTTTTTTCGTGTCAGGGGCGTGGTTTCCAACAGCTCTCTGACTCTTTCAAATGATGTTAAATATGAATAAACAACATGAAATTCTTGGAATTTGTTCTTTAAAATAATATATGCATATTATTATCTTATTTTAAACATTTTTACGTTTTTTTTTGTTTGTTTGTTTGTTTGAGGCCAAAATTAAAGGGATATTGCCGCGTAAAATTAAGTTAGGGTCAAACACACCATAACACAGAGTTAGACGCCTGTCGAGAGATGAATGTTGCCAACTGTTTGCTTCTCTAGTTATGCTAACTTTAGTAACGACCGCAGATAGTAATACAGAGAGCTACACGCTCAACCAAAAAGCCACTCTATAGCCACAAACAAAGATCAGGACCGCACTAACTTTATCAACAGCACATATACGGTCCCAGGCATAGCACTTGCCACCAAACATCTTTTTAACTTGCCTAATTTCTTTAGCAAAAAGACTAAACACAACTCACCTACTCTCTTCCAGCAGTCACTTGTTTGTAAGAAGACCTTCGGGCTAGTCCATTACAGACTGCTGCAGGGTGACGCAGCTCAAGGAAGAACATTTATGATCATTACTTTATCACTTCCTTGAAGTAATAATCACCATATTAATTATTTTGCACTGCAGATGTGGTAGTTCTTCTGCCTTAGCATCTCGGTCTGATTGCATTTCTATAAGGAAATAATCACAAATGTTCCTCCTTCAGAATCTTGTTTTTTTAAAGCCGTGGTAGGCGAGATCAGAGTCAGCAGCACCTTACTGCCGCCATGATAAATCATAACCTGCCACTTCTCTTTTGAAAGGCACATTTTTCTTTACCAAGAAACTCCTAGATAACTCAGTTAACAAGTCAAAATAAACATGCACTTTGTATAAAATAAGTGAGATAATAACATACTACGATATTTTTTACCTTCAGTAGAGAAATGTGTGGTTCGTAAAGTAAGAATGATAAATAAAGCAAAGCCTCGGCCTTGATGGAAAATAATCCTGTAGTTAAGGTTGTTATAATGATAGAGAGTTGCAATAATGAGATAAAAAGTCACAATGATTAAGTAAAAATCAAAGATAATTAGATAGTTTTTTCACAATTTAGACATTTTTTTTAATAGTTTTGCCCTTAAAAACCCTTATTTTCTTTTCACCGGTGAAAATGAACCTCTCAATGTTTCAACTCTACAACGGCAGAAAAGAAATGTTTAAAAATATGTTGTTTATTCTGGTTCAGACTCTTTTTTTTATGAGTTTATTGTTGTTCTCACTTTTGTACAAACTAATGAGACTCTCAACCTTGAATACAGTTTGACAAACTCAACATCTTAAAGCTGAATGTCAAGTATGTTTGGGAGCGCCTGCAGACAAATTTCCTTCAGTGTTCAAACTGTTTTATGAAGAATACTTTCTTGGTTCCATCTTTCCTCAGTATGAGAGAAAACACCAGCCGTTAAGGTTTAAGTGAGTTTGGAGCCCATCTGCTGCACTCCGAGATGGCTTCAGCCTCAACTGACCAGGACCACAATAAGGTGACACGCAGGAATTACCTGCTCTTTGCTGACAGACCGTGACAGAGGCCATTATCAGCCCTCCCTGCAGAGCCAGACCAGGTTATTATCTGCCCGTGTACTTGGCTTTTAGCTGGAAGGAAAAAAGGAACTTGAGACTACAGAGAACCACAAAGACAGCAGGTTTTACACTTTGAATAGATCTGTGGACGGGGGAGAAATTGTTGCAGTCCGAGCTCCATGAGGCATGCAGTCGGACTCATTTTCTCCAGAGTGCAGACAGATTTACCTGTCTGTATCAGGAAGTGGCCCAAAATGGAGGTTTAAAAACACCCCCTGAGTCAATTTAGAAAGAGCACTTTGGTGGGTCAAGAGAGAAATAGAGGATTTGAAACATTAGCTGTTGTTTTAATTCATGAAAATAAGAAAAAGCGTCTAAAACTTTATATCCTTAAATATACTATATGATAGATATGAAAGCATGACTCAGCATTTCAAGCATTAGCTGGCTTAAATTCGGCCAAGGAGCCACTTCAGGGCCAGCTGGAAGGACTGCAATTCCTTGTGTGTCCACTAGAGGCTGTTTCCTAAAGTGAGTAGATCCCCATAGAAGTGCATGTTAAAACTCAACTTTATAGCAGAAATAAAGATGATTGCAGCCTGGTACAAAAATAAAAATGGTTTTGGTCTCTGTAATAATTTCTAAGAGTGTGAAGGTAAAAACAAGATATTTGATACCCAAACTGATAAACTTTACTGTTTTTTTTTCCTGCAAATATTCAGTCATTTTGGATTTGATCTCTTCAATTACAAAAGAGTGAAAAGTGAGTAATGTTTAATTAGCTTCTTTCTCAGTTCACAACATCTGCACAGGGCTGAATCGTTATATTACGCCTTAAAGTTAAAGCTAACTCAACTGAACTTGACCTCTTGACCATGTTTTTGGTGTTAGATAATCTGTGTAATTTTGCACTTTGTTGCCCTAACAGACCATCCAAGAAGTCTGGCTCACAGTTTAAACACCATTTATGACTAACTACCAATTAGGAAGTGTCTGTGTTTGTGCTCACATTACCTGGCTTGTTAGCTCATTTAGTTATACATCAATTTATCGGAGAAGTCGTCATCCTGTGGGGAAAAGAAAACCAGTTTAGCACTTGGCTGTACCCTCATTAATTATGTACACACACTTACCACTTACCAGACGAGGTAAACTGAGGTTGTACCAGTTAATTCCTTGCGTGCATATCCCAGAGATGCTCTCCTTTTTCTGCTGTTTCTTAGAAGACCAGAGTGCTTTTTTCACCTTTTAAAAGATGCATGGTCTCGCTGTTAGGCTTTTCTTTCTGATTGCCGACATCTCTTTGTTGATCCTTTAAAACGACACGTCATGTTCTTTCATCATCACCACTCATCCAACCTGACAACATAAAAGTCTTTGAGCAGCAGTCTACAAGTACAAGAGAGTAAACAAGCTGGTTATTTTGCCGCACGTTTTCCGCTTGTATCTCACCTGAGGCGAGCTTCAGGAGCTTTCTATTAAGCAGTCTTAGAGGGAGCGGACTGGGATCAAAGATAAGACCACTTTACTGCCCGCTTTCATCTTTATACAAGGCTTTCGACAGGAGCTCTGCAGGAATCCAAGCACACTGCTCAGGCTCATACTTTCCATCCACAGAGAAAACAAGCTGCACATTCATTGTTTGCTTTCTTACTTCTCTTCTGCTCTTCACATGCTTCAGTCACTTGTCAGGCTCGGCCAGCGCTTACTCTGCTGAAGTGGAGCTTTAAAAGTGCCGTTATCATGACCTGCATCACAATGAACCTTTATCTGAGTCAGTCCAAAATGATGTTTGTCCTTTTTTCACCACTCTGTTTCATGGTAGAGGAGTTCTTTTAAAATCTGCCCATTATCAGATTGCTGGAATTCCAACATTTGTTCAGACTTTTACCGCAGCTACACAGCTAAATCTAACCTTGAGCATTCATTGATGCGTTCAAAGACATTTGAAATGTATAAATGTAGCAAGGATGGTGCAGTTGAAAACTTTCATTACTTTAAATAAAACATGTAGAGTGAGGAGGATGCTACAGCTGATTGGAACCTTGGTCAGAAAGTGTCTTGCCCTGTTAAAACCATATATTGACCCAGAAAACAATTGTATTGATTTAAAAAAGGTTATTTTTCCCTCTTGTTGTCTGAAAAGGCGCTGCAGGAGTGCCCTTTGGATGCTCCTGATGTAAATTAAACATTATTAAATGCCCTCTGTGCTGACCTTTCCATGGAAAATGTTAAACATTCTTGAGCAGCTGCTCTTTTTGAGAACCACAATGTGCCCTCTCGGTATATGAAATGTAGAAAAGCTCCCTCTAGATACCAATACAGTGGATGAAATGTAGATATAAGAGCTTATGGCTGCCCTTTAAACATAAAATGCATAAAAGGTTTTGCCTGGATGCCAGTACAGTGAATAACATGTATAACAGTGTCCTCCAGCTGCCCCTTAAGATAAAAAAATCACTCTGATTTCCTTTCCATGAGAAATGCATGAAAAATTGTAAAAGTAGTTGCATTTTTGAATGATCTAAACACCTTTTGGATGCCCTGTTTGTATGTGAAATCTAAAAAAAGTCCCTCTGGATGTTGATTCAGCGGACAATATAAGTTTAAAAGACAGGCAAGGTTTAAAAGCCAAATTCAACACTTAAAAACTCTTTTTTCAAATATAAATGATGATAAATTCAATCAACATTTTTTAGATATAATTAAGAATCTATGAGGAGTTAAGTGTAATTTCAGTCGGACTAACATCTTTACATGAGATACATTTAGACGAACTAAATCTTACATTTAGACTATTGCAATAAATCAATAGTGGCAATAAGAAAGATGGTCATAGTAGCTAGTCTACTCAGGACTCCTTTGTTAACAAAGTTGGATTTGCGTCTCGACTAATAATACTCGGGTTTTTCCATCTGCTAAGACCGTTCATGAAGTAACACTGTAACAGCAGTTTAGCAAATAATAGCTAATGTAAGCTATAAAACCTAAGTTAGTTGGCTAGCAACGTTTCTGTAAAGGTACAACTTCAAAAAATTACAAAACTGTGTGAAAAGTAACACTCCAAACCATCAAAATTTATAAAGGTTGAGTAACTGAATAAAGAGGGTTTTATTGCACCTGTATGAGATAAATAATAAGTTTTTAAATCTGCAATTCATTCATTGACTTACAAAATGAAAAGTAAAATTTAGTACTAAAGCTCTCTTTTGAATTCTGTGGTGTTTCCTTTAATTAGCCAGACGTCTTACTGCAGATTGACTAGATTCAGACATGTTCGCACTGTTATTCTGCAGAGATTAAAGCCTTTAAATGTGTTAAATAAAAGGAAAGATTAAACGGCATTATAGTCTGTCACTATGCCATGTTCGCTCGCCTCCACAACACTGTTAAGGGTTTCATTCCTCCTGATTGCTGATGACATCAGTTCAAATCAAAATAGTGTGACAAGAAATGATTTTGAGGCCTTTATATTCCAGGTGCTTAAATTGCCTCTGCCCCTGGCTATTTCCTGGTAATGAGTATAAATGAATTGAAAAATGTAGATGGACCTGAGCCGCCAGTGTTGAAATTGATTCCACAGTCGCTGACACCTCGGCACTAGAAACAGAGATGGAGTGAAAGAAGCTGAGGCTGAGGCTGAGGGGGACTCTGGGGGGAAGGACGCCCACACCGGCCCCCGGTGACCCCGCTGTGCAGCTGCTTGATGCTCTTTGGATTAAAGAACGAGTGAACTCTCTTCATTTGATCTCGATTCCCTGCTGAGCTGCAGAGCTTTCAGGTGGAACTCTTTTACCTCACTGTGATGCAGATTTTCTCTGAGATATGCCATTTTCCAAATTAAAAATATCAATATGCATCCAGGTCATGCTAGTCTGATTGACTTTTTGATGAAGTACCCCTGGATTATTGCCGTTGTTTATGTTTTTCTTCCTGTTGGTTATTCATGAGCCATGTGCAGTAAATTTTAACCATATTTCTTGAGTATAGATTCGACTCAGTGGAACCTATTGAACAATAATCTATGCAGTATAAATCAAAATCAGTCATTTTCCATTATTTGTTACCAAAGAAGAGAGGAGGGCGTCTTTAGAAGTGAACGCCGCAGTAACCCACGTGTTAGGCCAAATTGGATGTACTCCCATGAACTACTTACCTCCACGCTTTTATTGTCAGTGAATAGAGTCAATTTTCACTCCCGTCTGCAGGGATTTGTCTGGCCTTAATCTGACTCTGCATTTAAAGTCTTGTAAGTGCAAGGATTAATTTTGGCAGGCCGACCACAGAAATGCTGCATAATTATTGTCATTCAAATACTTCATGTCTGACTTCTGAAGGGAACAACTGGCTTTATTCCCTCGTCTGATCTCCCAGACACTGGAGGAGGTTTTATAATGAAACAGGAGCAGTGTGAGGGAAGAGCATTAGTATTAATGAAAGGAAATCATGTTCATTTTTATTGAAAAATAAGTTATGATGTAAGGCGTTACTTTGCCCAGAAGAATTGGGATGCTTTATAAAAACAGACTATTGAATACGAGCAGAGCTGCTGCCTCTGACTGTGTAATCTTTAAAGAAAGCCACAGCGGGGTCACTCCTGGGTCACCCTTTGACATGTTGACAACCTCTCTGAAGCCGAAAGTTCATCATATTCTCTACCTCCATGTTGGCAAAGATTTTAAATTCAGCTACAGCCAAGTTAGTAAGGTTTGATTTGTGATGGTAGAATATCAAGAAAGACAATTGTTTAGTCTCCATAATCAAACAATTTATTACTAACCTGAGAATTTGATTTAGACCATCAGAGAAGTCTTAAAGCTCAAATCAAGACATGTCATTACTGGGTGAGTGGGAAACTGACTGGCTGTCTGACTGTTGTCTTAATGAGGTTGGAAGGGCGGTGCGGACCAGTGCAAATAAATGCAGAGGCAGAAAAACACCATATCAAATACGGTGAGTGCTCCAGGAGACACCTGGTAGAGGTGGCTGTTTAGGTGTGATAGTCATGATTACTACAACATGTCTCTGACTTGTACGTTAAAATTTAAGCAATGTTCCTACAAACCACTTTTATCGTTACAGTTACAATTTTAAAAAAAAGTGTTATGTCACTTTCAGTCCTCCTGGAGGAACCAAAATCAAAAAGTGACAAATTTTGAACCATAACTTGATTTTTTTGCTTGTTCCAAATTAATACTACCCAAAACTTCAACCTTAACATAGGCTCTAATGGGGTTGACTCACCTTCAGAGACAGCCTCAAGTGGCCACATGAGGAACTGCAGTTTTCTGTATTTCCATGTTTGTTTTACTTCTGAACCCTTTTATGTAACTGACTGACAAATGACTCGTGATTAATTGGTCATGAAGTGTTTACAGACTCTGATCAGAGAAGGAGGCGATTATATCAGAAAGAAAAAGGTTGTTTTTAAGAGATGTCAAGTTAATAAAACCATTTATTCACCTCGTCTTCCTTTTGGAATTTGGAAAGCTGTGATTCGTGAACATCAATCAGCATCATTTCATGTGAGACAGAGAATTTTTCTTGTCAGTGTCAGGAAAAAAAACAGCACTTAAAATTTTGATTACCCTTTTGTGCTTCTACTTTTCAGTTTGAGAAGAAAGAAGTTTCATAAAAGGATTTTCTATTTCAAGGCTTATTTTAATCTTTGGCTGCACTCCTTCAAAACCGCAGCATCAGCAGCAGACCTCATTATGTAAATACTGTGATATCCTGATTGTGGGCCATGTTTGGTTGCCCAAAAAAGGCAGGCAGCGCATAATTTCCTCTGATGTGTTTTGTCAAAGAACAATGGAGAGGAGCCCGGAGAACGCCGGGTGTTAATTTGAAGAGGTGGATGAGTGAGAGCTTATTGAACTGCACCTGTGCCATTTATAATGAACTGAAGAGCTGGTGAAGAGGGAGACAGACAACCAGAAGCAAAACAAGGAAGAAGCGTCTTTAACTACGTGCTCTGATATCATCTCCCTTTGAAAATATTCAAAATCCCTAATGCAAGAGTATCAAAAGATGTGAGCAGATATGAGTTCAAAATCCCTTTGGTGTCAAATTGTGTGCGATAAAACGTTATTACATTAAATACAGCAGATTTAATGGTTTCAGTCCTCTCATCCAACACTTAGAGAATTAGCAGATGGTGAGAAAGCGCTAAAAGCCACTCTGAAGTTGTGCGATTTAGATTTGCTTAATGCACATTTACACTTGGCAGGAGGAGTCCTGCAGAGCAGAGGTGGGCCCATTAAATATAATAAGTTTTGACTCCAAAAATTTCGCCACTTTATATCACTGATCACTGAGGTAGCAGCTCGGATAATATTAGTCTACAGATAAAAGAAGACATGCTGGTTGAAATATCTACAAGTGTCAATAAACAACAGTTCTGTGCGCTCTATTATTTACAGTCCAGTTAGCAATTTGAGAGGCAAACATGTGTTCAGAATAAAAGTATAAAGAAACTCACCACAACATACCTGCATAATTTCTTCATCATTCCTGGGTCTACTACATCTTCCAGAGTTACTCTGTTCCAGGTGAGTCTTGGTTTTTCTGTAAATTGTAAGTTGTACAAAAGTTTGTAGTCCAGAAATCCTGAAAAAGAAACAACTTTTATAAGAGATCATGCACTTTAGTAATTAGTCATGAACCACTTCCAGCCTAGACTTCCTTTTCCATGACCTGCATTTTTTAAAGTCCAATACCAAGTTGGCTTCAAGTTTTATCCATCAAAATACACCAGAAAAAGTGAGGTTGGTTTAAGTTGGTCCAAGGTAGAAAACTTAAAGTTTACCTGCAGATACGACACCACCACGTCTAGGCTCATTACATCCCCCAAGTAAAGTGCCAAATCATCTGTTCCTTGTGAGTCTCCTGAAAAGTAAAAATTCAAGCTTTGTCAGGTCTCTCCTCGGGAGAAGAAGAAAACAACTATCAATTAAGGTTGTTTAATTCGACCATTGTTTCTGATCAATTACAAGGAAGTCTGGAAATGTGCTGATTAGCTTTATCATCATGACTTTTTCATACATGGACTTCTGAATATTTTCAGAAAATTTTAGGAGTCCACGTATCCCCCTGAAATTTCCCCAAAGTTTTTACTCCTATGTGAAAGTCTCAGGAGGCAGAACATGTTGGTAGTCACAGTTTTATGTTTACAAGATGATGCTCTGACGACAGTTTGATGGTTTTAAATCAATCAGTACATGTTCTTACATGTTCAAATATCTATTTACTGATTTAGTTAAACTTAAATTGGACTTTTTATAAACATTTAAACAACAGTAAATGACTGAAATTGCACTAAATCAAACTTATCATAGTCAGACAAACATAATTCAATTTTCTGCTCTCCATACAGACTATTCTTGCATATGCTACGTGATTGATCAACAGGTCCCACATATTTGATGCAGAGCTCTTCATTAAAGAGTAACATGCATATAAAAATTCCTGACTTTAGCCTGATACTCCATTAAACACTCAGAAATCTCTTGATGCTGATAATGGTGAACACGTAAGTAATACACTCGATTTAATCTAAAGCATATAATGTCTCAAGGTCTATTTCCAGCCCTTTACTGCTACGCCTGATGTAACCAAGACAACAAGAAAAAGGACTCAGGAGCAGAAGAAGGATACAAACCTGGTACAGATGAAGGATTTATGCGGGAAAGACGGTTTCAGAGCTTAGATGATTTGTAAGTAGGCAGGTGTAGGTGACACGGTACCAGGATATCGTGCAGGTAACAGGCTCAGGGAAGCTGAGGAACACTGACACAATGACAAACTGGCAGAGGAAAAGAGGCTCCTGACTGATATATACGGTGTGTGACTGATGAAGAAATGTGGTGGGTGACGCTCAGGTGAGGGACTGTGTTGATTATAGTAGTCCCTTTTACACGGCTCCTTCAAGGATAGACTTTGAGGTGTTATAAAACCTGGATGTGGTGGGCTGCAGCTTTTTGAACTGGCAGCAGAAGAAGTAACAGAGACATAAAAGGGACAAAATCGGGTAAAAGCAGCGTTTGTGTATACATGAAGTTTGTGCTGTTAGTTAACACATCCTCCTCCTTTGCTGATTCTGTGTGAAATATATCCCACTGGAAAAGCAATTGTGTAGAAGAGAGCAAGTATAAAAGAGATATAATGTGCTGTTAGGAAATCGTAAACTCTTTCACACATGTGCTGCACTCCTGAAAATGTCATAAAATTATCCAGGAGAGGTGCATGAGTTAACATGAAGGAAAAAACCTGTATATCTTGACTTTACAGCCGGGTTAGGGCTGGACGATTTTGGCTAAAAATAAAATCCCGATCATTTTCTCTGAAAACTCAATTTTCGATCATGACAACATGGTCTGCAATGTAGGAGACTAAAAAACAATCATATATTAGACTCCAGTTCCAAAACAGCTGGGATACTGCATACATATTGAAAAATGCTGGTGTTAAAATCTGGAAAACTCGAGGGGCAACTTGCTTGCAGCACTTTAACACAGTTTCATGTCTGAAGAGAGTAATAAAAAAATGAACCTTGTGATACTCGGTTAGTTTTTTGAATGAACCATGGCTGACGCACTCGGACTCTTTCACTGCTTTGAGCCAAATACCTGCTGACACTATAGCGAGAGGATACCTGAAGGTCTCTGACTCCAAAACTCTTGTCCTTTTCCAAAAAAATTAGCTGAAAGAAGCTGTTCATCGCTCCTATTCAGAGGGTAGAAAACAGCCCTGAATAAATCTAAGTGGAGCTCTCCCTGCCTACCTGAGCTGTAAACACTCACCTCTCTGAGCTGTCTTTGTCAGACTCAGGATGACGGCAGAGCAGAGGGCTTTTCATGCTGACTTCCCTCCAATATTTCAGTCAGTAGAAAACAACATGTGAAAGGAGGGGAGTCCAGCCGCACAAGCAGCCGCCTGCTGCAGAGCTGGGCAACAAAAAAAGAAACTCCTGCAAAGTGTCATCAGGAGAACAGCATCCTGGGGAGGCTTGGATTGAGGACACGCTCAGACATCTCTATTTCTGGGCGAAATACAAAAAGTGCAACTCATGATATCTCATGAAGGTTGTTTTTTTTTTTATATTTTTGAGTGAAATGAGACTGAAATGAGGTTCTTTTTGGAGCCAAGGGATCATAGAAAAAAGGAAATGGTTTCTGTATTAACTGCAGGCAGACTAGCCTGCACTCCCTCCCGGCATCAATTCAAGCATTAGAAACTCAAAAATGTAGGGCAGACCTCCTTTACAATTCCACCCTCCCTTCCTTTCGGCATCTTTTAGGCTGAAAAGAGGTGTTCAAATGCCGCTCTGATGACTGGCTCTTTCTGCATATTTCCTCTGCCTTCCTTTTATGAAGCAAGACTAAATGCCTCTGGCGTAAGTCAGACACCAAAATCCAAAAGAAATTAGCATCCTTTTCTTCCATGAAAAAAATTAACTGAATGAGCAAATAGTTTTTCAGACAATGTTTGCCAAACATTGAAGGTCTACTCTGACAGAAAAACACATCGAAACCTGATTACCCATCATCCTTTAGGGTCACAGTGAACATAAACCTGACTGTGCACCTAGCCCAGCACATAGGCCACTCATATACCAACGTCTGTGTTTGTTTGCAGTCTCGTATCTGTGGAAGAGCCACAGTGAAATCAGCACTGCAAATGTTATCCTAGCAGCTTTGTGGCATTTTCTAGAAAGGTCAGAGGATTGCGATGCTAAAAGTCACTTGGCTCTATCTAAAGTGTACAGAAACAGGGTACAAGACCAAGAGCTAAGTGAGATGCAGGGCAAAGAGAGGTTAAATTAAGTCTATTAATAATTCATGGATCAAACAATCAGTGCGTCTTCTTTATCACATTTACACACAGCACAGCAGTGTTTCCTTCATTACTCATTCAGAAGTCAGGGCATGCTGACAGTATGAGGCAGTATCTGATATTAACCGATGTTGCCTGTGCCTTAAAGTCCCACTCCGAGTGTTATCAGTGGTCTTTAACGGTGATCATGGTGTTTTTAGCCAAAATCATGTTACCTGTGTCATTTTCAAGGGATTTTCTTCTGCAGAGCTCAAGTAGCTCATTAGCAATTCGCCTCTGAGTCGTGGGCGGAGACTGCGCTGCTCTGCACACTCCTCTTCTCGCTAGCTTGTAGCCTAACATTGCCAATGTAGTAGAAGTGGCAGGTAACATAGGAGCTATTCAGCTCTCGGACACTAATGTCTTAAGGGACGTGATAAAAGTTAATATCATAATAAGCTTTATTAGGAGCATTGCAATCTACTAACGCACACGTTTGTTCCGTGACCGTCCTCTACTTTTCCAAGTGTGGCTTGTATAGCGGGGCCCCGGGCGGAGCTTGGATTTGCTACATAGGAAATCTCACTGAATCTGAACCTGCCATTTGCGTCCGTGAGAGATTCACAGCGATTTGAAAGCAGAAATACTCAGAAATGCAATTTCGCACTTTTCCCATGATATGTCCTGTAACATCAGAAAAAACGCCATATAAACAAGTAGACAATAAGAAAAACATGATTTTCATCAGAGTGGGTCTCTAAAACAAAGAAAGGTGGGCTGCTAATCTGAATTCACCTGTTGAATCCTCTTCAGTTATGAGGATTGAAAAAAACACCCTTTGGTTATGTCGTGTGCATGATGGAGAGCTTGGTGGCAGTCTAATTGGGTTTTGCAGGGCTGAGGTGAAGCTGGTCTGGTCCTTATTCTTGTGTCACTGTGTATGGAGGCATTTCCCTTTCCTCTGGCAAGTGTCGGATAGAAAACAGCAATTACCCTTGCATGGGTTGCTTTTGGATGTATGCACCCCACATCTCATTTTGACCTGTGACAGGATCGGATCTGTAAGAACCTAAAACAAACTCATGCCCATAAAAACAGCTGCTCTCTCTGTGTATAGAAGCACATTTATTCAGTTTTCATGCATATAAAGGTAAAAAGGACGAGAATATGCTCCTGGCAGACATTTCCAGCCTCTCTCCTCTCTCTGCTGTAAAAAGGCGCTCACACACCAATCTGATGGCTGTCTTTTTTTAAAGCAAGACTAGCTTAAACAATGGCGCCCTTCTCTTACATAAAAACAGCTTAAACACAAATTTTATGAGCGCATAATTCTATTAATTATCTTGTCAATCAGTGCTGTTTCAGTGCCTTTCACCCCCGAGGACTTTCACACATTTAACAATCACAACCTGTAATTAAACCAACTGTGAGGAGTTTTAACGAGTTACAGACAGACTGAAATTAACTGAAATTTAAGCTTCTTTATGATTTACAAAAGCAACATGACTATTAGGAGTAAGATTAAATATGTGTTTGTACTTGTCAAGTTAGTTAAAGCAAAGAAGTTCCCCTAAATCTTCACCGTGGGAATCCAAAAAGGAATGGTTGAAAGTTTTGGCCAGAAAACACGAGTACAGCAGGACAACCTTGGAACGTGTCCGCTATTATCAGAAAATGCTATCTCTGGGAACAATGACAGATTTGTCCGGCGTAGAGACTGCAATTAGTGAAAAATGATTTGCAGCCAAGACTTGCTTTCCTCTGCACTGTATGTTTCGAGTCCAAGAAGAGACCGTGTGTTCAGATCAAACATGAAGTGAAATTCAACCTTTCCAATATGTCTGCAAAATAATTAATTCAGTGTTAACGCACTGGTGTTATTTTCTCTCTGTGTAGACTGTTTAAAGCTTGCAAAACCTCATTGGTTAGAATGATCTGGACTGCAGAATTACCACAAACTGATGGTGGCTGGTCTGTAAAGGGCACTAGGGCACAGTCCCACCACTTTAAAGTTAGTACATCATATGACCAAGCTGTTATGAAATGTAGAATGTAGGTCCATATCGCCTTGCACAGGTTTTAATGCACATTTGCAATACAAGAAGAAGAAGAAGAAGCGACTCAGGGTGCCAGAGAGGTGGCAGATATTGCTGCTAAATCTGTGATTTTGCAGGAGAAGCTGAGAGTCAAAGAGCTTGGATCCGATCAGCTTTACATCAAAGTTAGATCACATCTCAACGACAGAGGGAGCAAAAGGAATACCTAATTTCCACAGAGCTAGTTCACTGAGAAGGATCAGACCCAGCATGAATTTAGAAGTATGGCGGATTTGAAAACACTACTCGGAAAGAGCTCAAATACAAAGACGCAAGGGGTGGCACAGGAAATGCTGTCCTTAGTCAGCTTAGTTATGCCTTTTATTTCATGTCATTTCCTACTTTGTGGAAATCTCTGTTGTTACATCTGATATAAAAGTATATTTTCATGTTGTCCTCCTGTTCCTTTTTGGAGAAAAATACATCGGCTGCCATTTTTTTTCCAAAAGAAAACAGGAGGACCTGAATGACCATAAGGAAAATATGGTTAGGAAGGACAGAACTGGCACAAGACATCAGAAACCGCGAAAATTAATACAATTAAAGATTCTCAAAGTGATTCATGAAACAAAAATAAACCAGTTTGGACTCTTAACTGTTTAACACACAAAAACAAAGTATATAAAACTTTTAAACACTTTTTAATGATCTTTCCAGCTGCAGAGAAATGCTAGACCATTGTAGGTCCATTACCCACAACCACAAGTAATCAGCTTTCATTTGCACGCTCCAGTCCTCATCCAGGGTCATGGCCTTTGGGTAGTACCTGTATAAAAAGGTTTCAGTTTCAAGCAGCTAAAATGAGCTTCCTTCTCAGAGTGTCTGCCCCAGCCTCAGTGACTGAGCAAGGAGCTCAGACATCCTGCGGGAGCTCTAAGTAGAGTCACTACCCCTTCACATGGAAAAAACTCAGTCGAGGCAGTTCAAGCATTTGATTAGGATCCTCCTGAGGCCGTCCTTTCGGAGACTTTCTGGGTACGTCCAACTGGGAGGAGATCCTGGGGTACTTGCTTTATGTCCCGTCTGCTCTGGGAACGTCTCAGGATTCCTCAGGAGGAGCTGGAAAACGCTTCTGAGGGGAGGGACGTCTGGGTCAACTTGCTTAGCGGCAGCTTGGCCCTGGAAGAGGAAGAAAATTGAGTTTTAACATGACACCATACTACAAAGTTCAAGAGGAAGGGAAACTCAAACATGGCTCCAACTCAAAGTGATTTCTCCTGACACTGCCTGTCGGCCCAACTGTTCCCTTTCTTTTGTTCTGTGCATATCCTCTCCTTTTCCTTTATCATGCCAGCACCAAATGCTTCTGGCACCAGACAATAGATATTGTGATGGGTGGCGGCTGCACTGGCTCGGCTTCTGTCTCATTTTCAGATCATTTAAGTATTCGCCTGAGCTGCGTCCTCGCCAAAAACCCACACCGGAGATGCACACAGACGCCTCAGGGAGCTGGTGCCTTTGGGTGGTGTCCTTCTGCCTCTCACAGGACTGCCAGTTCAGTCTGACCCAAATACTCTGTTTTGAGTAGTGGTGGCATATTTTCACTGAGGAAGTGATTCATGCATCAGGGGTGACTCTCTGCCAAATTAAATGGTTTACTTGGGAGTCTCAGTTGTGACAGGGCTGTCTGTGCTGTCTTGTTGTGATGATATTCAGCCGCCTGGCTCGGATTCAAAGCGAGGACATCCTTTATATTCTGCTGTCTAAGGTGCATCAGGTGTAATTTTCATATCTCACAGCACACAGGTGACTGAAATCCATCTGAATGGCTCTCCTAAGGTTGTTAATGAGCTTCAGTATCTGTGTGGGGAGCTGACCAGCTGCTGAGACCTGCTAGTTGTAGCTGCTTGCGTTTTCAAATCTCTCTCCAGACCTCATACTGGAGTCAACCCACTCCTCCCTCATCTCTTCCTCAGTGCTCACTGGAATTACACAACACAGTTTTTGTTTTGCTTTTCCAAAACCGACTGTTTGGGGACCAGATTTCTGCACCCAATGGAATTTCAAGGCACTTCCAGTATCTCGCTGCCCCCGCCATCTTGGATCTTCTGCTGCTTAATGATGGAAGACGGAGCTACAGCATGAGCCAGACTGAGCATATTTCAGTCTGGAGCCAAAAAAGCACATGAATGAAGATTTCTTTCTTTCTTTTGGTTTTATGAAGTCTGTTGCAATTCCTCCCTGCAAGTGTCTTTCTTTGTCTAATGAAATTATAGCTTAACTGTGTTCAGAAGAAATCAATAGGTAGTTTCCCGCTGATATTGATAACCATCTTAGATGACCTGACGTCCTTTCAAATTACACCGTGCAGCAGGGTGGAGTGAGTAATGAAGATGGAGGTTTTTTTCTGGAGAGGCGAACCCTCCTCTGTAGCTGTGTCCCAGCAGGAGGTGCAGATTGATCTGAACTGCACAGGCATCGCACTGAGGGAGTGAGTTTTCTAATAAGGAGTGAACTTCTTTTTCCTCAGTATCAGATACAGAGGATCATAAAATATTCAGAGAGGAACTAGACTTTCTATTGTCCCACCTTATCAGCTGAAACTCAGCATGGCAGGCCTGCGAGCTTTCAGTTCCTCTGCATGTTGAAGTTGCAGTATGAGTATTTTAAAAGAGATGTACTTAATACATTTATAAAGCTACAATGCTGGATGTGAATATCAAAACAACAGCATCGTCTGACAGGGAAATGCCCGGTAAATAATACATCCGGAGAACTCTAGAAGAAACTACAAACTCTGCATGTGACATCGCGGGTATGTAAACAGACAAAGGCATGCAGTAGAAACAACCATGATGGTAAATTTAGGGGTATTTTAGTGTTTTCAGGACAACAATGAAGCTGTTTGTAGTCGTGATTTCACTGATGACACCTTTATGAATATAGATCAGTATGAGCTGGATCTGCATCTCCAAAATCTGGGACTATTTTGTCCAGAAATGCCTCAGATGAAAATGTAAAACCAAGAGCTGTGAATAATGGTACAACAGCAGCCAATGCAACAGGTACAGTATGTGAATAGGAGCTACATAGAGAGCAAACACTCGACATGTCGCTGTCCTGTTATCTGGGGCTCAGGAACAAAGTTAGCTACGTCACTGTTGTTGCCAGGTGATTGACCCGGAAGGGCAAAAGGTTTTGACCGCTGTGGCCATAGACATTATACACGTAGATGCCTCATTACGTGCTGGAGCATAATCCAGCGTCACCGCCATACTGGATGGATGGTTTCTCAATGTCAACTGCAAATGGACTTTGGTAATGTTCATCACAAACATTTTTAAACGCTGAATCAAAGGGAACAGTGTCCGGACTTTCACTGATCATCAAAAACACATGGTAGTTTGTTATTGCAACGCATCAACCATGTAACTCCAGGCCAAGCATCTCAGTAACTAAAAGTGCAGACCTAGCTCCTACAATACGGGGTTTTAAGCTGCAAATCATGCACAGTTACTCTACATCTGTCCCTGATTGACTTAAAAAGGAAAAATGAGTATAACCGGTCTCCAGTATATAATTTTGAGTTGTTCTTTTTTAAACTCAAAGTTGGATGTTTACTGCCACTCCAGATAATGAGAGAAAAGCGTAACTGTACAAATCTTTAAGTCAAAATTGAGTCTGAGTCACTTAGGAAAGATCAAATGCCATCAGAGTACAAGTAAAACTCAAATCCAGTCTAAACTACTGACTGTGTGGAAACTTTTACATTTTGTTTAGTAACACTAGATTCTGATCCTGCTGGTGTGTCCGGAGGTTCAGTTCATCAGTGAAGTTCCAGCATGTGCATCACACATAAATACACGTGACTGTGAAGGAGAATTCATTGATTCAACTGCTGTGAATTCACCGCAGGTGTCCAATTAACTCAAACATACCTGCAGCCCTCCTGCTTTTCATCAGCGTTTTACCTGAGTAAACATATTGGATCTATTGGTTGAGTTATTTCAGAGACTGCTATGGACTTTGGACTCTGATTTTGAAAGGGAATATACTTACTGACCTTCAGTTGTGCCGTAAACTTTTATAGATGTATACATAAATTGTGTGTCAGATTTCCAGTCAAAGAGTGATCGAGAAAAAGCTGCAAGACACTTTAGTGTGCAGTGTTTCCTTAGCTCAGTCTTCATTTAAACATTCACTGTTTGTTAATTTTAACATTAAAGGGATTAAAAAAATATGTACGGTTGTATTGGAACTAAATAGCAGTGCTGTTCCTCTATTTTTGTGCATTATACAGTTGGGCTGACAGAACATCAAAGGCTCCAAACCTCCAAACAAGGACCCACGAGTGTGCTGCACATTTCTGCACGCTCCATAGGACTGAGCCTCCTGGAGCTCTTTAGAAAAGTGGCTCTTATTTTTCTGCATGACGGCGGCGAATTGCGAGCAGAGACGGTCTTTGTTGTCTGCAAACTGACAAGTTCTTTCTGAAAGAGCGGCGATGACTCAGCCTGGCAACAGCCCTGACAACGGCGCTGATTGATTGACACATGTAGAGACAAATCACTGCAGAGGCATTGTTTGTGTTTTTGTACTGGGTCAGGTATAAATGAGAGGGATGGGACTTCATACACAAGTTGAATATTATAATAATTACTTTTAGGGTTTGAAAGAAGAGTCCTTGACAAATTACAGAGCTGTCCTAAATCTGGCATCTCTTTGTTGAAAGCGGTCTCAAACCAGCTCTTGAAATACGTCATTGATTGATCTCTTAGAGCTGCCGCAGTCAGGGGTGATCACTCTACACAGACACAGCTCTAACAAGGTGGTGCCATTTATGTGACAGAACCGTTTGTCTGAAATAACACACAGATCTGTTGATGCATGGTCGATCTGCAGAGGGTCCTGCAGATGAGGCACCAACAAGCTCCAGACTGCAGACCCTATAAGCTTTAAAAACTACACCACACTCCAAAATAAATATCCTGTTTTTGGGGTGTATTACCTTATGTTTGATTATTGATTGAAAATGCATGAAGCGCCCTCACGTCTTGGTTGCAGTGTGTTAGTATGTTATCAAAATCTCTGACTTTCACAAGTATTATAGAAGGATATACCCGTCATGAACCGAGGCACAGAGGAGAGGACACAACTGCACAACACCGAATCATTTTGTCCAAAAGACAAGTGTTTGATGAAAAACAGGGAAAGGTCGATAACATATAAGGCAGTCAGGTCAGACGGAGGTATCAAAAATGCAAGGAAAAAGGCAAGGTCTGAAATGAGGCAGGCAAAGGTTATACACGGCTCGACAATGACTATGAATGATGCTGGAATGTGACTAAAAAGTGCAATAAACTGGTGACGAGACAGTGAGGCCCAATTTACATACCCTGTTATTTTTACAAACTGAGACATTAACCATCATTTGCACCCTTTGTTTCGACGCAAACTGAGAAGTCGCCACTGAAAACGATGCTTTTTAAAAACTCTGGCCATAGACAGAGAAAAACTGAAATTTGGGTAGCTGACGGCAGATTGTGCACTGGAAAGAAGGAAGAGATGTTGTTGTTGTTGAGACAGTGAGACTCATGAGGTTAAATACAAGAGGTAACGAGGGTGATGGGAAACAGGTGGGGAGACATAATCGGGCGGCAGATGTGACAGGACAGGGTCTACAAAATAAAATAGGAAATACAAGATATGAAACAAAACATGAATGTGCAAAAATAAAAGGAAACTTAACTGACATGAATATACTCTCAATAAAAGGACGTAACAGATGGATGGACAAATTGCAGACGTAAAAATGTAAATGGGACATTTGATCATGGAGCTCTTCAAAATGCACTGAGCACCCTAAAGAGTTCTGACAAGCACAAGTGTTGTAGAATGATGTGTTTTGATTATAAAAGGTTAAAAACAAAGAAAAGAGTCATTTGTGCCACAAACAGTGAATCAGGCAAAGAGACATAGAGGTAAAAGTTTGTTATAACAGGCGACACAGCTTGGTTTGTAACAGCATACAGTATATCTAAAAGTGGAAAACTCAGGGTATATATGTCCACCTGATTTTAAACAGGTGTCTGATGGAGAGTTTGGAAGGAAAGCAGACTGACAGAAAGCTCAAAATGTTCGGACCTGTGGAGTTAGAGGTACAGCTGGATCTTCTAACTTGCACAACACCGCATATACGTTTAATTGTAGCGTTTTCTCTATGAAAGGTTATTGAATGGAAATAAAAATTTACCCCAAAAACAGCTCATGAGAAATGGCTTCAAAGCAGCCTGATGTGCGCCTGTAATCCTCTTCTCCTCACCACATTAACATCAGCCATCTGTGTGCAACGCTGGGCACCTGGATTTGCACCTTCCCTCCAAAGGGGTCACACTCAGAATCAATAAAATGATTCTCAGGCTTAGCAAAATTAACCTCGTCGCAGTTTCTCCTCTCAGGATTTTTCACTCCGGAGTACAAATGCTGCATGCATATTCATCTATACTGCAAATTAATACTGAAGTGGCCAACCTCAGTGTGCACCACTGCAGAAGATCGGCTTGGCCTTTTGTTTGCAGGTGCTATGAAATTTATAGAAGTGCTTTTACTCGTACAAACCTTTACGTGTAACTGAAGTGACATTGGTTCCAAGTCTCAAACCCATATTGTTTATTATCACCAAACCTCCATGTAGTAAAACTTAATTAATAAATCTGGCCAAGTTATCATTACAAATTTCATGTGTGCTTTGCATGAATGGCTTTACAAGGGGAGGAACATTAGTATGAGACGAGGTACAGCTTCATTATCAGCCAATTACTCCGGGGCTACATAAGAGTCTCATTAAGATCACATTTCTTTACCATAAACAATTAATCAAACCAATATTTCACACGCGCCGTTTCTGATGGAGAATTTCACTCCATAAACTTGATAACCTCGACGGTCCACAGATTTCCGTATCTCCAGTCAGTCAGGGTTGATTTACGACCCGGCTGATGTTCCTCCTCTACCTCAGCTCATTACAGCTGTGCATAGATTTTAGAATACATGTACAATGGTTAAAGCTATAATGATTATAAAACAAGCCCATCCTCCACACACACCCACAGTGATTAATGACCACTGTCAGTCATGGTGCAACATTAGCTCAGCCCTTTACCAAGAGCTGTGACTTAGAGGAGCTCTGCAGACATGAACGCTCACACCTCTAACGTTTAAGCTAGTGTCAGGAACGAACCACTCAGACACATCCTGAGCTGTTTGAAAAGATTTTATACTCAGACACAGACAAGAATTATCCGCTGATGAACTTAACCTGATAGTTGAAATATTTTCTGAGCAAAATTTAACCCAGAAAAATGCTTTTAGTGAGAAAGAGAAGCTTTTATAATACCAAACAAAAACAAAGTGTCTGATGAACAAAACGTCAACCTTGTAAGAGAAAATCATCTTCATTTAATGTTCTGCCTCGTGTATTGTTGATAATTCAGGCTCAGAGCCTGAGGAGTGATGAAACAAAGCATTGAACACATCCCTCCCAAAACTGACTGCACTTTAAAAGGTCTATTTTCACATCGTTAACGTCTTTGTCTCTGCTTTTGCAGATGAGTTGCTGCTACTGTTTAACCTTCAATTATCTTTTTTTTTTTAATGAAGTCACAAAACAGCTTATGAAACATTGCTTTTTCAACGGGGGATGCATCAAATTACAAATCAGTTAGTTCTCCTAACAAGGGTTATAATTTTATTTCTGAAACTGTAAAAGCTAGAAGTTTACTTCTTTGGTTGTTACGATGTGTAACAACCAAAAAAGTAGTCATTCTCGCTCTGATCCTCCTTCAGAGGTAGTAACAGAGGCAGAAGGGGGTGAAGGCGGGGGGAAAATGTAGTGCTGGAGAAGCTCAGAACAGCGCTGTGTGAAGTGTAAGAGTGTAAGACATCAGTGTTACACCTTTTCAGGGTGCAGCGTGTACTTATGGTGTAACTCTGACACTGTGCATGATTATAATTCATTTAATTAGAGGCAAAAAACTGCAGTACAGTACTATACAATGCAAATCAATATATTACTTTATGAGTTAGTATAAGAGAAAAACATGATACAAAAGGTGCATTATGATAGGGGGACCATACATCCTCTTTTACCCACACATGTCCTCTTTTTGGGGGGCTGTCTGGCCTATCCAGCGAGAGTTTATAAAATCCTTCAAATGCCTGGGGTTTTGTAATGAAGTTTTGAGTTTGTGTTGCGTGGACTAACTGAGTTAGAAGTGTGTAAAAAAACACTCGACCCGTAAAACCCTCAAAATTTTGCTAGTAGTGTCCTGTTTTCAGAATATGATCACCCTACAATGTGAGACATCAGGATATCATGCATGAAAAAAACAATTACCTGCAGTACAGATAAGATACATTTTAATTATGGCCATCAAAGAAATTGACTTGTGTAAAGAGCTATAATTTTGCTTTTCATAACAGCTTGAAAGTCCATATTTTCTACCTGTGCTGCAAGTTTGACTTCTTAATGACATCCATGATCCTTGGTTAAAGCTACAGCCTTTGCACTTTTCAGAGTTTCAGTTCCAGGTTGTCTGCATACTCTGTTCCACACAGGTCAAGGTCCTCCATGTGTGAAGCTATCCTTTCCTACAACAGTAAGGCAAATCCTTGAGCCTGAGTCTCTCTTAATGTTGACCAGCCCTCAGTCAGGCTCTGCCACTAACATCTTTGAGTTTCTGCCAAAGTCTGTAGTGAATCTCAAAACCCTAAAATAGTGCTCTGCAGGTTTTTGTGATGCAGTTGCACACTGATGTCTGTCTAATTAGTTTTAATTCTGTTTGACACAAAGTGCATGTACTTTTTGACTTGTCAGACAAACTGTCTGGGAGATTTCTTCAACTGAGATGTGCAATTATACTGTGCTAAAATTGACAAAATAGAACATGATTTTGAAAGATTAGCTTGAACATTTTTCACAATAGTTATGTCAGGATTAACAGGTTAATGCTAAAAGTCCTACTGATATATTTCCTGCAAGAAGGTGCAATGATCTGTTGTGCAAATATGAATTATCTTTTTAGCAAAACATAATGATGCAATCCAACATATAGTGTTTTGGATGCATGAATGTTGAATATTTAAGTCATATACTGTATAATTACAATAAACACTATCTTTCTAGTGTCAGGCTGCAGAAACATTGCATATGCATTTTTAATCTTCAAATTTCCATTTTATTAATTTCTGCTGAATCGTTCACAGTCAAATCATCAAAGGATTTATGCATGTGCAAAACTTTTTTTAAAGTAAAAAAAAAGAAAAAGGAGCACTTCCTGATGTTTTTAAAAGAGCCCATTAGTTAAACACTGAGCCTCATGTTAGCTGATTTTTTTTATTGCAGCAGTATGCAGAGGAAAGTTTCACCCTCGGTGGACCCTGCAAAGTTATTTCATCGAATTTAACCTCTAGTTTCTGCAAACACCACACATGCTCTCACACAAGTATCCCTGCCTCATTAGGCAAACTAAGCAGTCACCCTCGAATGTAAGGTGAGCTCAGGCTATACTGTTAAAAAAACTACATACCCAAATTAGGAGGGTCCCCCGCGAGGGAAGTTGGGAAAGATGCCACGGAAACCATGCGTGGATGGAGAAGCTGCCCAGCGAGCTTTGGAGCTGCTTTGAAAAGAAGAAAGACGTTACTTGGATGTTCTCTGCTGCTGTTCTCTGTGAAGATAGCAGCGTGATCGCCTCTTGTCTGGAGTTGCATAATGATGCAAGATGGTGCTCATCATCTGTTTGCACACAGCTCGTGGTTTTTGATTAAGTTTTGTGATGCTCACTCAAAGTTCCTCTGCCTTGTCTGGGAGTCAGGATGTTGTAGCTGCAGGGCTTCTACTGTATCTGATAGCTGCGCTCACCTCGGAGCTCATGCATAAAAAATAGCATTAAACCCACGAGGCTCTGCAGCAACGTGAAAAGAAAACAACTGATAAGTAACAGTGCCATGTGCAAAATTACTTAAGCTCCACATAACCTTGACAAGAGAGCAAAGCACTTGGATGTTTTATATCATCCCTTTTTAGTTATGAATGCACACGGTTTAATTAACGCTGTGCATTTCTGTTTACACCAGACACCTTCGGGGAGCGTGCAAATAATCTTTACGGAAAAATGGTCACATCACGTTCACTCTGTGTTCAATTAATCAAAGAGAGGAAACGACAGCGAGGCCTGCACAAACACAGAATTCATCAATGATTTCACGACCAATAAAGCTGCAGACAAATCACTGTCCTTCTGCAGGAGGAAACCTCGTCCGCTCACAGGAGGTTGTTTATTTCTATCATCACACAGAGAGTTTGTCTTTCTTAGTGTTTGAAAATTGCTAAAGCGAAGCCGTAACCTTATGAATCTTATTGAAAGAGTCAGGTTACAAGTCTGAAAATGACAGAAAACCACCAGCTTTTGATTTTCTGTCTCTATTAGTCTGCTTTATTCGGTCCGAGTGCAGATTTACTGACATTTATTCTGTGTTTGTGCAGGAGGAGAAGGGGGACAGGTTAACCAAAAAGCCTTTTAGGAGAACGTGCTTTAACAAACTGCCTCACAATTTAACATGAATAGAGGGAAATGTCAGTGGTGGGCTTATAAAAAAAAACTGTTCAGCTGATGCTTTTACAAATTTCGGTTTTGGAAAGGATTCGATAAACATTTAAGATCCTTAAAAAGGATTTCGTGATGAGTATTCTCTCCACATTCAACATTTAGCAGTTTTCTTTCCGGCTTTTAAACGCTCTCTGTGGTCCGTTTCCCCTTCAATCTAACTGTCCATCAGGATTTCCAAACTCTCTCATCCCCCACTTGCCTCCTCTAATGTTTAGCAGCGCAGCGGTGCATCATGTTGCCGTGAGTCGATGAATGGAAGCACTAAACCACTCCCAAGACAAAAATGACAAAGCATTATTCTAACAGTGCCACTCTGGAGGAGGCACGCCGGCTCTTCACTGGAGGATTGACTCTAATTTATCGCAGCGAGGAAGTGACTCATTATTATGCAGTTTAAATTCACCTGCTGATTTGTCAGTCATGAGGACAGGTTGAGGTTGAAGTTGCTGTAACAGCTGCTTCAAGATTTTGTCAAATGAAAGACTCAAATCCTGCATCACACTCCTCCTACATAAAACAAAACAAAACAAAACAAGAAAACAACAACAGAAGTATAAGGAGGAGTTTTGAAGTGCAAGCTAAGAGATTAGTGCCTGAAACCGCAGTTCCCCAAGTGTCCACTTGAGGCTGTGTCCTTAGTTGAGTCAATCCCCATAGAGCCCCATGCTGAAATGTCAAACTTTAGACGAGTTTACAGCCTCGTTCAAAATCAGTTTAAGTCTCTAAGGCTAATTTCTGTATTCATGATAATTGTGCTGGTTTGGATTTTTACAAAAACATACCTGCTTGTATTACAACGCCAATTCTGTTAGCATTAGGACACTGTGTTAATTGTCAGTATAACAGAATTTTAAGGTTTGTAAATGTTTTAAGCCCTACATTCAACTAGAAAAGTGAAAAGAGAACATGTAAAAGGTTGAAAGAGGAAGATTTCCCTGTTTCAAGTACTCCGTAAGGTGCTGCGTGAGGAAATGGTTCAGCAATTTCAAAATAAAGTTCCTCAGTGTAAGGATGTCATCATCTACAGTACAAAATATCATTAAAAATCTGGATAAATGTCTGTTCTAAAGGGGGAACAGGGATGACCAGCCCTGGATGGCTGTGATCCGCGAGCCGCACTGATAACAGACATGACTCTGTAGTGGAATTCCAGCATGAGCTTGAAATTCTTTCCTCAAATTTGTTGTTGCATCAGCTAACCCAGATTAAAACTGTACCATGCAAAGGAGAACCATGTGTCCATGACTTGAGTAGCTCATGCTTAACAATATACTCAGATTTTGGAGTAGCTCAAATTGCCATACAGACTTGACTTCTTCTAAACAACAGTATGGCTCTGTAGAAGCAGAGTCCTGATTATTTGCATATATTCCAACACCAGGTCACCTTTGCTGCAGACGAGGGAATGCAACACAATGACGATAATTCCCCTAACCCGAACTCCCTTTGAAACATTTTGCTAACATCAAATTCATACAACAATACAGCAGTTCAGTTGTAACATCTGATGTGACATTCAGTTTGTCATAAATTAGGGTGACCATATTCTGAATCCCCAAAAAGAGGACATTTTTAGAGCTTTTCGGGTCAGATTGAGTGTATCTTAATGCACTTCTAACTCAGAAAGTCCACATGACACAAACTCAAAACTTCCATAAAAAACCCCAGACATTTGAAGGATTTTACAAACTCCCCTGGACAAGGCTGGACAGCCCCTAAAAAAGAGGACATGTCTGGGTAAAAGAGGATGTATGGTTACCCTATCATAAATCAGCTGAACTTCAGCTTTCTGAGTCTGATTCTGTGTGAAATACAGCTGTAAACCTTTTGATTCATAAACTCACGGACTCTCAGAGTGTTAAACTTCTATAACTCAGTGTTTAGTAACCCCTCCCTCCTCTCCAGCTCCACCCTCTAGTCTAACTACGGTCACTTTAAGCTCCCCAAAAAAAAGAAAGAGTCACCACGGGGACAGGCAGCAGACCGGTGTGTCCCGTCACGGTGCTTACATCCAGTATTTTTAGAGTATGGATTAAACTCAATGACCCTACCGTAAATCCTCTAATAGTGAATTTATCAGCAGAGTCAGGTGCTGCTGCTTTGATTTCTGAGGGTCGTTGTGCAGGGGTAAATACTAAATGCATATCATCTCACATCTCCAGCACTGTGCATCAGATTAACAGGTAAGATGATGATGTGTTGCATTGCCGCCCCCTCTCCTCCTCCTCCCTTCTTGCTCTAATACAAAGGGAGCTTATATAAATACAAATGCTGCTTATGAGCGGTGATTCTGTGCGCCGTTACTCATTGTGTTTTCTGTGAGGTACCATTTGGGGAGCCATAAGAACCGCCTTGTTATGTTATATAACAACATCACTGGAACTTTATGTCTGATGCTTTTAAAGGGATGTGCTGCCGCTGCTGCTGTTTGTTGTGCTCTTGTGTGGACACATAACTGTTTATCAAAATGTCTCGGAGCCGGTTTTCAGATTTGTGATAAAAATGTGGCAATCATTCTCCTCCTCTGCGCCGAGCTGTGCAGCCCACCCACATGGGACCCTGAACCAGATCAATCAAATGCAAATACAGTTAGACTCCAGGTCTGCTTTGTAGTCGTGAATCCTCTGGAGATAACAAAGAAAAGCCGCTGACAACACTTTGTTTCACTTTTAACCCGAATGAGTCTTTGCTCAGTTAAATCTCCTTGCTAGGAGGCTGAAACAACCCGAACCTCCTCCAGCAGGGGGTGCCTGATGGGCCACAAGGAGGTGGAGGTGGAGGGCATCCCCACCCCCTCTAACCCCTTCGATCTAATAGCCCCATGGGGAGCAGCTTAGCCCGTCCACTTCATGTTTCCCATTTGGTGGTTAGCAGCCTGATGGGGATGTTTAAGGATGGGAAGCCTTAACGCTCCCATTTGTTTTCCTGCAGGTAATCGATGGCAGACTCAGGGTTACAGCTAATGTGATTTATGTTTCCTATTTCCACTGTTATGCTTCATGTACAAATAGTCTCTGGTGATGAAAATTCCCCCGTCTTTTCACAACTTGCTGACACTGAATCTTATCCTTCAAACCTGCACAATTAATGTTCGCGTCTGTTGCCTTATTTTTCCATTAACACTGGCAGTTTTATACATGTGGTGTTATCTTTAATTTAAATTTATCTTTACCAGATACAGCAACCAAACCACAAACGTAAAAACTACAAATCAATGAATTAGTGTCGTAACGTGCATCCATTGGTGCAGTTATTCTGATTCATGGTTTTATAATCGTCTGTTTAATTTGATGTGATTCTGCAGAAACTAAGTGATACTGTGGTTTATTTTTACATCTGTCTGTTCTCTCTCATATGACGACTATTAGAGCAACATTACAGGTCATAAAGTTTTAAAAATAAAGTCTTATTGTCGTGGGAATGAAATCACAGTCATGTCAAAATAATTCAAGAATTAATTTAGTTAATGATTGTCCACGTAATACTGTTTTACACATCTTAACTTTTTGTTCTGTCTTTTCTAAATCCTGACACTTTTAACGATGTTGAACTGAGAAGACACGATGTAAAGTACAATTAAGTGAGACGAGGGATGGGGATCGTTAAGTTTCATCGATAACCATTATCAAGACTCCTTAATGATTCAAGTCCAGATCAATACTGTTATCAAGTCTTTTCTATTCTTGATTACCTTCAAACTGTTGTCGAATATAAACTGATTTTTCATCAAAAACTATTTTTCAGGACATCTGAACACATCATGATAACGTATCATCTACTTTCGACGACCCTGAACAGCTCACAGTGTAATCGTCTGCCGCCTCCATTAGACATCTAACTAGCTTTTATCCTGCTGATTTCAACACAGATTTGAACTTTGGATCGTGACTTTTAATTAGCAAGACTCCCTCTATAGTCTGGTTGTGTTTACTTTGGCTGCTCTGGGTGAAGAGGAGGAGGATGGCAGCCCTGCAGCAGCAGCAGCAAGAGTTGGCAGAGTTGTTCAAGTCTCAGATAGTCAAAGATCTGCATTTCCGCTTGATTAGATGCTCTGTGCTGATATGTTTGGCCATAGAGGTTTTGTTCCTCCTTTGCAAGAAATGATTTTGCAGCATGGACTAAATTTTGCTCCTTCTCTGTCTTCAGCTTCGGGATCACTGTAGCCACACTTTGGACCTTCTCATACCTTCACCATTGTCAAAACTCTCCATTGAAATTCTTTGAGTATAAACTTCGTGGCTAAACTTAAAGTATAACATAACTCCAGGGACTCTCGAGACTTAATTTAGGGTTTGTGCCAGGTCCAAATTCCATGGACCCGGTTTATGATCCCAATCCCTAAGATGTAGGGCTGGGCGATATGGCCTCAAATCAATATCACGATATATTGAGCAGTTGGGGGACTCCAGGATGGGGTGGAGTCATGTCTCTGATGGAGAACAGCATCTTACGACATTAATCCTAGTTTGAAGTTGAGACGGTATCTAAATACTTTGTGTTTTCATTGACAACAGTTTGTCTTTTCATGAGCATTTCTGTATGTTACTTAAAAGGTGGAGGTTTCACTGCAGAAATAAGTGTTACTTTTAGTTTTACATGAAAAAGAAACTAGTGGACTCGACTTTTTTACCTGTTCTTGATTATGGTGGCGTGATGTACAAAAGTCGTTACAGCCTCGACAGCATGCATCATGATACATTGAGATTTATTACAACTGGAAGTTTATCTACTCACCATTGGAGTCATTTGGACTACTTTGAGTACATGTTGGCTTAATCGTTAGTAAATCTTATTTATGAAGCTAATCAAGGTAAAACACCAGACTACCTTTCCTCATTTTTAACCCTGAAGGATTGGACCTGGAGTAGACGAAGTTTATGTGGGAGGGGGTGAGCAGCTTGAGGAGTAGTTATCGTCTATTTATCGCTATTGAGGTGAACTGCTCAATATATCGTGATATTGATCTGAGGCCAAATCGCCCGGCCCTACCTAAAACTGCTGTAAAGTCGTCACTTTCATCCATAATTAAAGTTTACCGAGTAATGTGCCGCTCTGCTCTTGTCTTCCTTTTCCCTCGTTTGACAGTTTTGTTTGTCTTTTCTAAAAATCACAGTAATTTAGTTTTCCTGGATTTCTTCAGGCCATGAGGGGAAACTCTGACAGTCTGACAGCTCGGGTACAAATACAAAAGAAATCAAGTCTGCTCACCTTCGTCATTAACATCTCCTCCGCTGAGAAACATGAATGAGTTAACGCTGGATTGTGTTGGATTAAGCGCCTCAGAAACTACAAACGAGAAAACAACACTCTCTGCAGTCATCTGAGGCAGTGATGCTTTATTGATAAAACCTTGAAGACTTCTGATTTCCTGCACAAACAAAAAGATTGTTTGTTGACAGTGAAGAAAACCTGGACGGTCTGAGAGGCTCTCTGACGGTCGGCACAAAGAGGAAAGGATGAATAGACTTCTGATTGAACCCACGATTGCAATCAGCTGAAGGGAAACTGCACATGAAAGGCTGATTCTCTCTATATGACAGTGAAGCATGTTCCATTTTTACTCCCACAGCATGTTTGACAAACATGTTTTCATGCCTTATTTAAGAGGAGTTCAAGGTGCAGCCCAGAGTGGAGAATTTTCTTCATCGTATCTTTTCTGACAAGATGAGAAAAAAAAACACGTTTCTCGAGCTGCTGCCGCCGCTCTGTTGTCAAGGGAACATTTCTGTGCTCCAAGGAAGCACGCTCAAATATTTGCATGAAGGCAAAATACCACATTTAAAGGCGAGGAGATCAAATCGAGCGTTTCATTTCTTTAAAACAGGAACCACTTCTACAACCACTCCAAACCTCAGGATATGAGATGGCCGCGTCGTAGCCACCGCATGGCTCCCTATCTTTGAGTCCTGTGATTGTTTTCTGTTGATGCTTTATGTTACAGAGAGTGCGCCTCGTGTTTTATCATCTGCTATCTGTTGTTGTGTGTTCGCCAGCCTGCAGCTGATGATGCAGTGTCCCTGTGCAGGAGCCAAGGACAGCTGAGCTCAATGGCCTGATGGACGAAGAAGAGAGGGCCAGAGAGGACGGAGAAATAGACTTCAGGATGTTCATCAGCTGGATGAACTCTCATAAATCACAACACACAGCTTTGTGTTGTTATGACAGTATAATTACATTAATCAGGTCTGAATCTTTGACACACTCTGTCCATAAACCTGCGCATAAATCAGCTTCATCTAAGAGACACAATAACCTTACGAGACGGGGATTTGATTTCCGCTCTGCTCATGAATTATAAACACCGAGAGAGCAGGGAGACAAAAGGGGAAAGTGTCTATAAATAAGGATATTGACACATGTGATCCAAAACTGTTCCTTTTAATGGAGAGTGTAACATGGTCCCGGATGTGCAGTACATCACAAAATGCTTTCAAATGAAGTCATAAATTATAAACAGCAGACTTGTGACCTTTAATGCAGCACAGTTTTCTAAACAGCGGCGACAGCGTCTATCAATCTGAACCAACGAGGGAATTCACACCAGGAGAAATGTTTAATAATCCTGTTTTTAAAATGACATCTTCATCTTTAATATCTGACCCCTCGTTTATAAACGTTATTCTCTGCAGATCATTGGTAACGTGGATTGTATATTGATTGTTTTTAATCATCACTTGCGTCTGTGTTTACATGCAGATTTAATTTTGTTTGTCTATATTACTGCTGCTTATTCATTAGTAACTAATTAACTTCTTCATAAATAATCATGCTGTTAATTGAATGCAGCACAGGAGTCGGGGACGGATTTCTACGAGGGAAGGAGTTTATCAGATCAGACTTAATGTTGTTGTGTCCTATTCTAGCACTCAGGCCATACAGGATGGATTATATGAATGTAGTTTAGCTTATTAAAAAGCAACCTATATCATCACATCCTATTCTTTTATTTCCCATCCTGTCCTCTCCCATGGTGAGCTTAATTAGTCACTTTCAAATTGCCTGTAGGTGTGAATGTGAGTGTGGATGGTTGTTCGTCTCTATGTGTCAGTCCTGCGATGAACTGATGACTTGTCCAGGGTGTCCTCTTCCTTCGCCCAAAGATGCTGAGATAGGCTCCAGCCCCCCCAACATGATAAGCCGTAGAAAATGGATGGATGGATGTTCTCTGTCATCTCGACCAATCCCTTCCAAGCCTTTCCTATCCCATCCTATTTTTCCTATACTATCCTTTTATATCTTATCCTGTCCCGTCCTTTCCTACTTTATCTTATCCTATCCTGTCATATCCTTTTCTGTCCTGTCCTACCCTGTCCTATCTTGTCCTATCCTCTCCCATCTCTCACTGTTCTATCCTATCCTGTCCCGTCCCATCCTATCTTATTCCATGCTATCCCATCCTTAGCTATCTTGTCCTATCCCATCCTATCTTATTTCATGCTCTCTGATCCTATCTTGTCCTATTCTACTATCCAATGCTGTCCCGTCCTTTCTTATTCCATCCTATCCTAATCCATCTCTTCCTATCCTGTCCTATCCCATCCCATCCTCTCTCATCCTGTCCCATCCTCTTATCCCATCCTTTCCATCCTGTCTCCTCCTATCTGATCCTATCCCATCCTATCTTATTCCATGCTATCCTGTCCTACCCCATTGTATCCTATTCTTTCCTATCTCATCCTGTACTATCCAATCTTAGCCTCACCTTTCCTATCCTATCCTTTCCCATCCCATTCTATCTTATCCCATCCTACCCTGCCCTATCCTTTCCCCTCCTAAATTATCCTCTTATATTATATTTCATCCTTCTGTTTCCTTATTTTCTATCCTATCCCACCTTCTCTTTCCCCACCCAACACTTTTCTGCCTCACTTTAAAGCACCTTCTCTATCTTATCTTTATCTCCTCTGCATTTTCTCTGGCAAATAAACATAAAAAACACTTCTGTCCCTATCTGCCCTCTACAACTCTGAAGTTATTACTTTTTGCTTATCATCATCACAATGTCAGAACTTCTTTTTTTTTCAAGTCCAGAATATTGGACTTGTCGGCACATGTGATTTTTGTAGCGACACAAACATAACTGAGTGAAAAATGTTTTAAATGTCTTTTTCTTTGGTTTTATCAAATTAATGAGGTGATACAAAAGCCGTTTGAACACTGAAAAGATCATCTGAGTCGAGTTAAATGATCTGTACACTGAGGGCAGGAGTTTCCGTCTCTGTTGTAGTCACATTTCAGCATCAGCTGGTATTAAATTCCACCAGAGAGAAATGTCAGAAAGTTTGAAAAAAGTGGAAGTCACGCTAATTCATGATTTGCAAAGGAGGATATTATTCATCACTTCACTTGTCACGGCTTCATTATGCTCCATAAATTCAGAGGAAATAGTCGATAAGAAAGCCGCTCGTTGAAAGAGGAATGACGTGAATTCTCCGTCTGCCTCCGTGATGAAGTCATGAGAGGAGTCGTAAACAGTCGTGATGGTTTCTGTCAGCTGATCCACAGCTGGTAAATCAGTAACTGTACCATTCAGGCTGCAGAAATCAGCTTGATTGATTGCAATTAAAACGTCGTCGTCGTCATCCCAGAGCGTGCTGAAAATGTGCCGCCAAACACGGTTTGAAAACCGACACTTCTGACTCCTCAATAAGGACAATTCATGAAGTGAGCGTTGAATGGCTTCATAAAAACTGTGGTAATGAAAGCAGTTTGGTTCCTCCGAGGGGGGATTATCGCTAATTGGCCCAGCTGGATAAACAGAGCTGCTGGTGTTAGCATACTGCACAGAAGAGCAAACACCAACCTTTCTCTACCTTCCTGCATTTTGCATAAGAATTATCTCTGAGCTGGAGCATTATTACATCTCAGGGGATAAAAATGTCCCCTTGACATTTAGTCCGACCCCCCTGCACACATCTCCTACCCTCTTTTTTCACTTCTCATCATGTCTCTCAGCTGCTCATCTCATTTTTGTCCTCCTTTCCCCATCTCCCCCTTACCCTTCATCTCTTTTGGTCTCCCGGCCCCATCTCAGGCTCCTGATTCACTGCTCTGTCAGGAGATCAATAGAAAGGCTCTCTGTCAGGAGGAGCACAGCATCCCCCCCACCACCAACTCACTATGTCTCCCCAGACTGCAGACACACAGCCAGCCGGGTTACTGGCTTACTACATGTCATACTGGAGAGTCTCCTCTCCTCCTTTTCCTCCCCTCCAGATCACTTTTCATCACCGCACCTCAAACCTGATTAAGGAGGAGTCAAAAAGAAAAAAAGCAGAGCGCTGTGATGGGCTCCTCAAAGAAGAAGAGGAGTGGAGCTTTTTTTTTTCAGGATACTGCCCGAGAAAATAGGATATCAGTGCAAGACGAGAGGGGTATAAAGGAAATAAAAACAGGGTGAGAGAGAGAGAGAGAGAGAGAGAGAGGGAGAGGGGGGAGAGAGAGAACTTGTGCATTCAGCTAAGCTGCAAAAGGCTGGCTCCTCTTCCCTCCTCCCTTGCTCCCCGCCTCTCTCCACCCCCTGGAAAAGTGTTCTGTCTCTCTCTCTACCTCTTTTCTCTCTGCCTGGCTCTGCAGCTGTGGTCTGCTGAGCGTCACCTCCACACAGCAAGTGCCTTTACTTGAGCAGAAGAGGGAGAAAGAAGAGGTAGGGGGGCCGCGAGACAGAAGTGAAATCCCAGGGGTGTGAGTGTGTATGTGTGTGTGTGTGTGAACGCACCGCAGAACAACAGCAGCAGCAGCAGCATCTCTCCACTTTGCGGAGCGGGGTTTGAGGAGAGCACAGGAGACAGACGGGCAGAGGCAGGCGGTGTTGGAGTATCACAGCGCTGGTGGTGCTGGCAGAGCGTGCTGAGTAGAGACAGGGGAATCCACTGGCACGGCTGATCCTGGTGTCTCTGGCAAGAGCTGCTGGAGTGGGAGACAGAAAAAACAGTGCAGCAGCCAGGATCACGCCAGGGGGGCAGCATTTTACCGCGACAACCAAGCGTGGAGGCAGCTGAAACCTGCAACACACAACAGCACATGCACACAAACATACGTGCACACTGACACACATGCACACCGCTAAGTGGGGAAGGACATTTAGACACACGCTGCATTTAAACGATCCATTACAACCCCTTTCTCTTTTTCTGAACTGCACAAACTTCCACAGGAAAAGAGACTAAATCTGCGTTTTCTGGTCCATGGATGGAGGATAAAAGAGAGGAAAACTTCTGGATATGAAATTCTGTTTTTAGCAGGACCTATCAGGGGATTTCTACACTAGAAATAACTTTTTTTATTTGGGAGTTTGAGGTTTATCCAAGCAAAGCACAAAATCACAGAGACGGAGAGCGAGCTTTGTCACCGTTAAGAGGCTCCTGATTCAGTCCGAGCAGTAAGTGGATTATGACAGCTACATTTTGGGATTTCTCTTTTACGTCTAGAAAAGAGAGCGAAATAGATCCGGGACTGGTGGATTTATGCTTGTCAGAGAGGGAGAGGATCCCGTGTGTTTCCTGCGCTCCCCTCCTGTGGATTACAGATGGGCTTTGTGATCTCTCAGTGCAGTCTCATGGATGATCGCTCGCTGCCAGTCATTAGGATAAAGTACAAAGAGGGACACAAGTGAGTATTCATCTGGATTTTTTTTTATCTCTGACGGATTAAACTGGAAAGAAAACAATGCTGTCGGAAGGGAATCTGTAATGAGAGCACACCGCAGCAGCTTTTTTTCTCTGTGAAAATCAGAATAAAGAACTTGTCAGTTAAGCTATTGTGCTCTGATAAATTATTGATTACCAGGGTGCAAATGGTCGACACACACCCCGAGATTTACTGATTCAAAAACTGGGAAACCGTGTGTTTACAGACAATTAGCCAATGAACATAATTTACTAAATGAGGGGTGCTGTCTGCCCGGCAGGTGGCTGGGGCACGAGCGGAGATTGATTGAAGTGAACCGTGAGAATCCTATTAATGCATCCTGGATTCTGGCCAAAGGAGAAGTGATGGAGGGGAGCACCGCTGTCTAACAGCACATCTGATCTGCCTCCTCACTGGACAAACTGAGCCCCCTCTGCACCCCCTCTGCACTCCCTCTTCAACAACACTCCTCCTCCTCCTCCTCCACCTCCTCCTCTTCTCACCCAGGCAAGTATGGTACCACCACCTCCCACCAACAAGCCCCACGTGTGCCTCTCCACCATCCTGATCATGAGCAGCATGGCGCTGATCGATGCCTACCTGGTGGAGCAGAACCATGGCCCGCGCAAGATCGGCATCTGCATTATGGTGATGGTGGGGGACATCTGCTTCCTCATCGTCCTGCGGTATGTGGCGGTGTGGGTGGGCGCTGAGGTGCGAACAGCCAAGCGAGGCTACGCCATGATCCTCTGGTTCCTCTACATCTTTGTGCTGGAGATCAAGGTCTACTTTGTGTACCAGAACTACAAAGCGGACAGGAAGAGTTTGGATGCGCTCGCCAGGAAGGCATTGACGTTGCTGTTGTCCATTTGTATCCCGGTGCTGTTTGTGGTGCTGGTCGCGATCGACCACATGGAGTACGTCCGAGCCTTCAAGAAGCGCGAGGAAATCCGTAACCGTCTCTTCTGGGTGGTGGTGGACCTGCTGGACATCTTGGACATCCAGGCCAACCTGTGGGAGCCTCAGAAGAAGGGTCTCCCTCTATGGGCGGAGGGCCTCATGTTCTTCTACTGCTACATCCTCCTCCTGGTGCTGCCCTGCGTGTCCCTGAGCGAGATCAGCATGCAGGGCATCAACATTGTACCCCACAAGATGCTCCTGTACCCCATCCTCAGCCTCGTCACCATCAACATCATCACGCTCTTCATCCGTGGGGGGAACATGATCCTGTACAGGGACAACCGGGTGTCCGGGATCCTAATAGGGAAGAACGTGCTGGCCATCATCTTAAAGACCTGCAGCTTCGTGCAGTACAGGAGACAGTTGCAGAATGCTTCTCCTGCCTTCGGGGTGGAGCTGCAGAAAAACTCTGTGGCCCACGCTCGCCCTGCCCCCACCCCCCCTCAAGTGGTCATGCAGGACCAGACACCCCTCCCCGAGATGACGACGTGTGAACACACATGACAGAGCGACGAGGTGAATCCTCATGACGTCTGCATCGATGTGACCCTTTGGACGCCATCGGGGCACGAAGTCCCGCACCTCTTAGGGCATGTGAATGCTCGTGTGAACACGCAGGACGCTGCAGACGCTCTGTAAGATCCAAAGCAGTCATGGTGCAAAACAAAACGCAGCATCGGTTGTGACTTTAAAGAAACGTTCAGTTAACTGTGTATTTTTTTCTAAATCGTACAAAAGGAAAAACGCAAACTCCTGTGAGTCTAGAGAAGATCTATTTTTTGAATGTGTGTGTTGCATTCTATCTTAACTTTAAGGGTCTGTGTGCTGTGGTGTGTATTTCTGTTGCTCGAATGTTCTCTGTAGTCGAAGGCTTTAACACGACCGAATCAGAGAAAGAGAGAGAGTAATGAGGATGAACATAAGAGTTAAAGCTTTCTCCTGAGAGACGTGTGTTTTTATATGTGATTCTTTGATAAAGTATTGTGTACAAGATGAAGGTTTCCTGCTCATTGACTGACTCCCGAGGGCTCTTTAACGGAGTAGTAGGGAAAAGTTGAGTATTTTCCACTTTTTAATTAAAATTCAGCACATGTCCTTTAATTAACCTGGGTTAGAGAGGGAAAAAAACGACTGATATTTCTCGCTCTGGCTCAATCTACAATTAGAGACTACTTAAATCCTGAAGTGGTGCCTTTGCAAATTCATTACGTTAGAGTGAGATGGTTATATTCCAAACTGCTTACTTTAAATGATTTTCTGCAGAGTAATGAAGAGGGGCGGAGGAACGAACGACATTTTTCAAAACTGGAAAATTAAGATTACCAACACTGCTATCAAGTCTCAAGGGTCCTAAGATTCATATCATTTAAATCAAACCACTGAAGCACAAATCTCAGTTCCATAAGAGTTGGGACGCTATGTCAAATATCGATAAAACAAAATACATAGATTGAATTCAAACGGCGCAAAGACAATATATGAAATATTCAAACTGAGACGCTTTACTGTTTTATGAAAAATATATGCTCATTATGAATTTAATGCCAGCAACAAGTTTCAGAAAAGTTGGCACAAGGATTGAAAACACTGGGAAAGTAGTGAAATGCTTAAAATCTCTGAATTTATGAAGTTATTTTATCGCAAGTCTGGGTATGAAAAGGCACATCAGAGAGGCTGAGTCTCTCTGAAGTAAAGACGCAAGGAGGTTTGTCACTCTCAGAGAGACTCTGTGAGGAAATAATGTTCCCGAGTGCAAAATTGGAAAGAATTTGAGGATGTTGTCATCTATGGTTCAAAAAGCATTACGAAGGTACAAAGCTGAAAACCAGTTCTGAATAGAGGTTAGTTTGGGTGACACCAAATGCAGTTCACAAAAATCTGTATAAAGGAAACCTCATGCATACTTAATTCTAGGTTTTAAATTAGATTTAGTCAAAATCTGATGTTCTTTTAGATGTTCATCCTCCTTTATCAGGAGGAGAGCGAACACCTGGCTTTTATTAGCCACAGCACCTCTGATGGTATGAAAATTCATGAGCGCACATGGCACGAGTACCTTACACATCTGGGAAGGTGGCTGACAATGCCTTTGTGTGCAAGAAGATGTTAAGCTGCCTTTAATGTGTGTTACTACAGCAGGGCTCTGCAGAAGAAGAGTCTGGGTGCAGTCCTGACTCGTCAGTCATCACCCAATTTATCTGGTGCATCACGCCACAAAAGTTACGTCATCGTTCTGTTAGCGAACTCTGCTATATTATCGTTTCCACAGCGTCCAAAATCTTACAGAATTGAGCTGTACAGGAACTGATGTCAAGTAAAGTTTTTGGAAGAACAACTTGTGTTTTAAAATCATTTTAAAATCAGGTTACAGTAGATAAAACACGTTTTAGTGTTTGAGAACAGTCTCTGAAGTCCTGGACCTTGGGTGTCTTTGCTGCTGCTCTCCCTGCTGCTAGCTTTGCTATTCCTCTCAGAGCTGAGCCGTACTCCCAAACATGATTTGTTGTGTGAAAATTATTACCTCTCTTTAATAAAGGGGTCCTATTCCTGATCATGTCCCTTAAGCTACCAGCTCTGTACAAAACGTTTATCCTATCATCTCCTCTTTCCACCAAATTAAAGCAAGTGTGGAGAGCAGATTTGATAAGGAATCAGATTGTTGGGAGGCTCAATAATGGTATCAATATCAATAAAAATTAATGATCCCCATCCCTAGTTAAGACCGTTTCGATCACCCCTGAGTGTACCATAATACTGTTGCCACAGGACAGAATAAACAGCCGAGGGGGTGACACTGCAGATGGATAAATGATTCCTAAATAAGGTAACCTGTTTAATATCCTCCTCAGGCGCTCGCCCACTGTCTGTGCTCGGGCTTCGAGGCAGATCTTTATTAGCACTGTCATTTGTTCTTCACGCAACAGGACTGAACGCATACTTGGGTCCAGTGATGTGAATCCAAACAACAGCCAGGAAATCATCAGGCCCGTAAAATGACAAATCTCCTGCAATCTTTTCCCCCTCACTCACAGCTGAGTCAGTTTTCAGAAACACACACATTTGAGTGTTTTCTTAAAAATGTCAAAAGCTGCAGAAATCTCCCAGGAAAGAGGTTTTACTCGAAGGTTGATTTTTCACCACAGGGGTCGGCTGCAAAAGGAGACAGAGATGAGAATGATGACGGTCAGGTCAGGTGGTATGATATGATGTAGAGCAAACAAGCAGATCATAACACTGAGATAAAAAAATATTTGATGTTTCTGCAACGGGATCTTTCTGCGCTTGGTTAACTTGCTTTGCATAATCTCTTCCTCAGCAGTGACTTCTCCGCTAATTCAAACATAGACATTCAGTCCAGGTTTGTTCTCACGATGACAGATTAGGTGATCAGAGAGCCGTGACTTCATGTCCTGACTTGACCTACAGATAAGACATAGCAAGAGGACGCCCAGGGATGCTAATAGTTTCTGCTGACCAGGTTGCTTCGGTGTAGCTGCTGTTTCCCTCCAGTGTTTCTTGCACTGTAAACACAGTAAGGCTGTCACTGCATATCCAAAGTTTCTTATTCGAGGGAAGTTTAAATTCTGATCAGCTGAATTCAGAATCTATAGTTTATCAGCGCATCAGGACCTTTGATGGATCAGATGGTTCTGTCATCATTACCTGACCATTGCACGGCACTCTTGACCTCAGTAAAGGGATGCAGTGATGATGCTTTCAATTTAAGTCAAAACACCTGAGGTGCACCTGTCAGGTGAGGTGGGGGGTATTTTGGGTCCTACACTACAACACAATAAAAGAATATAAACCTGTGGGCTCACCTGTAAGGCAGAAGATGAAGAAGATAGATTTGTATTTCTGGTAATATGGCGTTCAGAATTACAGCAACAAGCTGTTTGGTTTCATTCAAATATGTCAGAGTTCAAGTTAAAGTTATCAAAAGTCTAATGAAAGTTTCTGAAAAGCAGTTTCGTTTCAGGTCTTTCTGGCTGGTACTACAGTTTTGTTATCACCTCATGTCGAATTTTGGTTCCAGCTTGAATTCTTGACAAAGAGACAGCCCTTGGAGGCAGGATGGCTGTTGTTGTTGTCAGAGCACCACAAACTTTTCCAACAACTCATAATTTTATCTTGCAGCACTAACTTTATTTTTCTAAACTTTTTTTTTGCTTTGCTTTACATCTATATTTGGGACTTTTGCACTTTTTTAAAAAGAAAAAGCAGGAAGAAAACTTAAGCATGCAGAAGTTTCTGTTAAAGTAGTCATGAGAGGTCTACGACATGATCATGGCACACTTCGCAGGATAAAGCATTCAACATTGGAGCTAAAGGATCTTGAATCTCTACATCTATGTTATCGGCTTATAATTGTAGTCATAATGTTAACTCTGGCCTTGGCATTACTTATACAATTCATACAAGACTGCTTTAAAACACTATTACAGCTCTGTTTGTTATATTTTAGGGTTACAACTCAGATATCGTTCATTCTCTATGTTGTGATTGTTGGCTACACATCTGCATAGAAACTGAACATGGTGGAGTTTGCTCAACACAATGAGGGACCTCTTTCCCTTCAGACACCCCCCCCCAATAAAAAAAAGTGCCTCACCTACCGGTGCGACTTTACAGTAAACCATCAGCTAACAAGCCAACAACGCAAAATATTATGTAGAAGTCACACAGGTACAAAAGCCACAATCGATTTAAACTATTTTCCTGCATGAAGGCTTTCCATGTGTTCAACAATGTGTTGTTTTCATGCAGATGTGTAGCCTTTCCAAGCATCAGGGCTCTATGTATTGTAGCTAAGCACAGCCTGCAGTAGAATTGATAATTCTGAGTTAGTATCAGACCCAATTCTGAGTGACTGGCGCCATCTCCTACGCGATGAATTAGCTATTTGAAAAACAAGCAATAATCTGCCGCACCTCTGATTTTAATGAGAAAACCTTTAATTCTCTCGAAGCCTTGCTGCTGAACAAAGTGGCTGAAGATTTCTCAGATTTGGCTCAAAGCCGGAAAAAAAAACCTTTAAGTGCCCTTTAAAGAAGTATTGAGCTCTTACACAAAGACACGACTCCTAACTCACAAAAGGCAGCATTGAAATTTAACTGGCATCTTCTTCGTCTTAATCTTTCCTAAATTTGGCATGTGTCTGCGTATCTTAAAACTCTTTGGGTTAGACAGGTTCATTGTATGGAGGCGTCAAGGCCAAATAATCTTGAGTTAAAACGTCTGCACCGAAGAAGAGGGATGAGAGAGCCCTAAGTGGAAAGTACAACTTGGATTCACACTCACTAAAACGCTGAGGACCTGCATAATAAACTCCCTCATTTCATCTCTCTTGAGCAGTTGAAGTTTATGTGTGTGCATTTAAGTATGAGTTACATGGTTACTTTACATAAGTACATTGTAAAATAAGCAAAACAGTGCTCTTGTGTTTGAAGTGATCCTTTCCTGGAAGCTGTCTGCATTGCCATGTGCATGAACAGATGATTCTCTGCAGTCACACAGTAAAACCAGATGGCTGCAGAAAAAAAAATGACTTTAGAATAATCCAAATGCCTTTTCTTGCTGTGCAGATTATTCAATCTGTTAAATCAAACATATGCAAATATCAGCAGGGCAGATTTTACCCTGTCCAAAACACACATCATTTGTTTACAAAGCTGGCATCGCTGTCCAGCTACATTTGCTTACACCAAGGTTTGGGTAAATACTGGAATTTGATTGGCTGCAGGTCATCAGTAACTTTATCTGAGATGGTTTGTGCACTGCTCTAAATTAATGTACTGCAATGCATTAGCTTGTGGCTAAAATGAGTAACGATAGCAACAGAGCCATAGACAAAGCCTCTGTTTATGATTTATGCATCTTATTAACAAGCTCACATCATATTACAGCAATAAAAGACCTAAACGGAGATGCAGCTGGACAGTACGAAATTGAAAATATAGAGAATGATAACAGCAGTAACACCACAGAGTGGCACTTCAGGAAATAGACTTCTTTTTTCAACTGACTGATGTTGCAGATAACGTCAAAGCTGCAACTTTCAATTTTTAAAGTGAAGCAAATACAGACTGCAGGTCTAAAAATCCCTTTAGGTTGCATGTTAAAACGTCCTTTTTTGCAGCAAAACTACACTTACCCTTAAAGGAAAAGGAGCTGAGCAGCCAAACGAATCTTGCATGTTTGGCCACCACCACCCACGTATCATCCTTTACGGGGACAACAGTCTTCTTGCAGGGCATAACCCTTCACTGCATTTGTAGCCTCACTCTCTACACCCTTAATTTTCACGTTTTCTTAGGCTGTCCAATCCAACAAAGACAAAGTCCTCCCTTGACAAAAAAGTACCTCAGCGGCCTAACAAATCTTGTTTGCTGCATGTCTTCCCCCAACTCTCTACACCCTTAATTTCCTGTCTATCTTAGGCTGTCCTATCCAATAAAGATAACCCCCTGCTTGAATATAAAAGAAACTGCCTGGATGGCCAAACTAATCTTGTTTATTGGGCCACCCAGGTATCTACCTTTACAAGGGATACAGTTGTTACCAACAATCAAACACAACTGGGGTTCTAAATTAACATCCCCCAACCCGCCAAATGCGGGTCAAAATTCATTTTAAATAAAAACGTACTAACCGGTTTGGCCGGTGATGCATGAGGCAATGGTGTGGGACAGATATGCTCTACTTAGGTTCTGCTCCCCCTGGCAGTCATTCCTACTAGGGTGACCATATTCTGAATCCCTAAAAAGAGGCCACGATTACGCAGGGGTGGAGTCATGGAGTCGCGCGTAGTTAATTTTGAGAGTTTTTTGGGTCGGATTGAGTATTTTTTACGCACTTCTCACTCAGTAGGTCCACGTGACACAAACTCTAAACTTCCATACAAAACCCCGGACATTTGAAGGATTTTATAAACTCCCTTGAACAAAGCCAGACAGCCCCCAGAAAAGAGGACATGTCCAGGTAAAAGAGGATGTATGGTCACCCTATTTTCCATAGAAACTGTGCTAAAAATGCTACGTAAAGATGTTTCATACGCCCATTGGCTGCGCAAATGCTGGTATTTCCCGCTACAGTCTACAGTGCAACCAGGGCAAGAAACAAACAGAGTGAGAGTAGGGAGTTTCCTAAAAGCAGCGGAGCTTAAGTTTAGTAAAACTAAACCAAGTGTGGTGGTTGAACTTGGACAGACGAGAATGGATGAGAAGGGAAGGACGGAGGAGATGAGGATATTTGCGACTGAGCTTGCGAAACGAAAAGAAGAAAGTCTAACGTCAGATGGCTGATGGATCATGAACGGCTTGTTTGATCACGAGAGTAACATGTTTTGTCAGTATTGCTGCAAATACGCAAAAAAGAACAAAACAAAGTGGCTGGTGGAGATTCTGATTGGCTGGTAACTTAAGAGATCAAAAAAGTAAATTTCGAACCCTGAAGACAACCCTTTACAACATGTCTTCCTCCGACTCTCTGCATCCCACATAGACAAACTCCAACCCTGAGAAAACACGTACCTGGGCAGCCTAACAAATCTTGTGTGCTGGGGCACTAAGGTTTCAATATTTCATTTCACAGGTTTGAACCACCTCTGATGTGTTCTCAGAAGGTTCTACAGGTGAGCATAGTAAAGCGGTATAACGGGAACTTACCGAGTCTGTATGGCCTTGAAAGTGTTCGAAAATGTCACATTATGAGTCGCCTTTGAGAGAAGTGTCCTCGCTAAATGTTAATATCATATTTTAGTGCCAAAAGAACATAACATCCAGTTGACATTTGTATCAGTTTGCCTCTAACATGATCAAATGGCTTTAAAAACTGAAGGATGATCCACTCTTGTTGAAGTTCTGTGCCTTTGGGCAGTCACCCAACTCAATTTCCCCCCCATTCCTCCTCCTCCTCCTCCTGCAGCCTCCTCCCCCTTACTGCACATTACCCTCACCGCTCTGCCAGACCCTGAATGAATGTTGCATTCACCCAGATGAGCATGAGCATGTTTTCTCTTTTTTGCTTTGCACCGTGGAATGCTAATAAACTAGGAGGGCTGCTGGATGCACCTCCACACTTACCACATTAACACTGACAGAGCTGCCGGTGCCAAGCAAGCAAGACAAACGGCTGCAGTAAATTCACAGCTCGACCTTCGGCAGTCTTGGATGGCAACGGAGGTGGAAACAAATGTAGTTTTCATGGAAGGCATGTTAGAGCACCAGGAGAACAAACCAGGAGGGATAATTAATGCTCATCAGGTATCGATTCTCCTGCCTGGAAGGTGACGGATGTGATGTTACAGAAGATCCCCCTCCGAAGACAAATAAAGACAGGGTGTTTTTCTTTTTAGAAATGATGCAGAGGACAGCGTGTGGTGCTGCTGCTGTGCGGAGTGTATTTATGGCTCTTCCTGTAACTTACGGCTGTGTGCATGCCTCTAAAGGAGGAGCGGTCAGTTCACACAATAATGAGCGCTTTAATCTTAAATTAGCATGCTGTGCACACATGAAAAGCACAGAAAGGTCAGAAAAGTTCCTCTGCAGAGTGTGAGATTCATCTAATTTCCTCCAAACACACTTTGCATACTCTGATTTTCCAGGGACGTGCACTTTGGCTGTGGGCAACATTTACCATCCTTGAATAGTTTTGCTGAACAGTTGCAATTATCTATTCCAGAGTGCAAACCCTCGTGCAACTTGTGTTCGTTAAAGAGCTCTCAATCACCGAATTACAGCCAGTGTAATTACAGAGCGGTCCCCCACATACACCCCTCAGACATGTGCATGTGTGTGTATCTGTTTGTGCTACAAGAGAGCAGATCTGAGTGTTGCTCAGCATGCCCTGAATCAGGGAAGGTTTCACTATCTTGCTCTTGCACAGTTCAGGGAGGATTAACATCGGCTGTGAAGTGTGAACTCGGCGGAGGATCAAGCCTGGGACTTGCAGCTACAGGATGATCTTTGTAATAATCAGGTCACTCAGCTGGACTGCCAGACACTTTCAGTTAACTCGACAGGGGGGACACAGGTGTCGGAGATGAGAGCCACTCGCTCCGAGCGCTGTGAAGAGCTGAATGCAAATGTGGATTGTGGAGACAAGGTTTAATATTTAAACATGTTGGCAGATTGTGGAGTTTGAAATCAGAGTTTTTCTACGTGGTGTTACAAAAGGTTTGTGTAGTTTATTATTCTTTCAGTCGTCAGGCAGCTATTTATTTAGAAAGGTACGATTTAATCCCCAGGGAGCTAACTGAACATTTGCTTGGTGTTATTACTGTTGTTAAAGGAAATATTGATCACTGCATATGTCTCTGCTTGTGGGCTTTTATTGACAAACATTTGAGGGCGTTTGTTGCTCACTTTGACTTTACAAAAGAACAAGAAGAAGGAAAATAAATGACGAAAAGAGGATTGATTTTTAGTTCAGGGTTTCAGCAGAGCTTTATCTTCACGTTTAGTGATACTTTTTTCTTAAATGAGCCAACTGCCACTGTGCAGGTAATGTGTTACATGACCATAGACTGTAAACATGCACAGTCCATACCTGGAAAACCTTTGATTATGTGAGACATTCTTAGTAACACTGGGAAGCTGTTAAACCCGCAGGATAACAAAGTGTAATTACAGCGTCTACACCTGCTGTGCACATACATCGTAGTAATGTGGGAATCATATGCAGAAGAGGAAGGTGAGTTTTCATTTAATATGTCCAGAGCTTCATTGTCCCCCAAGGGAAATTTGATCTGCAGTCAGCGGTCCACCATCATGGACTTATGACGCAGATAAAACATGATTTTTAATATCAGTAGAAATTATTGAATAATTATGAGCAAAGTTTATATGTTGCTCCTCCTTTCTACTTTTATTGATTTAAAAGCAAATGATCAAATTCTTTTTATTAAAATTGCATTGTTTCGAAATTAGCATTTTAATTCTTTATAATACACTTCATCCTGCGACTGAGTATTAGGGCCACACTACATAAAAAAAAAACAAAAAAAAACTGAGATTAAAGTCGTTAATTTACGGGATTAAAGTCATTACTTGTGAGAACAAATTTGTAAATAATGACTTTATTCTTCTAAATTAACGACTTTAATCTCAAAGTTTTAATTTTTTTGCTTGATGTAGCCCTAATACTCCGTCGTATCATCCTATATTATCTCATCTATGAAGCTAAAAGCAGAAAAATGTTTCTAACACGTCTTCTTGAAAATACGACATTTTTTTGCAGTTAAGAAATCAGTTATTGTAGCAGCGCTAATTGATTGATGTCTTTGTTTCAAATAAAAATAGGGCTGTTCTGGAGTTATCATTTAAGAAGGAAAATCAAAAGTTTATTCTCAGCTCTTCATCAAGGTTTAGTTGGTCTCTGTGGTCTTCTGTGGGTTGCTGATTTAGATTCAAGATTTAATACAGGAGTAAAATTTGGAGGAGGATCGGAGCGCCATGTCACATAAAGAAAAAACCATTATGTTAGAAAAAATGGCTGTTTCATACCATTATTTAACCTGCTAATTTAAATGTAGTGTCACTGAACACACCTCAAACGAACTGACAGCCCTTCAGGTGCAGATAGAACATCGAGAGATGCCCACACACTTTTTTGATAAAATCAACTCTCTACATTGTGTATTTTCTTCAAAGTCTAACATTGTTCCTTTGAAATACCCGATTTTGACATCATGAAGAAGACAAGCTCAAATAGATTAGCACCATCATCCACATCTGGGATCCTAGTGGTCCCAGAGTGCCTCTGCACAGCCATGTGTTCATTAGCATCCCAACCCCTGAACGCAAGAGATGTGGCCCACAGCTGGGAGAGAGACAATCACAGGTGAGTTATATTCCTGTAAATTATCCAGATTTTTTATTTAAGCAGCTATAAAATGATTAAACTGAAGTTCTGTCCTGTGAATGATTGACTGCTAGTGCGATAGTATATGAATTAATCGTTTTACTACCTTAGTGTTAAATACACTCTTGGAGTCAGAGTCCATCAGGGAGGGGTGCTTCCAGGTGTGTTTGGTATTTAAACCATCCAAGAGAGAGAGGAGAGGTGAGATGAAGAAGAAGAAGAGGAAAGTTGATCTCTTCATTTATTTATTTATCGAAACACTTTATAATAAAAAAAATGGATGGAAACCTGAAGCCTGCTTATACGCAGACCACAGCCAGGGGACATTTTCAGGGTTAGCTGGGAGTCTCTTATAATGATGGTTCAGAGTTTGACAGCAGAGTTTCTGAGTTTGTTTAGTGTGGATCATCTCATGATGCAAGCCCCCCTCCTTCTCTTACACTCCTTTAAATTCTCCTTCCCCTGCTTCTGTTTCCTCTTTCTTCTGAGCCTTGAGCTCTGCATTTTCGTTCTCCAAACTCTTCACTCTCTTGTACATCTTTATGAGCTGCCCTTTCTCCAGATTTTTCCTTTCTTTCATTTTCTCTGTGGGAGGGATAAAAAAGGTTAAAATGTGTGGTTAGTTATTAATGTTGATGATTAAATATATTTTCAAATAGACTTAACATATCAGAATATTTTGTTGCATTTCAAAAGATACAAATGAAAATATAAAACTCTACCTTCTGTTGAATATAAAGACCTTTTAGTGGGGATTTTTGAATACTTTTGTTAAATTTAGGTGGAATATGGTCGTTGAAGAATAAGGAACTTGGCTCTACATTCTCGATCGACGACTCAGCTCTGAAGGACAGAACTTGTACCCAAATAGGTCTATGAGGATTCTGGATAAACTCTGCTCACTTTTAGCCAAAACAGTTCCACCAACTCAAGCAAAAATAACTTTTCATTGAAACCATCAAATATTTGATCTTTTTTGCAATAGTCTTTCCAAAAAACTTGCTAAATATGTTCATAAACAGAGGCCAATGAGACAGAATAACAATCATGGAAATGTAAAATAAATTTTAGACTTACTGATTTTGTTCCTTCTCCATCTCCAGACTTTCCAAACAATTAAACCAATATAAGTCACACCAATGAACACACTGAGGACTTGAGCGGTAATGCAGCAGGGAGAGACCTCAAGAGTGTCATCTGAAAAAAAGAGAAAGACAACAAAAATAAATATGAAAACTAGACGAATGGACAACCACCATCGTTGTTCATAACCATGTTCTCAGAAGTCCCGCCCCTATGTGATTCTGATTGGGCGAAGAGCGACAATGATGAGTGCAGTTGTGTCCCAAAAGTTCCGAAACAAAAAACAGCTGATGACGAGGGCGATTTGGCCTTCCAGCACTAAAATTGGCATCAATTGACACAGCCCCTCATTCCTAAAGTAATGATCAAGTCATCATGACTTAAATGAATAAGTGCTCGTGTCTATTAGGAAAAACTTGAGAAATAGAGGATCATTACCAACCTTTACAACCTGCTGCTGCCCCGCCCACTCTGAGCTGGACAAAAGCCTCTTTCCATATCGAGGGGATGAAGCACCTATATTTTCCTGTATCAGAGTTTTTCACTCTTGAGAGTTTCAGGGAAACGTTTCCATTGACCAGCTGATCCACGAACAGAAGCGTGCGATAGTTGAACAGAGGATTTTGACTGTGGTACGCCAGGCGCCCATCATGATGAAGGTGGACAAACTCTGGGTCCAAACCAGGTTTAGTCCATTCTATCGCCTTGGAACTAACAACCATGGGAGGTTCAAGGCGACACGGCAGAATGACGTCATCACCAGCGCAGACTGTGATTGGTTGAGGTGAACAAGTGAGATTTGACTGTCCTGTAACGATAGGGGATAATAAGAGGAGGCGGTACAACACACACAAAAAAAGACATCTGCAGGAGTCAGTGGTGCAGAGATAAAATCTAAACTACACAAATCACATACAGATTTTAGTTTACCTGAAGTTACAGGGAGGCTGCTGAGGGTAAATATGAGAATACCAAAGCAGCCGAACAGAGCCATTCTCTCCTGAAAACCAAAGTAAACATATAATTTAAAGACATTCAGTTCCAAGAGTATAGCAGAGCGAGCTATGATTTCACTAAAGGACTCATCGTGTAAGGTAATTTCCTCAAATTGAGTCACTTTCAGTCGTTAAATCACAAAAAGCACAATAAAAAAACTTGAACAGTTAAATCAAAACATTATATGTGAAATTTGTTGTTGTCTCTTACATTTCAGTGATATCTTTCTGCTCTGTGTGTCTTCCTCATGGTTCGCTGATCTTAACTTTACAACAGAAGAAAGTAAAACAGCCTGAATGATCCCAGCTCTATCTCTGCTCTAGATTGACAGTATAATATCCAGAAGGTTATTACGAAAGTGAGATTAACTTTCAGACTGTACAAAATCATGATTTAAGAGTCATTCCTGCTCGGCTTACCTTAGGAAAAGCTTCATGATTCATGTTCAGGGTGGACTTTAGCCATTCAGTCTGTACTTCCGCTTAATGACTTTTATGATGCAGGACAACAAAGCCGTAAACTCGGCAGTGAGTCATTGACAGCAAAATTTAACTTTCAGTTTGACTGGCACAGCAGAGAGATGGACACAGGTGAGATTGAAGGAAGTAGAAAAAAGACAGGCCCACTGCAGCAGTGATCCAGAGAAGCCTACAGGATGATAGAGCTCAGGGACTCCCAGAAAAGAGTCTCTATCAGTGACTCTAATGGGACATGAAAATTCAAAGTTACTGACACGGACAGAAAGAGGTGAAGGAGCTCAATGTGCCAGTACCTCTGACTGTCTCCTGTCTAGGGTATTGGCAAACCTCTTAAAATATCTTCAAATTATTTAGAAGATTTTAATCATATGTGGAAATTTGGGGAAATTAAAATGGAACATTTCAGAATGGAATTTGGTGCGGTTCTCAGCATTTATCTTTATCTAAACCTTTGAAAGCTGTCTATTAAGTTGCAAGTACTCTCTGACATGAATAATTCAATAACCTTAAATTAAATTTTGGGCGTTTTTCGGACTTTGCTGTAGAAATCAAGGATTCCAATGATAGCCATCCACGTTTTTTGTCTAATGGACCATCGAAACCCAGATTTCAATCTAGTGTCCAACACAATCTCACCTGTTATTAATAAGGACATGTTAAAACTGTTAGTGTTACACAGTTTCTTGAACAGATTTAATGTATTGCTCAGTTTGTGATCTTTCAGAGTTAAACAGGTTTGAACAGGTTTTCTCATTTCCTGTTCACCTTGGTTCTTTGTTGAACCTACAGAATGAAATCTTTCACCTTGTGGCAGGAAGCATATTGTCGGCCCTCCTCCTTCTGCCCTGCAGTTGGTCATGTCAGCTTTACAACACCTGTCCCTTTTTTTATGATCTAACCTCAAAACAGCTTCCAGCCCAAGGCTGTGAACTGCAATCAAGAAGCCACCGCTGGCGTTTATGAAACAGAAGGTGAGCGCAGGAAAGTCTTAAAGATGCTGAGAGGATTTCGTACCTCTGTCCTCGGCTGTTGTTCTGACCTCCCTCTGCTCCGCGCCCACAGAGAAGCCCCCCCCCAGCAAAGTGAATTCAGCCTAGAATCATCCCGGATATAATACAGACAAACAGAGGTGGTGCATTAAGGTTAGCTGAGGCACAGCTTCACTGTTCAGTCTGGGATTTATGCGGTCTAAGGTTTTCATACTGTTCCTTCATGATAACACTGATGCTGCTTTGGGGTTCCTGAGCTGTTCCTGACCTTATTTTGACCTTTTTTAAAGCATGACCTTTGCATGACAGCAGCTACAGTCATGACTGAGCATCAAGCGTTACATGGGGGAGATCCTCAGCTGGTCTTTCTCACGAGAGAGAAAACTGGAGTATCATGGGTAAAAAAACAAAAACAAAAGCTGGTGCTGTGGTAGAAAGTCTTTCACTGTGCCTCATGAAAGGAGAACTTAACATTCAGCGATGCAGTGGTGGTAAAATAATAGTCTAGAGATGTAACAGCACCTCATGAGAGAACACAAAAACGATGATTCAAACTGACCACATAAAAACTGAGTATAAACACCCTGAAAACTAACACTGAATGGCTGCATTAAAAACCGATACGACTCTGTAGTGGAAGTCACTGCATGCACTAAAAGTCACTCAGGGTTTATACTCAGAAGTGATCTGCTGTGAACATTAACAAATCTCTCAGTGTCTTTTTATTCATTTTTAAGCTCCTCAAACCCTCAAACCAAATCTACACAAGCTTTAAACTAAGTGCTTTTAAAACACCTTACTTCAGCTTCTACAAATGTGCTCATTAATCCTGGCACGCAACTGTATAAAAGCCTTCTAAATAATACTGATACACTCTGTATAAAGTGTTAAATAAACTATATAAACTCTAGTTACTGCTTTATAAAAGCCATCCAGTTTTTTCCAAACTGCAGCTGCACATTTCATCTTAATAACATTAATATACAGTATATGCTGTGTTCATTGGTTATAAACCAGTTATAAGGTATTATGCGTTTTTATAAGAGCCAGCCAAATAATATTAATAGACGCTGTGTTTAGTGTTTATAAACCATTGATAAAACCATATTAACCTTGGTTACAACTTTATTACAGTCGTCTCCATAATATCAGTGTGTGCTCTATAGTTATAAAGCCTTTTAATATTAATATAAGCTGTGTAAAGTGTTTATAAACCATTTATTAAGTATCATTAAGCCACGGTTGCAACTTTTATAGTTTGGTAATGTTATCAAGATGTGTGATAGTGTTTATTATCATCTGTTTAAAAACATTATTGACTTATTCGATATTTATGGCAAAATAAGAAATTAGAGATATCACAGTAACTACAATCAGTGTTATTTATTATTAATTAGCGGTAAAACAATTTTTAACTCTAGTAAATTATACTTTAATCTAGCACTAATTAAGTGTCCATTTACCTTTTAAAGATGATGGTGATTATCAAGTGTTATTGTAGTGTGCACAAATGCAGATTAAAAGTGTGTCATGCAAAAGAAAGTCATTTATAAACATGTAACAGGATTACCAGTGACTTCTCTGAGGCTGAGCTCGTTTAGGTTGAACTGTAAACTACCCTATAGTAGGAAATCATGGATGTCATGTCTTGTTATTTCCAGAGGAAACGGACCTCCTGTCCTGACCTCATCAGTGCACAGTATATTCTGTACTATGTTTTTGTTCTTATTTCAGCTTTTTTAAAATACTATTTCCACATTATTTTTTAAGGTTAATTGTGCAAAACTTGTGATTAAAACACTTTCCCTGTAACCAAGCCTAATTAATTACTTCCATGGATTTATCATTTGAAAAAAAATACTCGTTTGTAGAAATGAGGCTCGCTCCGCACATGTGGCTCCCAGACATTATCAGCGCTTTTGCTTGTCTTTGGCAGACTCGGTTTACAGCTGAGTCCTGTAGCTCTCATCAAACCTGCCGTGCTGTTTAAACCAAACAGTTCAGATAAACGAAGGATTGGAGAATTATCCAGCACAGAGCAGCTGAAGCAAACTGAGTCCTGCTGAAGCTCAGTCAGCCATAGAAAGACCCAGGTCTGTTTTTCTCTCATGAGCTGATGAAACAAACACGGATATAAAAGGTCAGTGATAATCCAACCGTTTAAGATGTGCACCTAGTTTCTACTGTGCACCGATTATAGGGGATGACTCATTTAAGAGTATTTTATATGTCATGTGGAGCTTCCTGGAACCTCTTGATATTTGGTATATTACCTTTAAAGTTTCTGCTCCAGGTACCTGACGTGAACTTTGATGGACAAATGAGGGACAGGTGTAAAAATGAGAAATGTGATTGAGCTAAAATTATCTTTCCTGTTTCATAGCCAGTTTGTTCTTGGCCTTGTGGTTTTTTTGCAGCTGCACTTGTATTTATCATCCTTTGAATTGGACGTTTTATCTTTTGGATATTTAATAAAGTGGACACTTCAAAGAAAGTCTTTCCTTTTTTTTTGCAGTCTTTAAAGTAGTCTGCATCTGGGTCGTCAGTACAAAAAATCCCAACATGACAGATGAGATGTTTTAAAGACTGAAATATCAAAGTCACACATCATCTGTACTCTCTATTAAACTTTGGTCGAACCGCTTTGAGGCACTAATTTCATGAGATCAGTATCACCTGGAGATCTCTGCTAATTTCTGAATCACTCCCTGATATGAGAGTTTGGTGTGGGGCATAAAGAAAAGGATGTAACTGTAGTTAAATTTACTGATATTTCTTATTGAAAAAAAAGACAAATAAACAATAACTTAGTTGGTTTGATAGTCGTATCGAGTCCAACTCTGGCTTTTTCTCTTCTTTTTTTCAATAGTGATTTTAAAGTGTCTGCAAACATGGTTGGAGTCTTCAGAGTGAGTTACATTTCCATTCATGGCTTGCAAAATAGGGCTCGGCGATATGGCCTCAAATCAACATCACGATATTAAGCAGTTCACCTCGATAACGATAAATGGACGATAACTACTCCACAAGCTGCTCACCCCCTCCCACACTGACTTTGTCTACTTCAGCCGCTATAACTTTTTTGTTATAGTGATTTTAAAGCATCCAGATGATTTGAGTCCCCAGAGTAAGTTACATTTCCATTCATGGCTTCGAAATGAGCTGTTGACTTTTCACCAAAATAGGTTTGTGTTCATTTTTATGTACAAAACTGACACTCAATATCACAGCCCTGCGAACAACATCCAAAGAGTAACAGAAAAATAAACAAACACTAGTTTTTATTGTCGTTTGAACTGATCAACATTGCAGTAGCCAACTTTTAGCTTCAAAATAATCCAAGATTCACAGTGTGTTATCTTAATTGACCAGAAAATTGGTAGAATAAGCAGCAGAATGAGCCAATGAGTCTTCAAAAAAGTACCTCTCTAAGTTACTGAGACGTCTGCATATAATCAATAATATCAGAGGAGCTTTGTGGGACCCAAAGTATGGGAGGTGACTTGCCCTGAAACTTTTTACGAAATATGTCTGATTTGCATGTGAATTAAACTCGAGGAGCTTCAACAAATATTAGAAATTATCACAAGTTTCTTGTGCAAACAGGGATATAATTCAATTTCCTACTGCTGCCTGAAGTTTAAGCTTTACAATCATTTAACTGAATTTCAGCACCTGTTGACATGTTTGCCAACTCCGATGAAACAGCGCCAATAAGAGACGACTCTTGATACTAAAATTAAACTCCCTCTTAAAAAACTCAAAACTTGTGGCATCAATAATGCTAATTATCTTTAAAAAAGAAAAACAGAAGCCCATGGCAAACGGCTAAATGATAGATTACTTTTTTGGTTTAATTGCCTATTTTTGGTCAAATATTTACAACAATTACACATGAGGGGCTCTTAAGTTTTAAACACCAAAGACTCCATCCTATATTTAACACTTTAAAAAGCATGCTGTTATGCTTAGATGAAGTGTATCTGAGTTCACAGGAGCCTGAAGAACCCCCTGTGTGAGAGCGCTGTTTAAATATTTCATCCTGAGATAAATTTTAATAGCACATAATGACTGTAGTGTAACAAGAGGATCACTGGGAGAATTGGCTTGCTGTTATTGCTCGGCATTTATTCTCTTTGCCTCTGGGTAAGATTAGCTATAAAATATTTAGGCCTGAATTTAAGCAAAAGGACTGACACACACTCACAGTGTTGGTTTTTGTGTTCGGAGACAGGTCCAGATGCTCTATGGGAATACAGCGGCCGCCACAGCTGCGGCTTGACAACCACATTACTACAGATTATTCTGACCAAATGTGAATGGATCTGTTTAGGTTTTAAGTCTGTGTCTGTAGGTTTAGTTTCAGTGACCTTCTGCTCTGAATGCACCACAGAAAGTTAAATAAGCATCATCCTAATCCCAGAACTCATCAGCTGTTTCTAATGCTGATTTTTGCTGGCTATAAATGACTTACAGCAAAGACCTGCTTCTCTGTGAGTCTCCGCCACAGAGAGTGAATTATAAGCAGGTAAAGGATAAGCTAAATCTTGACATAATTTGCTGAACTTGCAACAACATATCTGTCTGCAGAGATTCATCATCAGATTACCGCTGATTGTGTCCCGCCTGATTTTGCTCTCCATACCATCAGTTTCATGCATATATGAACATCTCACTGATATCTGGTTGGTCAGAATAACTCATACTATAACTGGAAATGCTTAATTTTGATGTTAAATCATTAACCTTATATTCTGGTTAGACTCAAAACTGTATTTATAATCACTGTCGGTAATAAAATCAGATATGACACCAAACTGTTCTGTAAAAGTGAACTAGAGTGTACTTCAAGTTTAAGTAATTCTGATTCTCCATCATTCTTGCAGACAAAAACATGCCCTTGACTTTAGAGATGAATTTTAATAATGTTTCACAATTAATTTTTATTGTCTTTGTTTTTGTCTTTGCTCACCGCGGAGCTTCAAAGAAAACAAACTTTGATGCGTCTAAATTTGAAACTTTTCAATAATCCTTTCGATGATTAAAAGCTCTTCAACAACAGCTTTGTAAAACCACCTTGACATCACTTCTGAGAGAAGAATGACTGTGATTTGATTTCAGTCGGACTCTAATGAAATGGCAAACAGCATTAGCTCGCTGTCGCCGTACCGAGAATATTTCCTGGTGTGTTTTCATCCTGAAATAATTGCTGCTGCAGCGGCGGCACAGCTCGGGGGACTCTGCATCACTCGCTGTGAGAGATGAGAGCTCCGTCAGATGGATGAGCTGACCTTGGCTTCTGATGAATCTTGTCATGTGAAAAACTTGCAGAGATTTCATGTTGCATGAATCAACTTCTTCACTTCTATATCACAGATGTTCTTGTGAAACCTTGTGTGAGTGAGTCGGGTATTAAAGGGGCTCTGCTTTGGGTTAGTCAAGAGCACACGGGGTGATACAACCTGAATGTCTCTTGTTTCCAATTAATTCAGAGATAAAAGTGCTGAAAACTTTAAAGGAACTTTTTATTTTTGAAGTGGGGTTGTTTGAGGTACTTGTCAAAATGAAGTGTATTAACCACAGTGGATCCAGGCCAGCTCAGCCCCTCTGTTGAGGAACTAACTGGGACGGACTTGCTCAGAATCAAGGCTACAAGCAGACCCGGTGAACTCTTCCTCATATTTTTTGTGTGAATTTAAAGTAAGAAACATAGGTGTCAGTAAATGTTTGGTTCAGGTTTTTTTTATGTTTTACTTTGCTGTCAGAAATTAAGATGTTACTTCTTTGAGCTGGAATATAAAGCAGGACATAAAAGGGAAACTTTTGAGTGAACTGAAGTGCAGGAAGCGTCCGTGTCAAAGTTACTACAGCCTCAGTTTACAATTATTCTGGTGTTATTTTGTCCACAGGGGGTGCTGATGTTTACACTAACTGAATGTTCCTGCAACAAATAAGGTCAAAATTCATTCAAACGAATCCAGACCTGAACTCATCTATATTTCAGTCTGAGTTTTAAAGCTTCTGTAAGGTATTTTTGGTTTGTGTCAAATCTGGCGCCCCCTCTGGACATAAACAGTCTTTGCTGTTTTTTTCCCCTAAATGTGTAGAGTAAGTGTGTTACAATATTATGATCATATTTGAGGTACATTAACAAATGAAACAATTCAGGAAAGGCAAGAACATAGTGGAGCAAAACATAATAACATAAACTTAACTAGTAAACACGGTTAACATTCATCTCATCATCTATTTGTAAAAATGTCTGAAATTATAATTTATCCACATCATTAGCACCATGATGAAAACTTCTTTGGATAAATCATTGCCCTATGAGGCAAATGCTTTTATTTTGAAAGTTTTTACAGTCTATTTCAGGTTACTGTTATTTTTGGATTCACAGTAAATCTTTAAGTGTCAGTTTTAAAAAGTGCTGAGTCATCACTCAGAGGGCTGCTACAGGTAGCTCGCTAGCTGCTTCTTCTTCTTCTTGTCTTTTTCCTCTTGTTTGATGCCACCAGCTTACAAAACCACAAATATGAACTCAAAGTATTACTGTTTGCTTATTTTTCAATTTTTCTATCTGTGTGAGACTCTGGATGAAAGTTTCTCCATCCAACAAGACGATTAAATCATAAGTCGTGCGGTTTTTTAATGACGGCATATTCACAGACTTGGTTTTTTTTACTGAGCACTCTGAAAGAAAACAATGTATTGAGAAGGCAGTTGAATAAAACTATTGAGTACCGGAGATCTCCAAACTCTTGAGCCGCACTTGAGAGTTTGAAGCCTCATACAATAACTTCACCACATAGCTCACACTTGACAGAGTTCCTGCTCACTATTGTGTTCAATATTCTGAAGATAAATGGACCAGCTTTCTCCATCTCTATGACTCAGTAGGTAAGTTTTATCCACAAAGACCCTCTGAAGAAAATTGTGAAGGATAAAATGTTTGAAGTCATTTGTGTCCTGGATAGGTGAGCCGGACATTCGCATCCATATCTGGTTCATAACTACAAAATATCTTCCTAAATTTGCTCTCTAACCTGCACCAAAACCAACTGACATCTTTGTTATAAATGTGCACCAGAAAAAGTTTAAGCTACCTGTTGCAGAGGAGATTTGTGAAGTGCAAATGAAGCAGCATTTCGGAAAAATGATTTTGTTTGAGTTTGGAGATAAATGTCCTGTGTCATAGTCACCGTAAACTTTATGTGCTTGAGCATGTTTGGACACACAGTCCAAACAGAGATCGTCCGCAAGTTATTGTCTATTTGTGGGAAACACTGGCAGATGCAAAACCTTCACCTGCTGCTGTCGTATCTGAGCACCTAATCTGGCTAGAGGTGACATAATGGCATCAAATGAGAGGCGTCAAAGGCAGATAGTTAAAAGAAGAATATCCCGATTCTACTTTTTGTCTCACTTACTTTCATGTGTCTTATTTGAACTTATTCTTGACTGTTAAATGCCTCATCTGTGTTGATATCAAGTCATTAACAGTCTCATTTTGCTGCTAAGTCCATGTAAAGACATCAGTATTAATTTCAGTCTGTTTAAAAGTCCCTTCAAATAGAAACTTAAGTTGTTTACGGCGGTGCAAACTTGTTAACAAGTCTTTTGAAGATGTTTTTGACCCTCATGAAAAAGACATTTAAAGAGGCAGCAGGTTTATGAAGATGGAGCCACATGTTAAAGGTGTATCAGCTGGTTGTAAATGGATATAACATAGACTGACTCAGGGTGGTATATAAAGTCCCCTCTGTGGAGAGCTTAAACGACTCGGGGGGGGGGGGGGGGGGGGATAGTGGAAGATGAGCAGCTTGCAGCTCGGTTGGGGGTGCGGGGTGGAGCCTGGGTTGCTGGTGTCCTCAGACTAAAGAGCTGATACCATGGTAGCAGCGAGCTGGGCTTCAGTGGACGGTGGGGACAGACGGAGGATGAGTCATGAGCTCACACAGAAGGACTGACCCCGCTAGCAGAAATGTCTCCGGGGAAATTGCTCGGCCAAGATAGCGGGGGGGCCGGAGTCATTTGCCTGCCGCCTGTGAACCTGCTGCGGTATCGACGGCGGTGTAGTGACACTCTGTAACCTCCTTGTATCTGTGGACACAGAGGGAATTATTTATAAGCTTATTAGACCGTAAATTCTGAAACAGTGACGGACAATGAGTGGAGGGCATATATTCAGCTGCCAAGTCAGCGGGCTGATAAAATAGTGTAGAAGAAAAGAGGCAATCATGCACCCCATGCTTTGATAAGCAATATATATTCAAGAAGTCTGCAGGCCATGGAGCTACAGTCTCCACATCCAGAGAAACGTCGAGATTTCCCGACAAATCTCAGACTTGTAGCGTTCGACCCGGCAACACCTTGTCAGATTTAATCATTAGCTTTGACAATCCCTCCCTCATGTAACCTTATTAGCGAGCGGTAAAGTAAGAAATCAAGAAGAAGCAGGGAGGATGAAGTGTGGGGGACGGAGAACATAATGTGATAGAGGAAAGGTCAGAAACCTCGCAGCTGATATTAAAAGAGCGAGAGACGGAGGAGAGGGGGTAATAAATTCTGAGGTTTTATGAGGATGACTCTCGAGTTTAAATTGATGAACTTCTGCTGTTTGTGAGTTAGTTTGTTTTAACGTGTCAGGCAGATAGAGCGTTCATTGTTTTTATGGTTTAATTAGAGCTCTGAGCCACACATTCAGCTGTTATAGGACAAATCCAGGAGCTGCACTCACATGGAGCCTAATGATCGGATTATAAAGCATTTTAAAAAGCCAAACTGAATGAAAATGCCTCAATCAACAGGCCCCCAACATGAGTGAAATTACATAAATCAATATGAGTGACTCCAATGTAAGCAAATAAAGTTCTCAACTCTACACAGTCCAGTTGCCTGATTTTGGAGTCTTGAAGAAAACCATGACCTGGATGAATGAGAATCTACATAGACATAAAAGTTAGGAATAAGGTAACATTCACAATAAAATGGTTATTGTGACACCAAAAGTTTATTTATATAAATACTTCTACAGCAAATGAATACATGGTGTTTGACAGCACTTCAAACTTAAAGTTCCTGTAAAAGACTGAAATTCATATTATAGCTGTTTTATATTATATGCCAGCAAACCAAACCATCAGTAAGATGACTGATTCCTTTAATTATCAATTTTTGATGTATGAACCCTGTATGAGGTGGTAGGAGTTACAATAACAGGAGGATGAAATATTTGTCTGAAAACACGACTTAACCATATATTGGACAAGACAGGTAAAGACTGCTTTGTCCACAGGGGGGTGCCAGAATCGACACGAATCAAAAGTTCCTCACAGGAGCTTTAAATGAATGAAAAAGAGTGAAACCGTGATAAACCAGAGCATGGGGGAAAAAGTAACCCCACCTGCTACTGCTGCATTTCTAAAAGACTGTTGTTATAAACAGTGGTCCAACTTGTTAGTTTGAAAAAACTTTCTTAAGAAGTTTCTGAAGTATTTCTTTTTTAACCATATTAAAAGCTCCCCCCCTCCTACACACTGTAATGAAGACTTGTGCAGAAATAACTGGAGTGAGTCACCTGCTGTGCTAATTCACCACCTCACAGTGTAAATAAAATCTATTAAGCTTTCCAGTGTCACTCAGAGATGAAACAGAATTATTAAGAAAAAACACATATAGTCGCCTTAAGAAGAGGCTCTTTTGAACTAATGAGATTACACTGAAAAAAAGTCCCTGCTGCCTCAGTTCGGCTGCCAGCAGGTACTTCATGCCAACCATGCTTCAAATACGGTAATAAGCCACCATGACACTAAGCCTGTGTTCAAAAAAGGGTTTTCTGCAGCCTCTCAGATTGGAGAAATGAGCCTGGATGTGACAGATCACCGTCCAGATTGAGACTCGTGTGAAGTGTATTTCCTCAGTCTGTGTCAGAGGCCAGAACCCTCTGGATACACCACTGAACTGGGATGCTGGCAGCAGGGACGGGATTACATGTGTGGATGTAAAACTGGGACTTACTCCTGCTTGGTGCAGCGTGCTCGCTTGGTAATTATGTGTAAAGTGAGCCTGGATTGATCTCAGTATGGTATGTGGTAAATAAAGGCTTCCTCCTCACATCTGTAATGTGGAGAAGAGCTTTGATGTTACGGCGATGACAGCCGCGGTGAGAGACGCTGGCAGGAAAACGAGTTTGTGTTGGTACTGAGGATTTCATCAGGAGGTTGAGCTCTTCCTGCTTATTCCTGCCCTATGGATGGCCTACTTAAAACGAGGTGCAACACTCAGTAATTCACGTATTGTAATGAGGAAGTATAGATTTAACATGCGGCTGTTTACTCCAATGGCATGTGCAAAAACAGACTGTAAAACTTTAACAACCAAAAACTGACACTAAAAGCAACACAGAACAAAACAAGACCACATTTACAAAGTGAAATATGCTAAGTCATCCTGTTACCCTGACAAACAACTTGCGTAGTTTTGTTCTAACTCAGCTTAGAATACCAAACAATCAACACCACGATACAGAGCGACAATAGTGTTCATGGCAGCAGTGCTAAGGATATTAGCTGTGTTCCAGTTTGGTGCATTTGAAAATAGGATGCAATCCTTAAAAAGACAGACTGACTTCATTCAGACCACAACAGTCTTAGTCCTTCAAAGGCTGCAGCCCCTGCATTGGGACACAGCTTTTTTGTAGGACAGATGAAGCAGTACTAATGAGTAGAGCTGTAATCAATAAAATAAATTCTTGGTCGACTAATAGCCGAAAATTTTTGACCAAAAATTGACTAATGGGGGGGTGGTTCCGACTCTGACGGCAAACCCTTATGTGGCGGGGGGACGACATGGCTTGGCAGGGTGAAAATATACCGATTTCAGCACAAGAAGGCAATTAAAGAAAAAAGGAAGTTGAAGCACTTAAAATGAAAATAAATATTCCTCAAACCCCTGTATGTTGATTAACGTGGGTGCTCTTCAATCTTCCAGTCTCCAGCCAGTGGGTTGGGCAAATCCAAAATAGTGAAAACAAGGGGGGTGTTACCTGTGAAACAGGGGTGCTCTGAAAACACCCCCATTAGCACTTGGTTTCTCCTGATGACATTAACCACTGACTGTAAATATACGTGGAAAAAGTCAAGTCGACCAATCAGAATTCTGGTCGACTCAGCACGAATTGACCGGTAAGTCGACCGGTCGACTAGGACTTCACAGCCCTACTAATGGAGTTTCTTTGGCTTTTGCAACCAGCCTTCAGTGTACGTTCTTAAAAAGCTGCAGCTTTTTTGCACCTCTGCTTTAGCTTCATTTCTCAATGTGAAATGTTGCAGCCAGCTTTGGACCTATGCAAGCCTGTGCAACTGGCTGAGTGCGACAGCTGCATACTGAGTAAGCTTTCATTTTAGGACCACAATAGCATAAATGAGGCAACACTGGAGAGGAATGAAATTTAAATGCCGTTATGATTGATAAAGTGAGGAAACAGAAGTCCATTTCTGTGCAGAAAGTTCCTCTCTTTCTTCGCTTTAGAAAAAGGTGATTTCTTATTCCTCATTATTCAGTCTGAACTCTCCGGTCTTTTCTTCCTTTCTGCCCTCTGGACTCATGTGAAATAAGAATTTTTTTTTTTTTGGCTTTAAAATTTAACAGGTTTCCCAATTTGAATAAAATAAAACTAATTGAAAAGCTAATCTTGTGTTCTTTGGCGGCGTGCACAGTGGAATTAATGGGTCGTGTCTTCTGCGCCAAATTACAATTTAATGAGTTGAGTCACCCTGACTGTTTTGTGTGTATGAGTCATTATCAGTGACACTGATGTGCTCGTTAACTACTCCTCTCTGTCTCACGCTGCGTCCTCATTCACCATCCTGGGTCTCAAAGTCTATACGCTTGATGTCTCCTACACTTCATCTGCAGGCTGTTTTTATGTGAGGAATCACTGAACAGTGTTGTGCATGTTTGCAGCATGTTTTAAAAGGATTGAGCTTTTTTTTTTCCATTGGAAAAATCGCCACTTTTCAAGTTTTCTACTGGGACTTGGCTGCATCCTCCATCCGACACACACACACACTGGACTGACTCAGATAAATAATTGTTTCCCCTCTCTGAAAGAAAAGCAGCCAAATTCCTCAAGGAGACGGGCTGCAGAGTAGAGTCTTTGTGCTCTCAGCCGTGGATATTTATCCATCCCAGCACAAACAATGGCCACCTGACCAGCAGCTCCTTTGAACCTCTCTCTCTCTTTTTCATTGTCTGTTTCTCTCTGAGGTTTGTCCCACTATCCTCCCGAGCAATCCCGGGCGAGAAATCATTTACCGGCCGTTGTAGTACTCGCCATTGTCAGCAGCAGGCTGTGGCTGAGACTTCAGGTTCGAGCTGCCATCCGGTTGTGAGTCTAGAGGAGCTCCTGTGTGGAGATAGATCTGTGTCTGAGGCAGGATAGTGGGCAGCAGCAGCAGCAGCCAGCTGTCTGTGTGATTTAACAATGTGTGTAAATCAGCGGCGAGTCTCTGCCCGAGCAGCCAGCCTCATTTCAATCTGTCTACAAATCACAGCACGCAGGCAGAGCGAGGAGCCGAGCTATAAAGGGCCCCCAAAATAATCATCCACCGCAACTCTCTTTCTTATGCTCTCATTTATTAAACAGATCAGCATAAATCTGACATCCATCAGAAGAGACAGTGGAAATATGGCGTGGTTCAGCCCGATAACATTGAGGTTTGCCTTGGTTAGTCATCTGTGCACAATGTGCTGAACGTGCAACGCGGACGTGAAGAAGCAATATTTAAGATGCATGTTAGTAAAATAACAAACTCTCGCAGACAGAGCGGCTTAAACAGTTTTTACAAATCCCAGCTCGGAAGAGGCTTTTATTTATGATGTGTGAAAAGTGCTATTGAATTAGCATATCTCTTGCTGTCAGCCAACCTATGTTAAACTGGATATTAGAGTGAACCAATGCCAGGGAGCGAGCAACGTGATGATTCACTACCAGCAGATTAATTCACAGCTCCAGTCAGAGTCACACGAGCACCCGGGGAGGAAACACACTCTGAAGGCCACAAGCATGCTGCTCTGACAGCTCGCACCGAGAGGAAGAGATGTTTGAAAACAATTAAGTCCACAAGAGGAGGCACATGGAGCGGCTGGTCGATACCGACTACATCACGTTAATAGAATAATACTGATGGTGTTTTGAACGCCACACATGTCCCTGCAGCCGCACATGACAGTGGCGAATTCCTCCACTTTTTCAGGGAAACAAAAACGATGGTTTCAGATGATATACCTGCTTCTGAGAGGTTTGGCAGCTTTGGGGAACAACCTTCCCAGCATTAGGGCTGACCAGTCATCAATTGTTGTAATAATCGAACTAATCAGAAGTTAAAGTGCACACTTAAGCCTGGCACACACCATTGGACTCCTAAATCTAAACCAGGTTTGTTAGACCACACATGCAAGAGTACCCAGCTGTAGGCACTGCAGACCTCGGAAGGCACATGCACAGTTTGAAGTTAGACCTCCACGTGGATCACCATAAATAAATTATCGTTCATGATATATCGTAAGAAAAATCCTCCATGATAAATATTTGCCATCTCATGATAAATACGATAAATGCAAGTTGATGGCGCAAGCACGAGTGATGGACTGGCAGCCATATCCCACACAGAGCAGAATAGCCAACAAACATGGGTTGAAGGTTATGAAGAAGACGTTTCTGAGCAGCTTGTTTCTAAATGAGGCTCCACATGAGAGATTTCCTTTAAGATTGGGGCTCAGATGAGTGCAATCAGCTATGCCTGACATCGGACAGTGGATCTGCTGTTGTTCACTCTGTACAATAAGAGTTTTTAACAAATGTTGACAATGTTACACATTTGAGACTTGTTTGATGTCGTTAGTTTTCTCCATAACCTACCACTCAAACTTGTGGTTAAGTATCTTATTTGACTACTCCAATCGGTGTTCTCAAGACAAAATGAGTCAAAAACACAGATAGGAACTATATATATATTTTTATCGGGACTTTCATTGTTATCGCCAGAATGGAAAATCTTTTCATGATAAATCTTTTAGCCTATATCGCCCATCCCTAGTTTGAAGTTAAGTTTTTAATGTGCAAAGTTAAGAATAAATTCTGATATTTCTATACTGTAGTAAATTGCAGTCCTGTACCCTATGCCGACAGCTACACGTGTTGTGGATGACTGCTGTCTTTTTATTATCGCCACCATATTGTCTGGATCCTATGACATCTCATTCTTCTACGCCATAATCAATCGAGAGGCATTAACAAGGCTTTAGACCTCCCTTTGTGCATGCTGAAACTCAATCTCAATCTCTGTTATCAAGTAATCTAAGCTCCAGAATTGTTCTTTTTCATGTTGCTTCCAAAGGCTCTCAGGGTCCCCGTCTCCACTCCCCCAGTCACAGCAGATGGCTGTTCACTGTGAGTCTGATTCAGTTTGAGAGTTTTCCTTCCTCACAGTGGATTAATGCTGAAACTCTATAAATAAAACAACAAAGGGAGAACTGTCTAGACCTCTGCAGTAATGTGTCCTGAAATAACTTATGATGTTACGCTTTATAAATAAAAAACGTGCCACAGTCCCTCCACTGTGACATCTGCCTGAGTGTTTTTTTCACTCTTCATCTTCATCACTCTCTGCTCACCTGTCCTTAATCTGCAATCAACACACCTGCTCACAATTAGATAGTCTTTTACAACCACTTACAAAAAAACCCACATCAGTTATTGCTTGATTGTAGTGTGATCGTACTCTATTCAGACACTGAGCTCATGCCAGAGTTTCTTTTCACCCAGTTAGAATAAATCCGCTTGACTACAGTAGACACAGTACAGAAACAGCAATGTCCGCCACCCTGGAGACTCTAGTTTGATGTAAATGAAGCTGTTAACTCTAAACTGTTGATGTCCTTCAGCGCTGGGAAACTGGAAGATATTTCTCCACGTTTGTTTATTGAAACAGCTGCTTTATAATCCAGTTTTAGACACTGGCTGTGTCCGAAATGTATCACTAACCTCTATATAGACGACTATATGGAGGTTAGTGCCATTTTGAGGGGGTGTCCGAAACCTCAAGTCGCCATATAGGCAACTCAAAATTTCCCATAGAGCATTGCAAAATGTAGTAACCATCCGATGGTCACTCACCGGTGGTGGGCATCCTGTCATGCATTGTTTCTCCAACGGCAATTCAAAGATAGGGTCATGAAGAGAGCAAGAAGAGACAGAACCCGAGCTCTATTTGTCATTTTCAGTGTAAGTTTTTTATCTTCACTTCACTCGCAAGTGATCCGCACAGTTTTTGAAAAACAATTGTTTGCTGCGTCATATAGTCTCGGGCACAATATGACGCAGCAAACAATGGTGAAACCCCATGTGGGGGTTAGGGGTTAGGGATTGAGTGATTCATTTCGGACACAGCCACTGATGCCTGCAACTCGAGTGTGGAAAACTTGAGTTTTTTTTTTAACTGGATGAAGTCTCATTGATTTTATCAATTGGTTGTTGAAGCGGTGTATGAACACTGGACGCCATGTCAGAAAAGCTGACTCAACACAACCGTGCGTTTACCTAACATTTGGGCAAAGATGAGGGAATGAAGCTGGTTGTCAGAATAGGCTTTTTTGAATGTGTGTATAAAGCCCCAAGTGGACACTTGAGGAACTGCAGTTTGGGTTGGTTGGTCTTACAGTTTGTGTTGTCCAAACTCTGCAGAAATTTTGGAGAATGGAGTGGATAGAGGTGCGATACTTTACAACTTTCCACCCATGAACCTGTTTGAAGTCAGAGTTGGTGCTGGTTGAGTAGGTGCTTTCAGCATCAGCTTTAACTAAGACCCTGTCCACACATATAAACAGTATATAATGCTGTTATTATGATGTATTATGATACATGTCATTACCTCCACTTTTTAAACTCATTATCCACAATCAGAAGAGACTGATTTATTGGGAGTGAAAATGTTCTAATTGGGTTTATGGTGATCATCTCTCGTTATTCCCACATCAAATTTAAGCATAGCCTCCAGAAAAGTCCAGACATGTTCATCAGTATTCTCCAGAAAACCCCCACGCACTAATATATTCAGGCGAGCATCCACTTTGTCAAATGGCTTTAATAGAGGGCTCCCCATTTTCATGAAGGCTCTGTTATAGATTTATTCAGATGGGATTGAGAAGGAGCTTCTCCAGTACTGCAAATCATCTGCACAGAGACGCTCTCTGCATGTCTTTGAAACTGCTTTTAGGGGCACTTAGGCTGCGTCAGATCTGATGGTATTTACTTCTGTGAGATCACAGCGCCACATCTATCCTCAGAGTCGCAGTCTCGACAAGGAAACAAGTGAGCAGAGCAATTAAAGTGATGGAGAAATAAATGATGGAGTTGTCGGATTCAAGTGTTTTTAACAAGTCAGAAGAAGACAACTTTAATGAGCAATGATCTGAATTTAAGAGCACTGTCTGAAACTATTTGTTAAATCCATTGGCAGCTCTGGGCATCAATAAAAGCAGTTTATTCCTCTGACAATCAACACGGCGAAGGGTTAGTCTGGTTTGGGGAAGTACCCAAAGAAGTCAGCTGGTTGATTTTGCTAACCTTTAGAAAGTCGCATACCTAAATACCAACTCTGGGGTAAAAATATGTTTAAAGAAAGTTGTACACTCGTTCACCTGCCATCACACAGACACAACCAGAGTGGAGAAGCTACAAACACATGTTCCATATTCATGAGTTTAATCAGAAAAACTGCATCTAAAAAGTGTTTGTAAAAACCCTGTGGCCTGCACAATATGTCAGACTCCATCTAAATACAATGTGTAAGCTGCTGAAGAGGACGACTGGGGTGAAAATTACCATATTATGTTCAATGACTGAATATAAATACTATAACCACAACAGAGAATAACAAACTCCATAAACACTACTGAGCCTGCTGGGTAATCTTGATCATTACGATTATGTTAAACTGTAGATGCAAATATGTAAAAATTCACAATAAATCAGTGACTCATTTGTCATGGAAATGATCAGCTGATTAACTCGCTGCAGGCGAGGGATCGTATGTGTTGACGCTTCCTGACAGCAAAGGGCTGCAAATTTCCAAATAGAGCGTGCACTTAAACCAAGAGTGGTGCTTTGGTTGGAGTTTGTTAAAATAGTTAAAAATCAAACGGCATCGGTAGACTTCACCAAATCTGCAGTGGTTGATAGCAGACCGTCCTTTCTGGTACTCACCTGGTTTTACCACAGTTCAACAAAACAAAAAAAAACCTGAACTGTCCCTTTAGAGTACCTCTATATGTGTTTGTCCCATTTCAGGCACTGTTTTTTGCATCTCATCCCAATGACTCTATATTTCACTCACATTGGGTGCTCTTTTGTCTTAATCTCACTTTAACAATTCTGTTAAACCAAAGTTAAGGAGGCCATTTGTAGTCATTTTTATCCATATCAGACAGATATATGTCCACAAATAAAGTATCACCCCTCTGGATCACATGACCACCTTTATTTATGTTGAAACAAGAGGCGGCTCGACTTCCAGACAGGCTCAAATCGCCTCGCTTTCACTACTGTCCTCAGGACGAGGTCACATCACTGCTCTGCATACTGTACACAGACGAGCCTAAGCATACTATCTGCTGCTACTTGATGGCCCATAACAGAGAGTGAAAGAGTCTGGAGCTTAGGGTTTTTTTATATCCTTTGCCTGAGCCAGACTGACTTTGCAGATGCATCACATTTTGAGGATGTAAAGTGCATTCAGCATGTATTAATTAAAATGACGATAACAGTCTCTGCACACGATCACAGCGCCGTTAAAAACACTGACCCTCTGAGCTCGCTCCGACATGCCCACCTCTCAGCATGAGTGTGTTTTTCTTTTGATTATGGGAAGACTTATGAGACACAAGGGTGCTTTCCACTAAACCCCAAGTGCGGTGAAGGGCGATAATGCGCTATTAAAACGCTTATTTTCACAGTACTTGACTCTGTGGTGAAAAAAAAAAAAAAAAAAAAATTACAACTGAGCGGTTTCTGAGGAAACAGGGAATCTCAATTTCCCAGGAGCTCTTCATAATTAATTAATTCTCTCCTGCCAAAACAACAACATTAATTAGGAGACGGGAAGTCAGAGCTGTTTGGAGGAAAAAAATAAGGTTCAAGCACCACTTTAGCAAATGCTATAATAAAATGTTTTATTCATTTGCATCCATACTAAACAGACAGCAAAGAGGTGGTGAGGGTGAAGCTGTCAGCCCTGAGGAGGAAATGATTAGGACCACTTCAGAGCAAACGAACCATTATCACACAGAAACAGTAATAATTGGCCGACTAACGTCCCTCTTTTCAAACACTTTCTAAAAGCAAAAGCTCACCCGCTGCACAGACACAATTAGGCTGCAAATTGAGATTCACAGATTGTTCTCGGCGCCACTTGCACAATGCTAATGTCTGAATAAGCGCTACAGACGTGCCTGGCACGAACGCGACATGTTTAGATTCACGAATGAAAGTCCAACTCTGTCATTTTCACTCTAAAGAAACTGTCTGACGAGTTGTAATCGTGTGATGTGGTGTAATTTAGACATTGGAAAGTAGTAACTGAAGGCAAAATTACCTTCAGAGACTTTAAATTTCATCCACAATCACTCCATTTAAGCACGCATGGAGGGGACGTGTCCTACATAAAGGCTTTTTAAGTGTTTGGGGAGATAAACACATTACTATTCATTACATAACTAATTATGAAATTCCACTCTCCTGATTTAAAACATCTACATGTGCCACTTTTTACTCCTGACACCGCCTCCTCCACAGTGTTTTTATCCTGACCGTGACTCCTCCATGGTTGGATTCAGGTTAAATAAATACAGAAACTTCCCCTCCATTGATTTTGATAAACGGATCCATATCACCTGCAGCAGCGTGCCTGACACTGAGGACAGCATCATCACTCCATGGCCTCCAGTTGATGTAAATCAGAACATTTGCATGACACCACAACATATTTTCAGCACAGGAACACTGGAGTCCCTCGGAGCGACACCGCCGCTCTGCTGCACACAGATCCGTCTGTGGCGAAGTGAACTCTGGCTGACAAGTGACAGCCACATCATGAATAAAACATAATGGGTGAGAAGAAAATAAATTCAGAGAGGACGTATTATCTGTCCTGAGTGTGTGATGCAACAAGAAGGGGTTCTTGGTGGTGTCCTAATCTTTCAGTCCAGATCCTGAGGCGGTGCTGTCAAAGACTAACGACTTCTGCCAAGGCTGAAATTCAGCGCTCGCTGCTCCTCTGCCCTCTGCGTGAAATATACGAGTATTCAAATTCTGTTTGTTTATCATTTGTAGTCAATCTGTTGTGTCTGGATTATAGTTCAGTACAGTTAAGTACAGTTAAGTCAGCTAAGTCATTTGCAAAAGTCATTTTCTTGACTTTTGCAAATGACTTAGCAACAAGCAGTGAGTCTATAGAAACAGCTACATGGCTGCACCAAAACTGCACATTGCTGACTTGGTTTAACACATTGGAAGTTGTCCTTTTTTATCCAAGAGACCCTCATAAATAGAGCTTAGCTTGAATACTGGTTGAACATGTTTTTTCAGATATTTATCACTCTTACTGCTCAGTAATTCAACCCTTAGTCAAAAATATGTGTTGATTTTACAGAATATAAATGTAAATATAACTGTAAGTTATTAAAGTTGTTCAACTGGTCATTCAAGGACAATAAGTCTACACTTTTTGTTCATGTTATAAAAAAAAACATACTTTAAAAAAATATTTAATCTGTGCCCCAACGTAAACAAATGTCAGAAAAAAACAGGAAAACCTAAATTTCTACCTAAAAAAAAAAACAATTTTTATATTTATTTTGAGTTTACTTTCCCCTGTGTCTTTATTTTATCAAGTCTTTCAAATTTCAACTCACTTTTAGTTAAAAAATATCCATATTACAATGGTTTTAAATATTGTTTTAACCAAACAAAGAATTTCAACTCAACAGAAACTATGAAGATGTCATTTAGAAGCATTCATAACGACTGGGGTCCGAGCTCTCATCCTTGAGGTACATCCCGAGTTATCCTTCTAAAAGGTGAGTTGATTTTTGCAGTTGGTGTACTTATACTATTGCTTTTTGACTCACCTGAATTATATAAAGAGCTTTAACTCTCAAAAACGTTTTGTTTTCTCAAATTTTGAGGCTCTGTTTTGCTTCTCTTCCGATCATGGTGCAACCTGAGATGATAACTTCCCTCTCGAGTGATAAAGCTCCATCTTAAATGAGGTAATGTGGTGTTTTTGACCAATTTAAGAGTTTTGTTTATCACTTTTTTGTTCCTGAAATCCAGTCTGAATCTGCCTTCTGCTGGGTTTCAGAGTAATCCGGGTGTTTTCGAAGTTGCCCCAATCCTCCCCAAAAGTTTTGAACAACACAACAAACGGTTGAGGTTTTAATTACACAAAGATAGCTGGATTACCTGATTTTATCTGATTTAAGAATCCTTTTATCTCTTGAGTGGCTTATTTTGAAGATCTGAGCCATAATCCTGTCAGATTACTCCTGAACACTCGGTCCTTGAGTTTGAGTATGTCCCTGTGATGTGAGGCGGCAGCTGACTGGAGGTAAATGAGCCTGTTCTCGCCCTGCTGACACGGCTGGATCCTCTCCAGATAGCACAGCGCCTCACACACCGCCTTGTAACGGCGCTCTGACAGAGACTAATGCCCTGACATTAAGCTCCTACACCACTTTACGTCTGACCGTAACCTCGCTTTGTTTTCCCCCTGCACTGATACGCTTTTACATCACAGCCGGAGCGATGGACACCTCTCTGCTCTCATATTCATTGGCTGTAAATATTTCAGGAGCCAGACCAAAGTAAACACTGGTCCGTTCTGCAGGGCGCAGTCACTTATCAGTCTGTGCTTCCTGTGTAATTACAGAGGAAGCTTTGCAGCCAAATTGAGCATTAAGAAAATGTATGAGGCAATGCTGGGTTTGTTTTTGGTGAGCAGAAGTACAAAGTGTTTGTGTGTGAGTCTGCAGGATATTTTGGTGCACGCCAAACATAAAAAAAAAAAAAAAACAGCCTTTTGTTGTGTTTTGTCTGCTTTCCTCTAATAATGAGCCGGGGATGGTAAAGGTAAAGAGTGATTGATGGGACCCTAATGGCTGATTCAGAGTAGAAGAAAAAGTCTGGATCAGACCAGATTAAAGTGAATTTGATACCAAAACAATGCAGCATAATAATGATGTAAGTTAGAGAAATACAGTATGTTTAAAACCTAGATATTGTCATCAAAAAAGCATGATCATCTCCTTCAAAAAATGTCAAATCTAATGCAGTGACTCAAAGTGTTGCATCATAGATTCGCTGAAACGTGAGATTAAAATGTTGTGGTGGAAAACAAACCTACCATTGCTGTTTGCACAATGAGGAAATAACGTCTTATCTCCAGTTTCCAGAGGGAAATCAATTAACCAACTGTTAAACAAGCAGAGTATCTCTGTAACTGTGTGTGTCTGTGTGTGTGTGCGTGTCAGTTCTGTGAAAAATTGAATCTGAAGTGCGACGCCGTGTACGAACATGTCATCTCGCATTACTCACTCAAAAAATCTGTTTCATCATGTACCCGAGCAATTTTCTCCGCAGGAAGCTCGTAGAATATGAAAAATAATCACATTAATGCTCAGCAGATTTCTACGTCAGTCAGAAATCTTCTATTACCACAGTCCCATAAGCAAACAATTTCACAGCACTCGAGTCCAGATTTGCTCCAAGGTTACTCTCAAAGTCAAACGATCTTTCTGAAGTGGAGGGCCAATCAGACGGCTGCTGGACAGCTTTTCCCAAAGTCTGATTTGAGAGCAGCCGAAACAGCTGAGTCATTTTCACGTTGATGTGACCCCAATCTCTGGACCAACTTGGTGTCATCCAACACTGATAGATCCTTCTGGGTGTAGTGGAAGACTTTTTGGGCATTCCTACACAGCCAGGATTTTACAATTAGCCAAGACTGCTTTTTCTGCAAGCCTTAGTTTCAGTGCTCTCTGATTTACTTTAGCAGTATGAACCTGATAAAGACACAGAGTTTTCTGCAGTTTTCTTGTAATTAATAGGTCCCAAATTTGCTGCAGTAATGCCATAATGCAGATTTGTAAAAAGTTTAAAATCAAGTTTTGTCAGGTTCATCAAACTTGAAGAAAACAACTTTTGAAATGCTTATTGGCAGGAGGTCACACACAAACCCCCATTCATAAAAAATCATTAATTTATGGTTGTATCATGATGAACTGTTGGGAAGAAATCCAAGATTGTATATCAGTGATGTAACGGTATTGTAAATACCACGGTATTCCAGTTTCAAAACTCGATAATGCTGTTGTATGTGACAGTATCAAACAAGAACTTGGAGTACTCCTGCCAGCTATTGAATGGGCCGGTCTGAGATGCAAACCACATCTCCCATGATTCCCTGCACAGTGCAGGAAGAGATGGCAGAAAGCACAGAGGGGTAGCAGAGTGGAGAAACTGTTTCCAGACACTGCCAGACCGCGATTGTCTACAAGTCAAGGAACGCCAAATACTATGAGAAGCCACTTGACGAACCATCACCCAGAAAAAGATATGTGATGCCAAACCAAAACGCAAGCAAGGCATTTTATATTTACTGCGGAAGAAGTAAACACCGCAATAATACCGTACTGTGGCTTTAATACTGTGACAATATCTTACTGTGAGATTTCCCTGTACATGCATCCAACCATTTTCTTGGAGTTATATTTAAGTAACTTGTCTAAGCAAGTCGACCCAGATCTCTTGCTCCCTTGCAGCACTCTCCAGCTCCTTCTCTTCGATCCCAAGGTGTCCCCAGACCTGGTGACACACAAAATCTCTCTGACAAGCTCTGAGCCAACCTTAAAGTCTCTTTCCAGAGAGACGAGTCTGGAACACCACTAAAGGTAGGGGACCTGGTGGCATCTTTATTAAATGCCCAAACCACTTCAGGTGTCCGAGCCTCAAACACTCTCTAGTTGGTTGTCTTATTCTTTCAGTCACAACCCAGAGCTCAGGAAAAATGGTGCGGGTCGGTACGTGGATCAAGTGGCTCCTGGCTTGACTCTCTCAGCCCTTGCTTGCAAACAAAACCCGGAGATACTTGAAATTCCTGTCTGGACTTTTGAAACCTTTGTACAAACCTCTTATTGTCTCACTTCATCATCAAATTACTACTTCAGTATGATGTACTTTCTTCTGCCTGCTTTTGCTCTCCATACAGACTATTTTCCCTGCATTCACAAAGCCTGCTGGCTCCAGATTAGTCAATATCTGGAGCCAGTTTCTGTTACTGTTCCTGTTTGGATTTGTTGGATCATCTGTATTTTTTTATTTTCTCTAAGTTGTCATTGTGATATTTCCTACAACAACTGAGTTTTGTAGTTTTGTTCTCGGGGAGTTTTTACCATCAGCTGTGGCTCCTCTGTAGCAGGTCATTAGTGGATGTTGCTTTCAGTATGAATTGTTTTCTTTCCTTTTACTGCAGGAAAAAAAAATCTGCCTGGTTCTGAACTTTTGATGTTGTATTTTTATTTGTACTTTGTCTTTGCAGAAACACACAAAACACACGTACACACTGATCTTGTATTACAGAGCATACCCAGGCGTGTTTCTCTGATTCACAGCAGAATAGTGAAGTTTAGACTTTAGTCCAAGAAAGTTCCTGTTTTTTGATGTTGTTATTGTTTTTCTTTTTAAACTAGTAAAGTTTGATTTTTTTTCCCCACCAAATCATAATTACTCTATTATTTTTTTTTTTTTACGAGAATTACCCATGATGCTCTGTGTAAATCAAAGTTGCAGTATTGGGATGTTAATTTTGCTCACAGAACATGCATATTTGGACCCCAAACACAAGAGTGCCATCTGTGCATGCAATAAAAAATTGACTCTTTTATGTGCTGCACATTCTCATTAGTCTAGCCTGGTTATGCTACAGCACAAACCTCTGCTGAGTTTGTCATTTTTAGCCAAAAATATTAAACAAAGGAGATCTACAGTCACTGCTGTGATGCAGAAATCTCATTTTTGGGGCATGCATGTGCAAAACATATCTGCATAAAAGTCGGTTTCCACACAAGTAAGCAGTAATCTTGGAGATCTTTGCTCAAAGCAGAAAACTGGGCTCCCCTGGAGGACTACAAACCCTGTGTAAACCTTTATATATCTAATAATGCACTTAGTGAAAGGTTTCAGCAGAGTCAAAAAATTCAGATGTATTCCTTTTCTTTACATGTCTCTGTGGAAATCTGAGCAGAATAATGGCCAAGCGTCACTCTCTCTAGTCAGGAAAACACTAATCTGTCTTGTTCAATAATCAGGAGGCAGATGCTACAGCACAAGAGGGAGGAAGAGGTGGAGGAGGAGGAGGCGGGATTCTGACTCAATGCAGAAAATGTTTCTTTGACTTTTTTCCATTCGAATGTCTTCGTCTTCATTACGATAACAGCTCCAAAGCAGAAAATGTTTTATCACTTCACGTTCACCCCGGGTGCTGCTCCGAGCCAACGTTTATCTGCAGAGGAGCCTCGGGAGGCCCCTCCTAAAGGAGCCGGCTTTGGGCTTTATTGTCCAAAAGGATTGGTTTATCATCTGAGTTCTAAGGAGCACATTTTAGCTTTGAGAAATTCACCCAAACGTCACTGCAGAGGAAAACCTTTGTACCCTTACCTTAAGTCTAAAAGGGCTGTTTATGCACCCGGCTAAAAAGCAAAAAGTAGAGACGCATAGCTCTGCACCTCTCCTCCTGAACTTTACCTCATCAACAACAGCTGCCTCTGAAAACGACTTCTTCATGTTTCACTCTCTTTTTTTCTGAGCTCATTCACCTCCTGACAGGATACAATCACAATGAGGGAAATAAAGGAAAGAAAATAACACTAAAGCATTGAAGCCTTGTCACTCTACTTATCCGCAGCCTTTTTTTTCTCTTCAATAAAAACTGTTATTGGCTCACAATGCAGAAATCTAAAGGACACTTATTGTGCAGGGATGATGCAGGTAACAGGAAAAAATGAATGCACAAGGGCACCCAGTTCTCAAAGGCATGTAGTTCCTTCATGCTCTAATTATAAAGCTTTTATAATTTGCCTGGCTGGTAATGACCTCTATTGACCCCAGATTTAGTATTTTATTAGGTCGACTGAAGCAGAACTCAAGCAGTGTTTCCCCTACATTTGGTGCGCTGCTGCTGAATTACATGCGCCGCAACTGAAATTTCACAATATCGTTAATATCAATGCGCCACTAATGATTTCTACACACACTGTGTGAGCACCACAACACACAACGTTATTTACGACTTGTTTTGAGTCATTAACGAGGGCATCAAATCATGTTGGACCCTCTTCCATCAATGTGAAAGGTAACGTTCAAGCTTACATACGCTCTATATAGCGAGTAGCATTAATAGGCTAGCTTTAGTAGCAGTAATATCAATGCGCCACTAATGATTTCTACTCACACTGTATGAGCACGATGGACACAGAGTTATTTCCGACTTGTTTTGAGTCATTCAGATTCAGATTCAGATTCCTTTATTAACCATTGTGTAAAACACATAGGAATTTGCTTTGGCAATAACATGAGTGTCAGACCCTCTTCCATTAATTTGAAGGATAGCGTTCAAGCTTTTGCATGGTCTTGATAGCGAGCAGTGCGGGTAGCGTAACATGAATGTAACAGCATAGCTCCTTGAGCGGCAAGAGAACGGGGGTAAAAAAAATTCTAGAGGAAACACTGTCAAGTGATGGCAAAGACCATTAGGTTTAAAATAAAAGACACAGTTGTGCCAAAAATGGCAGTACCCAAAGTGTCCACTAGAGGCTGTCTCCAGATGGGAGCCAATCCCCGTAGATCCTCATGTTAAAATGTCCAACTTTAAAGCAGAAATAAAGGAGTTTGCAGCCTGATACAAAAACAGTTTTGGACTCATAATCAGTCAGCCATCCCAGTTCAACCCTACCTGCCCTACAGATCAGTTAAGAGATGGTACAAGATCAAGAAGGCTCCGGGACCTGATTGCGTGCCCCCCTCTGTACTGACCAGCTGGCCCTTATCTTCACCCAGACCTTTAACAGGTCTCCTCCTGCTCCATCAGCGACACAAGCTGCCATGTAGGGCTGGGTGATTTGGCCTCAAATCAATATCACGATATATTGAGCAGTTCACCTCGATAACAATAAATGGACGATAACTACTCCACAATCTGTTCACCCTCTCCCACATTAACTTTGTCTACTTCAGCAGCCGCTCCAGCCGCTCCAACTTTTGAAGTGTCCTCCATCTCCTCACCTGTCTTTCCTCTTTGTTACGGACTGGATGGGGTGGAGTCACGTCTCTGACGTAGGACAGCGTCTTAAAAGGGACATGAGACCATAGCCTACCTATACACATCCAAAACTAACCATTATTCTATTTTTTTTTTACACTGAATATATTGACATGGGCAAAATGACGTTGGTTCTTGTCATAAATTTATGTATCTGTAAATTTTCGATATATCGCCTAGCCCTACTGTCATCCAAGCCACGTCTTTTTCAGGGACGTCCTTGCTAAAGGTGTAATATTAGTGTCCCAGTGTGTGAGAGGCACAGCTTGTTAGCACACAGTAGGAGCTCGACACACACTGTTCTGCACTGCTTGCTCTGATGCCACACATCCAGTTTTTTTACATTTATTTGCAGCAGTCTGTGCATGAGTGTCAGGGTTGTTGCTGGATTTCCAGGGAAACTGTGATGAAAAGATTGTTGTTTTTTTTTTTTTTTTCCCATTTACCCCGTTTCTCTGCTCCCCAGCAAGCCGTGGGTCCTCTCAGTTCTGCAGGCTAGTTTGGTCTAATAAATCAAAAACCCGGTCAGCTACCATGCACCACAAACAGAATCTCATTCTGGGGTAAACATGTTGGTTAAATAGCTCATTAGCGGGCCAACAAATTAGCAGGGCAAAGATTGTTTGGCTTTAATAATTCAGCATTTACTCTTCCCCATCCCTTGTCCAAATGCGGTCACTTTGAGCTTCAGAAAACTAGTAAATACACCACATTTGAGCTTAAATCCAATGTTTTTACAGTGTGTGGCTTATGAGTAGTAAAAGTCTTGGTGTACAGCTGTTAGAGGGAAAGTGAGTCAGTGTGATTCACCAAATGTTGCTGTATTGGTATTAACGGTTATATGCCTCAGAGAGACTCTAATCCAAAGGTTTATTTTGTGATTTTAGAGGATGATTAAATGTCTGCTTGTCCACTTACGAGCTCGTAATGCAGAAAAACAACCCACAAAAGAAGTCAGGGAAAAACAGACCAATAAAGTTGTATTTACATTAATAAATAACAATTTAGAGGACCAGTGAACTCCGCGGTGTACAATGTGTTTTTCATACACCGTGTCAAACTCGTTTTACAACACTGGCCAGACTCAATTTCTCGCTGCCTCTTAAGTCTTATCTTTCTCGTTGGAGAAAACATTCAGACCCCTTTTTTGCCTCTCTATCTCCCCTCCTTCTCTGTCCCAGTGTTTATTTACATCCCTCCTCTAAATCCCTCTCTCCTTTCTGCACAGAGGTAAAATGACTTCATTTTGTCGAGCTCAGGAGCCAAAGAGAATCGATTTCGGGACTCTGAATCTTTTTTTTTCCAGAGACGACTTAAGGTCCCTGATTTAATCAAAAGAACGGCGTGATTACGTTATGCGTGAAATGCTGTTTTTTATCAGCCCTGAGGTGTTCACAGGCTTACAGTGTACGCAGAGGTCATGAATAACCAGTTTTTCATTTGTGTCTGTGCTCCTGAATCTTGCTATTTAGCTCAGGTAATATCAGCTCTGACCTTTCAGCTGAACTTTGCAGGTTTGGATTCATTTCAGAGCTTTCTAACATTTCTAACATCTGCACAAAGCTGCGCCCTCACCTAACTGCTGTGTACGTGTGCTAAGTGTGGTGTCGATGACTCAGTGCAATTAAATGCGAGATTTCTTGCGCCGTGCGTTCCAATTACCGAACCCATTAGTCCTGGAGCTGCATCATTTAAACCAAAATAATTTAATTTGAGTGTCTCAGTCATGGATTTTATTCCTAACCTCATCAGGCTCTGAGCTCACACCCAGAGGCTCTGCAACATGCCAGCGTCATCTGTGTTCAATCTGTTAATGGATGCTGCTGTGTGCAGTGGTTTAAACAACACAACAGAGTCAAGAGAAATGAAATTCAGTCATTCAGCTTTCTGTATCATCTTGGAATAGTATTGTATTGCTTCATGCCTCCATGCATTGTTTATGCTATCCCATGGTGCAACTCTGCAAACAGTGATGTGGCTGCAGGGTCTGCCCCACATACCCTCATTGAGTTAAAAAGCAGGTCTTGAAGTGCTCATGCCACTCACACCAAGTGCGAGTTCACACCAAGCGCGAGTGAAATCATTCACGCGAATGAATTCCATGTCATGTCAATGCAAAGACCTGATTCGATGCTCGTACAGGAATGGGGTTGCACGAACCACGCAAATTGAGCGAGTCATTCTCGCAAGTGATGCGAATTCGTGAGAGTTGAATATATCTCAACTTCAGCAAATATTTGTGTCGTGATAACCAATCACGCATGAAAACATGGAGGATGGAGGACAAGCTTATCATGTCGGTGTGCAAGTAGCCTGAGCTGTTTTTTTTATAAAAAAGGGACTAAAAAGGAGCTCATCTGGAGGAAAGTGAGTGAGGAGGTCGTATTATCTGGTCAGTTGTGAAAAACCTTTGTCTATCACTTGATTCAGCCGGTTAAATTGGCAAGGATCTCTGTTGAGATTAGCTTAAATGGCTATCCACAGCTTTGTGTTGACAAGCAAATGGAGTGAATGGGCTAAATGATTTGCTCGAAATGAGGCTAGTAAATACTATTCATTCACGCGTCTAGATAAGCGCAAGTTAAGCACGTAGATGATTTTACCCGTGCTAGGCAGTGTTGTTTTCGTCAGGCAGGACGAAAACTTAAATGACGACGTCAGACCCCTTTTTTCCTAGACGAAAATGAGACTAAGACGAACGTCACCAAAGCTCTGTAAAGACTAAAATGTGACGAAAATTGTATTCATTTTCGTCAGACGAGAACAAGACGAGACTAAATTGTTATTAGGTGGACGAACAAAGTTTCAAAACATGCTTTTTTTTTTGTCCTAACAGTCACGCCCCCATCACACACACACCAAAAGCCTCACTCGCGGACAGCTGCGCGCACACACTCATACACATACACAGAGCGGCAGGTAGACGAGGCGCGCACACACACACCTTGGTGGCAGGCACAGCAGCGGTTCCCGGTGGCCAAAAAAAGAGGGATGATTTATGGTCCTACTTCAGATACAGTCCAAGTGACAATAAAACACAATGTCTTGGACGGGGAGACGAGACAGACGACAGTTGTGGAGCCACAGCTTCCTCATGCTGCGGGTTCAAACTGTCGGGAAAGAACACCACGAACCTCAAAAGGCACCTTTTCGTCGACTAAAACTAGACTAAAACCTTTTGAGTTTTCGTCGGACTAAAACTAGACGAAAACTATCAAGGATAGAAATGACTAAAATGGGACTAAAACGAAGAAGCATTTCGTCAAAATGACTAAGACGAAAACTAAATCTGAAATGCCTGCCAAAAACAACACTGGTGCTAGGTGTGAAGGCACGGTAACACTCCTAACACTCACCACGGGGTTACTTGAGTCTCTCCTGCTCTCTCTGTTCTTTATTCTCATGGCTGCAGTCAGAATCACTATACCTGATAGGACTTTGTTTTTGCTCATGCTGTTTCCTTCTGTTTAGACTGCTGCTCGTCTTGTACTAACTCTCAAATGTACCTCACTTGAGACAGTGTCTGCAGAGCAAACATTGTAGGACTAGTACATGAATGAATGGGCTGAAAAACTGCCAAACAGAGTTTAGATTTACACAAACATTGGCGCTGAGGTGTTGAATGTCTGTCTGCAGAGAAATATCAGCTCTGTGTCCTTAATTCATAATGTCACAATAACTGAGAGTGATTCTTGTCAGGACTGCAAATGCCACAAAGTGGCTGAAAAAAAACATTTTCTGACAGATCAAAATTGGCATTTAAAAGCCTCAAACTCTCTCGTTTGAGTCGGAGAGACCTCAGCGTGAGGAGATTAAATTCCTGAAATCTAACACAGCTCTGTGGCGGTGTGGATTTCACTAACACTGTGTACTTCAGTGGATTTATTTCAGACTAGTAAACTTTTCCTCCACTGAATTTTTTATAAGGACTTTTTTTTTTGTTAGGGGCTTTCTCTGCAGTGATTTCCAATAATGATGCTTTCTGTGTTTGTTAATGTAGAAATATTTCTCTGAATGACACGTTGCAAATGTTCAACGTTCTTTGCAGTTTGATAAAGCCGGACCTTGGTGTGTCTTCTTATTTTTGTGTTGGTGTCGAGGAATCAAACGTTCAATGTTATAAATATTCAAACTTAGAGCCCTGTCAGCTGTTAGCCGATGAATAATGATGACAATGAGTGAGTCAGTTTTTTGTTAGCATCACTGATGCATCAACTCCCTCTTTATCTTCATTAAACATGAATTTAACCTCAGGAATCCTTCACCCAGAAGTTAATCCTCTTGCGCACCAAAGGTACTTTACATATCTTGCCGCTGAGATATTTTCTTAAATCTTGTATATGCATGAGTTACTGTGTTGTACAAAGAAGTGAATAGTTCAATATCGAGGCTGCACACACATGCAAGCTAATTATCATGAGCACACAGGCTTTATATCTTGTGTGCACAAATTAATTATCGTGTGCAAACAAGGGATGACATTGTGCACACAAGTGAGTTTTCTCACACTCTTTAATATTTTGCAGCTGCACTCCTGCACATTTCTTACTTTGTGATGGTTTTATCCTTTGAAAATATTAAATCCAGTTTTTGACATGGTTAGTCCTGTGAAGATGTCTCCTCCCTCTCAGCCGTGGTTTGAGATCACTCTAGTGTGGCGGCGCAGCATTTCTTTGAACAATAAATCTAAAAGTCAAGATGATAAAGTAGACTTCTTTGCATTCATTTGATTCCCAAATCTAGTCAGAACAGCTTTGCATCATTTATATGGACTTGAAAAACAGTTCTGAAATCAAAATTAGAGAAATTTCAAATTGCAACTGGCTGGTAAAACACTGTATGTAACTGCAAACCATTTCTCACAGTGTTTTTGTTTTTTCTTGTAGGCCGTCTCATGTTCTACTTCCTTCTTCTTTTGCATGCTGTAGGATGACCATGTGTCCTCTTTTACCCGGACATTTCCTCTTTTTGTCCAGCCTGTCCAGCCTTGTCTGGCCTTGTCTGGCTTTGTATGGGGGAGTTTATAAAATGCTTTAAATGTCAGGGGGTTTTGTATGGAAGTTTTTAGTTTGTGTCTTACTTGTCTTACTGTCTCAAACACTCGATCTGACCCAAAAAACTCTCAAAATTAACTACATGTGGCTGTGTCTCTGCCCCCACTTAGTCATGTCCTCTTTTTGGTCACCCTAATATACTGTATAACCACTTTCTGTAAGCCTAAAGGTGTTGTACACTGCATATAATTTTATTTTTGTTTGTTTCAGTCTGTGAACTCCCCCCTGCCTTTATTTGGGACAGGCTTTTTTGAGTCATTTCTTCGTGATGTCTTCCACAGCCTAAACAAAAACTATAATCTCATGTTAATCTCACTGTTTATTCTGAGCCTGGCATCTTTTCGGGACAGTATTGTGCATCTTCTAACAGAGAAAAACTTGGTTGCAGAGTATAAATCTTAAAAACAGTCCCATTCTCTCTGTCACCCACCATGGCGTAGATTTTTCTTTTTTTTTTTTTGGCCTGACGCTCTTGCAGGAAACCCTGAGATGCTGTTTCTTCACGCTGTATTGACTCATATACCTAGAGCTCCGAATTACTGCTAGGTTTCTTTCTCCTTTCTCTGGGTAGTCTGACCTTTTCAATGTCATGCTGAATAATAACTTCATGCTGCTTCTGCAGGTTTCTCTTCGGTAAACAGCCTTTCAAATGTTACCAAAGAAATCCGAGCAGAATTATTGCTGCTGCGTGTCAGACAGTGTAAAAGATAAGCTCTTAGTTTGGCTTTTAAGGGTTTGAAGGTTGAAGAGGGAGTCACAGGACCAAGTAAAATCCCTTTACCTTGGGGGAGGGGCTTAGTCAGGTTTGGCAGGTAATGCAGCGGGCAGTGCATTGATGCAAACTTGTGATCTAACAGTCTCCGTCATGATGTCATGAACTCTTCCCTGGTGTTGGAGAAACAAGCAGAGTCGATGAAGCGAACCTCATGTTCAGCTCAAGTTTTGCCCACAGATATTAAACTGCTTTTTATTCAGCTGACCTGTCTTTAAATGTCACTATAAAGCGTATCCATGTGTGCAGACAGCCTGCATGTAACATAAAAATATAAACTACACATTCACTTACATGAACATGGGGGGAACAGTGGGCTGTACATCCTGAGTGATGAGGATGGGAAATGGAGGGCATATGATGCAGAGGAGACGTGAGGATGGTTAAACCCGCTCCTCCAGGAAAAGGCGAGCAATGCCGGAAATTGACTTTGAGCGATTGGATCCATTGTAACTCAGCTGGGTCTCCAAATGGACCTCATAATGTCATACATCCCAGCAGGACACAATCACCTGGAAAAGCGCTGATTGATAGCAGCAGGCGACACTTCAGCGCATCAGCCTGAGCAGATTTATCCATCATGTGAATTTGGATTTGATAAGCTGGTTGATATGAGGAAATACTATTAGAGAGGGAGGGGCTGCTGCGGCGAGGACCGCCTGAGGGAAGACCCCAATACGAGACAATGAGACATCCAGAGTGTGTTTATTGAGTGTGGCTGATATGGATGACTATCTGACCGGAGAAGGACAAATATGTGAGAGGACACAGTAAAGGACATGGTGTCTGTGAGGCTGGTAATGTGTCTTACATGCTGTCTGGTCCCCTGTCTTTATTTTTCACCTGTCAGAGCAGTACAATCACTCAGTCAAAGTCAGCAACTTTATTAAATATTCCTGCAGCAGAAGAAGAAGAAGAAAAGCTCGGTGTGCAGAAATGTGCAGCGCTCCGTCTGCCTGCGAGGCTGTTTGCTGTGCGGGGTGACAACTTAAATGGCTGATATAAAACCTGACACGACTAATCTATCACACATCGCCCGCCTGTCTGCTTGAAATTCTTCTTTTTAAAGGATGGTTTATTGTGCAGCTATAAGTCAGGCTGTACAATATCCCCACCGCGGCCTTGTGTGTTTACAAGATTACATGTGTCACCTGGATTGAGAATATCAGCGACCGGGACAGATCTGATCCGTTTTTGACGTGTAATCTGGGTGTTTGGATTACCCGGCAGAGGGGGAAATGACTTCGGCAAAAACATTTATCTGCTGTAAACTGAAAGATCACACAGGAGGAAGCTTTTATGGTGGTTTTAAAGGCGACAAAAAGGACAAGAAAACACTTTTCTGAGCTGATAAAGAAATGGACTAATTAATAAACTCCAAGTGAGCATCTTTGTACATTAGTAAACCTGTTAGTGATGTGATGAGGGTCTGAATGTAACATGCTCTTTTTAAATCACATAAATTCAAGAGAAAGAATCTCTGCAGACTTGGCCTCAAATATAAGGACGTCTGCATGTTGTAACCTGTTATGTCTCAGACTGAAATGGTGAACTGGAACTCCTGAAAAGTGCAAATCATGCTGCATAAACCAGGAATCACTGGACGAAAGTGAGTAATCGAATTACTCTCACTGAACTTACTGACACTGAACATGATGCACAAACACTCCTGCATATATCTTAATGTTCAGACTCACTCCCATCCCATCTTCAACCACATGAGAGAAGCTCTTTGCAGAGTTTTGCAAGTTACAGCAAAGAGGAAGAGCTTCCTTTAAAGGGATATTCCAGCGTAAATTTAAGTTATGGTCAAACACACCGTAACACCAAGTTAGACACCCCCTAAAGAGATGAATGTTGCCGGCTGCTTGCTTCTCTAGTTACACCAACTTCAGCGATGACCGCATGATAGCAAAACACAGCTGTCTACGTCTCCACATACAAACCTAAACCAAAAAGCCACTCTATAGCCACAAATAATGCTCAGAACAGCACCTAACTAAGTACATATAGGGTCCTAGCAAAGTTTCAGTCATTTCGTGTGTTTTCTTTTCTCAAATCAGTAACATCACCTCTGAAACTGGCATTTAAAGGTTTAAAACCAATATCTTTTTTAAAAAATGCAGTATTTTTTTATCAGGACTGAGCTTGATGAAGAGATCTGAGAAAAAAAAAGTTCTAAAAAATATCTCTGATATGTTTTTACTGCAGCTAAAATTAGTGGCTAAAAACAGCCAGAAGAGGATGAAAGAGTGTAAAATTAGAAGGGTGCACAAGGGTTAAATCTTTATGGTTATGGTTAACACTAGCAAAACATCAAAAATTGAGGTGAAACCTTATCTAGCGTCTTTCTTTAAGCTGAACCACAAAGGTTTTTCCTGAGACTCCAGTGTGTCAGTGCTGCACTTTGTCCGTCACCACCAACTCTATATGTCTCCTTGTAAATCCAGCGTGGAACATAATTACAGTTTTCTGTTTATTCTGAGAAATCTTTGTCCATGGACTCGATTCACTGACAACATAATTATCACCTGACGATAAAATGAGAAACGCAGCTCAGAAATGCAATAGCAGATGTTTTGAAGTGGAGGTCTGGATCCATTAAACCTTTGTAATCAAATCAGTTAAATCATAGATGAAGTCTGCAGCAGAAAGACGTCGGTCGAATCTGGAGCTCAGAGGTTACATCGCTTGCCTGAGATCTTCTTTAATCTCTTTCTGCCCGGTTTAAAAACCTCTCTCATCCTCTATCCTCTGCTTCGCTCTGAATCTCATATTTGTCCTATTTCCCCTGGTGCCTGTTTTCCTATATTCCTCCCGAGTGAGGCCATTACATTTTCTCATCCTCGCACTCTGTCGATCAAAACAATCTGCAGCCTTTGTGCTGGAGGAAATCTCTCTAAGATCTGAGAAACAGAGTCGGGGTGACATTAATGCATCGCTTTCATCGAGAACTTTTTCCCATCTGTAGTTGGAGTCGAGTTTATTTATTTATCTGCTGACAAAGTGGTTTGTATTCAGACTCGTGAACAAGATTTGTGATCAGTGAACGAAATTTTAATCATGACAAGCCAGACTAGAAAAGAATTTATGATGTACAATATAAAAAAAAACCACAGTAGATCTGTCTTTTCCCTTAACAGGCTGTTTTCAGATATGTAACTTCAATCCCAAAGACATGGAAAGAATAACAATCGTCAATCTCAAAGGAAAACAAATGAAAACGAGTTCGTTTAGTTTATAACTTCATTGAAGAAGTTTTAATAGACATTAAAACTAATGAGGTTTAAACTCCCTGAGGAATATGTTCTCTGTTATTCCTCGGCTGTGTTAAACACTTGATTCTGATCAGTCAATACAGGTAATAACAGTGATTTAATAGTGAGCAGCAAAACTAATGCAGGGTACGACCCGATTATAGAAGTCACATCAAATCAATCCGCCTTCACTGAGCTCATTTGAAGCCGAATTGCTCTCTGTACTTTCAGGATTTTCTCCACTTCCTGAAACTACCACTTGCATAGTAGCGTTGTACGCTTTCGCCAGGAGAGTCGCTGTGATGACGAAAGATTGAAAGAAAGTAGCTTATAACTGTTATTTTGAAGTTTTTATGAATGACTCTTTAGTAAACAAAGGCCAAAACAAACTGGATTGTGTCTCAGCTGTTAGTGAAATCTGGGGTTGTCTAGACTCAACCGTTTTCTGTAAAAGTTCCAGATTGTTTCAAGGCAATGCAGCTGTGTAAAAAGTAACACCCTCAAGGCAGGGGCTGAAAAATGCTGAAACAAGCGTGTCCACAGATACCAGTGGAAGATAAATTAGCTGCAAATCATGCAAAACTACTCCTTGGTTGTCCTAGACTGACAGATTAAAAGAGGGAAACTAGGGGGTATTTTACGTCTCCTTTAAAATTAACTCCTCTTGCAAGGAGGCCGATAAGAAACAGTCATCATAGCAGTAGTTTTTTAAAGCTCTAAAAATCAATCATACTAGTATAGATAATTTATGACAACAGGCATCTTGGTAGTCTGATAATAAGCAGGATACTGAACTATAAGCAGGTGGTTATGCCAATCCACTTAGACATAAAAAACTGATGATGGCTAAAACGGCAAAAAATTAGTCTTGTTTAGAAATTGATTTGTGGATATTTTTTTTAAATCTAATAGCCCAGATTTTAAGATAAAAATGATGTAGCATAGATATGAATTATTGTCTGACATCCAACAGTAATTGTTTAATGTACTGTTTGCTGAATAAATGGGCTAATTAATGGAGCTTTTGGCTCAGTATGGCTGTGCTTAAGATGGATGTTTCAGGACAAATTATTCTCAGAATTCATTTAATCTTTTTTTCAAAATATCCCTCTCATAGATGTGGTCGACAGAGCAAGTTTTCACCAGTTTAATCTCTTGAAATAGCAACAGTATGTAGAGTTTGTCAGGAACGTGTCTTTTTACCACGTGTATCAAGCCTGTGGTTGATCTGTCCCCGGCTCAGACCCCCTCAGTCCTCCGTCAGTCAGCCTCTGCGGATGATCAGAGGTGGAAAGTTTGGAGTGGTTGGACCGCAGGCAGCCGAGGACTGGCTTTGTTTTCCTGATCTGAGAGCTCCCGTTGTTTCTCTGCTTCACAGTTTGCAGCTTCCCGGAGTAAATGCAGTTTGAGTCATATTAAAAAAAGAGCAATTCAACCCACAGAGATTGCTCTCGAACCGCGGTGCTTCTACAAAATGTACAACAGGTTTTCCATAATGTGCACTCATCTTTTAACCTTTGTCACCGCTAATTATTTTCTCTGCTTTGTGCTCTGCCCCCTCAGCTTGAACCCTTCGGTGTTTTTCGCACAAAGGCTTCTTTTATTCTGAAATCACATTGCCTCCGTGTAAAAGTTAGTAACTGTTAATAATTTAAAGAAGCATCAGTGCTGCGCAGAGTCACGACAGGCATCACAAACACAAAAACACCCAGGAGGAAAGAGATGAAAAGCACAGAGCGGAGAAGTATAACAAAGCAAAAGGACAAAAGCAGACCAACCACAGTCACACACACACACAGACATACATACACACACCGGTTTTGCCGTCAGCATATTTAATCACACTGTGTTCTTTTTAATGCAACCAAGCACACTGCTGATGAGGGGGTAAAATCTGAACATAAGGCCTTTCAAATACTTAGAAATGCACAGTCCCTTGCTTTATATGATGATCAGAAACAAGCCGACATTTCCATTTAAAAACCTGAACCTCCTGGAAGGGGGCAGGTGTCAGACCACAGGATGGGAAACAGAGTTCTTTGGCAAATATTCATAGTTGTTAATATTTTTTCTGTTTAAACATTTTAGTATAAGGGATTTGTCTTAAATCGGAACTTTAGCATCCTATCACTTTGTCCACAGGGGGCGCCAAAGCTGGCACAGACCAAAAGTCCCTCGATGTAGCTTTAACATTTAAACTGATGGTACAACCTGTTGAAAGTCCAACATTCCTCTCCTTCCTGCCCCAAGATCCAAGTCTAGGAAATGGGCTAAATCTAAATAGGGCTGTCCCGATATGATATTGATATCAGATATCAGTCAGATATCAGCTAAAACATAAATATCGGATTATATCGGCCTGCATCTAAAATCTCTGATATCAGCACTCCAATACAAGCAGTCCATTCCAGACTCCACTCCAGCACCTCTAGCTAGCAGCGCCTGGATCCAGCATGCAGAGCCCACATGATCACAACAACAGTGTGTACTAATGCTAATATCAGATCAATAACTGTATCGGCCGATACTCAAGGCTACAATATCAGTATCGTATCAGAAGTAAAAAAGTTTTATCAGGACACTCCTAAATCCAAACACATTTAAAAAATTTATTCAAGTCTGTAAAGGTTGTATGATCGTGCTCAAGTTGTCCAGAATCTATCTTTGAATCAGGATTTGGATTCTGTTCCCACACGGTAAAGGACAAAACATGAATACAGCAGTCATTGTGCGAAGACAACTCCTGACTTTGCCTGGACTTTTTCCCCTGCTAGCTTTGTGGCAAAAAGCAGAAAAAACATGAAGAACTCTCCCCAAACAAATCTAAAGGAACGGCACATAATTTCTGAGGTTGAGTAAGAAGAATCTTAGAGTCTGGACATCCACCCTTTATATGAAGTACTAATTTAAATATGAAAACAGACATTAAAGTGTAAGTCTCTGTGGCTTTTACTGACTGATTTTGATTTCATGATTTTAGCTTCCAGTGACTCATCTTATGACGACAGTGGACTTTGTGAAGAGGAGGAGGAAGAAAAGAGATGAGGAGGAGGAGGAGGAGGAAGGAAGTTGGCGTGCTGTAGGAAAAAGGTTTCAAGGTGAGGGACTGAGAATGTAAATGAGAGCAAACTCAGACAGCGTGGCTCTAACTTCAGACTGTTGAGTTAAATGTCATCGATATTGTTCGTCCAAATCTGCTACCTGGCTTCTCTGCAAACTCTCACACATTACAAATGTACTCCCATGATAAGAAAAGTCTGCTTTACAGGTTTTCAGTCCGTTTTAGGATGTGATATCTAGAAGTCAGATGGCTTATTCCTCAATGTTTCAACTCAATCATGTCCACTCATAGCATGACTTTGACTTTGAATTACATGCAGATTAATTGATACTCATTGATTTTTTTTTGCTCTCCTGTTTTGAAGAACATCACCTTTCATCATCTTAGAGTTATTCTTAAAACACTTTGGAGGCCTATGGAAGAAAAACCCTGTTTACTCAGCAAACAGAATTAGAGCTGATCTTCAGCCTGAGTCATGGACTCAGTTTGGACCTCAGCATCGATCCAGGACTTAGCACTGAGGCTGTGCATGAACTTTTCAATAAAAAACAAACACAAACTCCAGCTCAAACTTTTCTCTCTATTTGAATTTCTACATCAATTATTCAGATGATGTTTTGGTTTTAGTTCATGACTAGCCGCTCCACTCTGTCGGTGCATCAAATGCATACACAAAACCTTAAATAAAAACCAGCATCTCGACTCCTCAAATGACTGGGATCACAGTGAGTTCACAATGTCTGAATCATGTCAGGTCTTGGGAGTACTACATTGCAGACCATCTCTGCATCTCCACTCTCTGCTGCTCAGAGCTGCACTGCGAGCTCTCATCCTGACTGCACTAAATGCCATCTACATTAAGTATATGAAGATTTAGGTGTAGATGGGGAGTACTTATCATTATATTGTGACAGGCGTGATAAATGTCACAGTTTAAAACCAGTTTATCTCTTTGCCATTTGAAAAATAAAAGGGAAGAAGCATGTGAGCTAGTTCAGGCAGGCTACTCCATGCCTCAGTCCTGGAGTAAGTGACCTTACATCCTCAAAAATAACCCATGTTATCTTCTGCGATTTTTGAAAACGAGTCGAAAATAACCTGCTAGCTCCTCTACAGTTGGTATAAATTCTCAAAGTACTCTGAGTACTTATAGTTATCACTCACAATTGCTTTTGTGAAAAAATAATCCTCAAACACAGGAAAATTGATACAAAGGCCTGCCTCTAACAAAAGCCTGCTCCAAATAAAGGCCTGGTACAATTTGAATTGAAAGCAAATAAAGGATCCGGCCTATACATGCAGATTCAGCGTATTTATTCTCCTTTCCCACAAACTGTGCAGGTTACTCTCTTCTTTCCAAAGTTTGCCAACTTGGATGTTTTCGGATGTGTCAAAGGATTAGAAATCCCATGCCGGCTCTTCCACGCCAACACACACTTTTGCCTTTCTTTGTGCTTTTTTAAATCCCTGTGTCTCTAGGGGACGTGAAGCTTTGACAGACACAGAGGGGCAGATAGAAACCTCTGAGGACTTGCCCTTTAATGTCAGAGAGAGAGAGAGCTGGAGCCGGAGAGGAGCGAGGCACAGAGGGAAGTGTTGGGCGGTTTGCAGGGAGGCGGGGAGCCACGCTACAACAAGCCAAGCTAAATCTCCACCCTGCTTTGTATGCATGCCTACGCTCGACGGCTCGGCACAGTGCAGGAGGAAGGCAGAATTTGTCACCCGGCTCGGGAAATTATTCAGAATTAGTCAGACATGTTCGGTATCTCAGGATGCACCTGTCATCGATGCTCTGTGTTAACACGCTGCATTCAAAGACAGAAGAATAGAAAACACTCATTATGTGTTTCTAAAACAAGAGTCACAGAGGAAAGACGTTTTTCTGAAAAACTTTGAAAGATACGCAACATTTTCATCAACTTTCTCTTATTCTAGCTAATAAGAAAATTAGAGAAGGCGTTCACACAAAGCCAAAGGTTAAACTGATGTCAATATTGAAGATTTTGCAGCTCCAACATGATCACAGAGATCCAATGCTGATGAAAGCCTTTTGGATGATTGTTGCTTGCAATTCAAAGGTCTATAATCTGTTTATACTCTGGACATTCATTCATCACTGCCTGTAAATGATCCATATACTCAATAGATATTCATGATACAGGAGCAATTAGCATAATTGCATTGTCAACATGGAGGTCCGGCCATCACTCGTAAATATTCATGAGAAAGTCTAAAAACTGTCAAGGTAACCTCTCGGGCTGAACTCACGCTATGACAGACCGAAAGCAGAAACTGATATGCAGGAGGATTTCTCTTTTCTGAGGGTTCAAAGGTAAAGGAGGGGGAGGGGGAAAGTCTGCAGCAATGAATAACAGAAGGAGAGAGTGGAGGGACAGCTGAAGACCGTTTTCAATTATTTACTGGTCAATAAGGTCAAATAATGGAAAGGTACTTGTCATCATGGAATAAAACTTTAACCTCTAAAATCCCACAGGAATCTAGGAGACGTGCAGGTAAAATTGTAGGTTGTATTGACAGTGGACATCAGTATGTTGGTTTGTGGGTTTGCATTTTTGCAGCTTTGGGTTTGACATTTTGGTGCCTGGGTTACCTAGGTAAAAAAATTCCACTTTCCAATTGAAATTGATCGTAATTTTAAGAATTAGGTATTGATTCATTAAATTCTGAAGTCAACTTTTTAATTATGTGACCTTGCATACAGAATTTGCATGCACATCAGATATCATTAAAATGCTACAAAACTCTGTTACCATCCAAAAAATACAATTATGCAAAAACACATAATCTGAGCCAAAACACACTGGAAGAGATATCTGCACTAACCAGTCACCTCTCCATATGCACAAAAAAGTCAAGCTGTTGTAACTTAGGTATGCCAGGATTTACATCTATAACCCCGGAAACCCCTTGGGTGCATGTGCGCCACATTCTGGTTTTGCTCTGTCTGAGGGGCGCCCTGGGAGAGCGTTTGAAGCGTAGCGTAGCAGAACGCAGCCCGGAGCAGCTGGATCCAGTGTACAAACAAACAACAGGTTACTTTGACTTTCTCCGGTTGATTTCTTGCTCATTTATTCTGTCACTGTTGAGCTTCTGCCACTGGTGAGCAAGCAGCATGACAGTAATTGGAAGTATGTGTTTTAATGTAAAGCGTTGCATGCACTCTGCACCCTGGAGACAGACCGAGGAATTATCAGCAGGTTTATTTACAGCTGGGTCATACACACAGAAAAAGATTCAATGCGAGTCTGAAAATTGTAAGTCATGCTTTCTTCAGTAGAAATCTCATCTTGGTCTCTGCTCTGAGAGTTGAGTTCTGCAGTATTAAAAGAAGACAAACTGCAGTTCAAATATCTGCTCTACCACGGCGCTGTCTTTGCTTTATGAATCTTTTTGTTCTCAAACAGTGTTGCTTTAGAAAAAGAAAAATCACTCACTTGAATTTCATCTTTGGACTGTGAACAAATGTTATGAGTGCAGAAGCTTATCTCCCCGATTTCTTATGTCCATTTATTCCTCTGAGGACAGATGTGTCGGCCATGAATTCTCAATCACTTCTCTGCAGAGGAGGTTAGTTTGAGGAGGAAGTTCATGATTTTGTTCGACTTTGATAGAAAGTCACTGTAATCTTCTATCTTTGTTTCATCTTTTAGATGAGTTTTGGTCTTGGCTGACTGTCTGACACTAATGCATCTTTTTGTGATTTCAGTTTAAAAGTCACTGATTGCATTGATTGAAATCTAATCATGGTCCTACAGTAAGGTGGCTTCATTTTTGCTGTCCATGCTACTGGCTCATAACTCTTAAGACTTCTGACCTTTCTGTCTCTACAGAAATAGTTACTTCTGCACCTGCATGTAAATGAAGTTTACCCCCCAAATCGGGCTGGGCGATAAAACGAAAATTTACCAATACCAAAATTTAAAACAATAACCAATGTCATTTTGCCCATATCAATATATTCGGTGTCAAAAAAAAATCAATAAATCAAAGTTGGTTTTGGATGTTTGTAGGTAGGCTACGGTCTCATGTCCCTTTAAGACGCTGTCCTACGTTGGAGATGTTACTCCACCCCTTTCAGTTCATAACAAAAGGGGGAAAGACAGGTGAAAAGATGGACGACGGTTTAAAAGTTGTAGAGAATGAAGTAGAAGAAGTTAATGTGGGGGGCGAGCAACTTGTGGAGTAGTTATCGTCCATTTATCGTTATCGAGGTGAACTGCTCAATATATCGTGATATTGATTTGAGGCCGTATCGCCCAGCCCTACTCTAGAATCATGTTACCATACCAGCTCCGCTCCTCTTTGCATGTTACAGTTTTAACTTCCTATAGTTGAGAGAGTGACAGTGCTTTTTCGATGTGATCATGCACTGATGCAGTGATGCCCACTACAGAGTTATGTTTGTACATCTAGGTTAGGTTATATCATATTAAAACAAAAAGTTGCAGAACATTATATTGTGGTGAAATATGGAAAAAGCTGACTGCCCAAAGGAGGTTTTACAATGAGCGAATTTAGCATCGCTACTAGCTGTCCCTCTGGTAATCCTGTCACTATTTAGCCTCGTTATGACTTTGCATAAAACTTTCAGAGCTAAATTTGTAAGTATTTAAAACCCATTTTCAAACCGTAATATCAACACTGAACAAATGATACCAACAGGACTGCCATTTCCTCGGTTTTTATCCTTCATTTTAAAGGTTTGGTCATGCAAAGATGCAGCAGACTTACTCACGGTTGGAGGTGCAGGAAAATCATAGCATGTATGTGCAACTGTGCTGCTGTGATTGGTGCATTCATGCCCCTGTGTTCAACATGTTTACCTCCAACCAACCAATTTAAATCATGGGAGCAGTATCAGGACAGTTTCACCAAACAGCAAAGTACAGAATGGACTCGTGGTCTACTGGAGGAAAAAGTGAACATCCAGATAAGCATAAAAGAGAGAACTGAGAGAAATGAGGTCCTCAGGTCGTCTTTTATTCTTCTTCTAGCTGCAGAGATCCTCATTAATTCAGCTCTCACTCACACTTAGTTTCTGACTCATCCATGCATTCATTCATTCATTAAGTAAAGACTGAAATCTGAATATTTTCTCAGACGAGGAGACCAGTTTGGGATGGTGGATCTTTGGGAGCAGAGAGCCGAGCTTTGAAACTTGTCATCTTTTAATAAAAGCTCTTCAGCACGAGGAGAGGTCTCTGTATTATTTAAGGAGCTTTTGCAGAATAACATACATGTAGTATGAGGAGCGCTGATGTGTTTGACACTTCTCAGCATCCCTCATCTCAACAGGGGGAATTTCGGGGACTTATCAAGACCTTTAACTTACAGATGTATACTCACTCTCTCTCTCTTCAACACTAGATTTACTCTCTCTCTCCCTCATTATATCTGCTTTAGTGCTTTCACCTCTTTTCTCCGAGAACAGCTGGAGCTCAATGTGCAGCTGAAGATTATACGAGCAGGTGTACTGTTTTTTCATTACTTTAGGTCTTTCTTTACACTATTATTTTATTCAGGTAGAAACCACAATGAGCTGCAGATTCGACTAAAAATCATCTATTTGAAATCTGAGCCACGTAAAAAAAACATGTTTGTACCCGTTATCATCTTTATGAAGTTATGAGCTGTGCAATTATTAAATAAATCACTGATTGAATTAGGTTCATCCACAAATGACAATAAATGAAAATAATGATATCATGGCAACCTGAAATAACTTGTCTTCGTTTTCTTCCGCTTCATCAGGGTCCAGGTCGCAGGGGCCCCAAGACGGCCCACACCCTAGCCACTTCCACCAGCTCCGCCGGGGGGATTCCCAGGCGCTCCCAAGCCAGGCGAGAGACATAATCCCTCCACCTGGTTCTGGGCCGGCCTCGAGGTCTCCTCCCAGTGGAACATGTCCGGAACACCTCTAACAGGAGGCGTCCAGAAGGCATCCCAGCCAGATGAGGGCCTCCAGGGTGTCTGAGCTCCTTACCCTATCTCAAAGGCTGAGCCCAGCCACCCTGTGAAGGAAACCCATTTGGTCGCCTAAGTGAATTTGAGTTTTGACTTTATTTTTTGTGCATCACTTTTAGAAAAGAGGCTGAAATAAATCTATTCCAGCAAAACAGATAACCCAAAGTTTACCCTGGCACTGTTGAAGCGTTTAGATGAAATTAAAACAGATTTTTTTAAAGAACACATCATCCTAGAGAAAACCAAACCTCCAAACAGCTTAGGCCCACACCTGTTGTTCAAAGCCTTGGTGGATTTATACAGGTGAGTAAGTTTTGCTGAGTGACTCTGTTACAAGAGATCAGCTCCTGACACTGCGGAGGTTTTTTTCTGCAGATCATCTATGATTAAAATATACGACCCCACATCCCATTCAAGCCGGTGCTACATAATTTATACATGAGATAATTTTAGAAATGTTTTGATTTATTTTAAAGAGACGATCACCACATTAATTCATCTCCTCCAGCTAATTCTGAGATGAAACATACTTTGAATTTCAGATGAATTTCTTTAATGGCTGAGCATCGTGTGTTGGGTACGGATCAGAGTGTCGCAAGATAATTCTGGTGTGAAATCGTGTTAGTGTCTAACATGTGGTCCATGCTGTAAAAGTGCTGAAATACACAGATGTGATTTAAGGTCACATTTTATTCTCAGATAATCTTTTAAAATGTTGGATAAAAGCTCCAGAAAACCTGCTGGAGCTCCGATACTGCAGTGTGAGAAATGTTGGTGTTAATGAACAGAGGTGAGGAAAGGTGCTGTGAGTCAGCACAGATGTGGTTCCTCATCATTCCTCCTGCAGGACAGATGTGCACATCAGGGGGTGCGCGTACAGCAGACGCTGCGGTGCATGCTGGGAGCAGCTGCCTCCTGTGTGACAATGGCTGATGTGGCAGGAAGCATTTTATGGCCGCACGACAGATGGCAAAGTGACCATTTGAAGTTTTTCTGAGAGATTAGCAACGAATGAGAGAGACTAGATCTGCATCACTGAGTGGAAGGAAGGTTATTAAGACTACAGCTTTGTTGTCCCTGCACACTATGATGACTAAGCCTGACCAACCATAGCAGACAAGGTACTCCTGTATGCTGATGACACCACAATGTCTAACCCTAATAAACTTAAAGATAAACTTAGTCCAGCAGCCGGTGATCATGCAGACTCACAGGCAGTGCAAGACGGGCACAGGTCCCAGAAAATACATAGAAAACGTGCAAACAACACAACATGCAAATGCCCACTTGCCAGGCTGTGGGACTTACAAGCCTCAATTTCAAATAATATACATTGCATAAATGCTACGACCCTAATGCACAATTATTTTAGGCTATGGGGAGAGTGGGGTAAGTTGAGCCAAAGGGTAAGTGGAGCCACCCCCTGTTGGCTCATCTTATCCCACTCTCCCCTACTCCGCACAGCACAGATAAATGCCCACAACAGCACAGGTGGGACTTACAGTACTCAGTCAGCAATTAACTTCTCAACAGGTCTACCGTTAAAAAGAGAAAAAAATAGCTTGTACTAAATCACATAAATCTTCCATTATTATTATTCAAAGATTGGCACGGCGGCCTGTTAATAGACAGTGTACTCACCCCACATCACGAACATGTCCGGATTCTCCTCCCTCTCCTTTTTTCGGGTTTAACTGCGTGTGTCTGAGGCAGTTCTGTGTCCTTTGGTCACCCAAGACCCCACGTCCCACAGTCTCCTGAATCTTCCTGCTGTAGGCCAGCTGGTGTCGCGGTACCCGCCTGTTGCTCCGGCTCCGGCTGACTGCTAGCGCTGTAGCTCTCCTGCTCAGGCTGGCGGTGAACCTGACCAGCTGCTGCCTCGGTGACAGCCTCCTGCCCCGGCTTGGCTGGCTGTCGGTGAACCCGGCTAGCTGTTGCGGCGCTAGCCTCCTGCTTCTGCCGGTTTTGACCGTTAACATGACCGATGCAGCTGCCCTCGTCACCGCTTGTGGAGGCTTTTCTGACTTGTTTTGAAGTATCATGCAACCCCTTCTTCTTTCTGTAAAAAAAGACAGTGAATGAAACTGTCTTTTTTGACATGTTTGCGTCAAAACGGTAACCGTTTCTTCCTCTCCGCTAACCCCTCAGGTGTGGCGAATTTCAAAAGTTGAAGGGGCGTGGTTTGTTTGCCCGGGTTTTCAGTGCGTCAACAGCGCTCCGACGTTATGCTGCCTTCGTGTTTCCTCGGAAGTCAGAATTCCTGCTGAAAATGACGTCAGATCCGAATTCCCAGCGTTTCAGTTACCAAGTTGGAAAAAAAAGCAAAATCGGAGGCCTGAAACAAGATGGCTACATCTACGAAAGTTATTTTAGCACTTGCCTTGTCCAAATATAAGGCAAGCGCTACAATAATTTTCGTAGATGTAGCCATTTTGTTTTTTCTCCAACTTGGTTACTGCTGGTAACTCGGTTGTGACGTTATTTTCAGCTCCGACATCTGACTTCCGAGGAAACACGAACGCATCATAAACAACATAAAATTCTTGAAATTTGTTTCGAAAATTAATATATGGATATTCTTATTTTATTTTTCACATTTTTAAGTATGTTTTTTTTAATTTATGAGAGGCATCGGATCTGCCCAAATAATAATAATTATAAGTATTATAATTATTATTACCAAATTTTTAATGCACATATGTTATTATCAATATTGGTATTAATCAGCATCTATATTTGACCTCACTAAAACAGAGAAACTGTGAGATTTTAGTGAGTTTCTGTTGGATTATCGTCTTTATCTGATCATGACAAAAAATACATAAATCAATATAAATGTGGACGGACATGGACAAATACAGTTCATAAACCCTCTCTGTAGTTGCACATCTACATTGTAGGCTGTAATACTTTTGCAAAATTTCACTAATTTTAATTCATTATATCACAAAAGGACCTTTTTTAACATACTAATCAGAAAAGTTAATGAGTGGTGTTTCTGAATATGACCTTCACTTCATATTTCTGCTCAGAGCACTCTGTTTTTGTTGGTTTAATGTGACTTTTGTGAACGCAGCAGAAAAGAGTGTTGGCGAGTTTACAGCCTGGACCTGCAGACCATTAGAAAATAATAGTGAGGGTTTTTTTCTATTCAGAATAAGAGAATAATTTGAAAATAGAAGAATGTCATTAGTAAAAACCTCATTAAACCAAGTGCCAGAACTGAAATGTTTTTCAGTTTGTTTTTTTTTTCAGTTTTCTTTCATTCCTTTAATTAACCGAATCATAATTTGGACAGAAAATTAGTTAAAATAAAGTACTTCTCTCTCTGGATCGTATTTTGGTGCTTATTTTATGTGCTGCATGTTATTCCTGTATTTATGTTGATTAAATTTAATGTAGTTTCCAGCCTGTTGGATTATTTCTGCCGCCAAGGTTATTCCTCACAGCTCTCATGTTTGTTTTGTTTACATTTCAACCGCTGATGATCTTTTTCGCGACCTTGTAACGTTATGAAATATGAAAAATGTAAAGGAAGTGTCAAACTTTCAGCTGCCTTTCACAATATAATGTTCTGTTGCAGCTCTGAGTTTATGTGAAAGGAGAAATAAATCTTACAGAGCTGCAACACACACACACACACACAAAAATGTCTGAATACGACTAAGAAGACATGCACTCAGTTGTGAAGTACCAGCTCTTTCTGAGTCTTTTCAGCATCAGATCTATTTCTTTAAATGAAGCAGAGATTGTTAAGATGAAGAAGAAAATGCTTCATGTGTCTTTGTGCTCTCAAGATTTCCTATTTTTTCTCTCAAGCTCTAACCTGAAGTCTGAGAGGAACTCTTGCCCTTTATCTGACTGGAGTGGAGATGGCACTCATTGTTTTACCACTGAGCCAGTCCATTGTGAGTTTTATTGAGCTGATCCCGACTGTTTACATCCTATGAAATGGATATATATGGCAGCAACACATGAGAGCATCTGTGAGATGGTTTTATAATAACAAAGATGGCTACGGTGCAAACAACAGCTGCATGATGAATGGGGGAAAAAGGGGGGATGGGGTTATCATAAATTTGATGCAACAAAAACAAACAAAAAGTAAATATCATATCAATAAAATAAAATTTAGGCCCACTCCGTGCATTTATTTTCATTCATTCCCTAGACAACAGTTGCAGAACCTGTTGTAGAGCTTTAAATTATTGTTCGCATTGTCAGCTGATAATAGATTTCATCAAATGAAGGAAGGGACCAGGGATTAGACTGTAAGTGCAGAGCGCCCATAAAGTTTCACTGCAGCACACTCAAGGCTTTAGAGATCTTTGCTTCCTTTTATTTCCCTCATTGAGACTATAGCCTGCAGGCAGGTGAATGAAATTAGACAAGCAGAGAGAGGAGAAAAAAAATTTCTCTGAGGAATTTCGACACCTAGAGAGAGAAAATTTTAACGTCCCCTGCCTAACAATATTTTTATCATCAAAAATTTCCCCCTTTCTAAAGATTCACAGATGTGTTTCAGGACTGTGCACAGAAAAGAAAAATATCATTTCTGCGAGATGGATTTTGTAATTAAGGGTTCGCATTATCAGTCCCTCCGCTGATGTGAGATACTGTCTCATAAAAGCAAAATGGGAAAGCAGCTGAAGATAATTTGAAGGTTTTAAAGAGCGTCACCTGAGGGCTTTTTAAACATAGTGAGACAGTGTGGAGACTCAGCAGAGGGAAAATTGTGTTTCTCACATTGGCAGGGGCTGGTTCTGATTGGGTTACTTCTCCTGAGGGACATGACAGTGTAGAAATCAATAGCAGAGCATTGAAGATAATATGAGTGATTGGCAGGTGCCAACAGCCGACAGGTGGGTGGGGATGAATCATTCAATCAAGGCTGGAGTTGCTATGGAAAATAATGTCTGTCCTGAGTGCTATCTAAAACAATAACCACCTAAAACGCCTCGGGGCCCATGAGAAGGAAATAAATACTGTGAGATTAAGCAGAAAGAGCACATGAGGCATAACAGCTTCTCAAGTCTGTTTATTTACGCTAACAAAAGCCAGAACAAAGAAACACCTGCTGACAGGCCATGAATACAAATGGCACTCCCTCTCCTGCGTCTTTGCACCAGAGACCACAGGTATTGACTCGTGTCCAGTTTGATTCTGTGAATCTTTGTATGCATGCTCGGTGCACAGGATGGAGGCGTGCATCTGAGTCCACAGGAATCTATTGTGGTATCCTCAAACACAGCAGCGTCTGTTTGTTTCTCTTTGCTAAAAAGCCTGGCAGTCTAACATCATCGGACGGGGTGCAAAAGCAGATCTCAACAATAACTCGGTATGTGCACATGATATTCAGCTCACCTTAGCGTCAGGTTCAGTGTTTTTATGGGGCTGGAAGTAGAAATAAAACCAACATTCACTTCTCACATGATTTAAAGATTCTAGACAGAGATGTTTACCGCAGTAAATCTATCAAATGTGTTTGTGTTTACTTATTTGGAGCTAATCTTTCCAATTAAAGTTAATGTTAAATATATACTGGTGCTCAACTACTAATAATATATTTGAACATTGATTAACTCAGGCAGGTGTTAAATGCTTTTCAGCTTTGTTCTAAGACAAAGAGCTGAAGCTAAACTGAATAATCAGATCAAATCATTGTCTCAAACTTTAGTTCGTGTGCAAAGTTAGTATAACAAGACCAAGATCAGGCATGTTATGACATCATGTAAATGCTGTCTTAGAAATTAAGTCAGGGCAACAAGTTAAAAAATAAATTCTCAAGTTAAATTTCTGCCATCAGAGTACATGACACAGTTGGCCAAGTATCTGCCACATGTGGGCGTATACTGACTTTGGTGCATCTTATTTTGCTCTGATAACCAATTTGATTAAAACATCCCAAGATTATCTACAATTTCTTGTTTTTAATATGCGTGTGCAGTAACATTTTACAGTTCAAGTGGCCTCTGTTTGGATCCGCTCTGTCGCTGTGAAGACAATAACAAAGGACGGCCAGAATCAAACTTCTACTAGCTGATAAAAAATTCACTAAAACACTAAATCCAGGATTTTACAGGAGACTTCTTGTCAAAGGAACTTGCTCATGGTGGATTAACGTTAAGTCTGTAAATAATGAAAGAATACAGTCAAGACCTGTTACAACAGAGTCCTGCTGTTGTAACAGGTGCTGTTTGAGTTCTGCTCAGATGTGCAAAGTTTCCCCTTTGTCTGAATGGCAGCATATGTTGTCCCAAAACCTGTAAAATGTTAAGCATTAATGGAACCCTCACAGATGTTTGAGTTTTGCCTTGAGCACCTTCACACATCAGAGATGCCGGTCTGAACTGTGCACAGAAAACCAGCCGCTTGGTCCCTCTCTTCTTCAAAGTGGAGGCTGCAGAATCTACGAATTTTTCAAAATGTTGACTTTTGAATTGACTCAGTCTGTAGTTTGACCCTGAAGTTTTCAGAATTTCTGGATCATGTTCATACTCATTTGGTCTCATCTTTCGGTGGGGATTCTGAGCCTATGCAGGGAGTTCCACTACAGAGCCGTGGTGCCAAAGGACCTAATGAACACACCCATCTAGCACAGGTTTTAAAACTTGTCCCCTTTTGGTCCACATTTCCTCTTGTTTTCTTATCTCTCAGACTTCTTTGCAGTTTTTGCATGAACATCAGTCTCTCACAGAGAGATGAATCTTTTCCCACTTTTACTTCTGACAGACTTGGCCTTTTCTAAATGTACCTTTTTTTTAACCCAGTCATGTTGCAAATAAGCTTCATTAGTTTGGACGTCCTCCTTTCAGTTGTGTTTTTGTTGTCACTTTCAAGAAGAGCACACATTTTGATTAACAATAAAGCAACTATTTTCTTTTTTACAGCTTGTTTTCTTGTAGTTTTCCCTTCACTAGCCGTTTTCTATTTGTCTGAGTTATATCCTTCATAGAAGGACGAGGCCCGGCATCATGTTTGCTAAATCATAGATGAAGGAAAGCAACGGCAAAGCCTCAGGGAGGAAAAAAAATGAAAGCTGAGAGCAGCGTGATACGGCTGTTTAAATCAGTATTCATGCGGACGTTTGAATGGTGCAACACTGCAGCTCTTTAAAGTTTGTTTGGAGGAAATTCAGGCAATGAGTCTTAAAGAAATGGTCCATAAAATCAGTGTCAAAACAAGAA